TGTAGCATGCCTGTCACCTGTGGTTGGCCCTCTCGTGAACCGTGCCTTTTGCGGGCTGAACTTTGGGTTTCCGGGAGCCCGGGGTTCCCTTAGCAGCCGGGGGACACGGCAGCACGGCATCGTCTTGCGGAGGGGCATCGTCTCGCGGAGGCGAAACGAGCTGTTTGCTTCCGGAAACCGCTGGATAGAAGCCAAAATCTAGTCAAGTGTCCGGGCGGAGCGGTTACGCCTCGGCAGATTATCGTCCTCCTCTGGACGACATCTGCTGGGATGTGTATCGAGATTAGGTAGGCCGAGTGACCCCCCCGCGGCTCCGATGCGGCTATTGCCACGAGCGCTATGGAAAGGGGCACGCAGCGAGCCATCGAGATGTTTGCCATGTCCGAGCGGGAGATATTCGTCCGGTGTTTTCTGTTTCTTGAGACGGGACGTTTGATCGTGGTGGTTTTAGTGGCATAGATGACGAACGAGACGAGACGACGGAGTCTGAGCAGCCCTCATTCACAGGCAAGACCAGAACCAAGTCGGTTAGGTCTGCCGCGTGTTAGTTAGTGTTGGCGCTGGCTCCTACGCCAAGCACGCTCACAAATCAATGGTTCCAACGGGCAAAGGGGCCATTTGCGGCTACGGCACCGTAGTACAATTTGTACTCGGTGGTGGCAGTGAGGGAGGGGAGCGTTGGGGAGGGTGTAACCCGATGCGGCGCCTCGAAACTGGTTGGTGATGCATATGGGTGACGGGGCTCGGGAAGACGGATTGGGGATTTCTGTGCTTGTTTCGATGGCGGCGAGAGGCCGAGATGGGACTTCGCAGCGAGTGCTAGGCTGTTATCGGCGCGAATGGTGCATTGGGGATGCATTGTTGTGGTGTGGGTGGGCACGTAGAAAACAAGAGAAACAGTCATGACGAGAAATGATGATCAGACTGCAGAAGATTCAGGTCGGAGTGATTCATCGAAGCGCAGGCAGCCGAGGGAACCGGCAGAATGGAGTTTGATGGAACGGAAATGACTCGACGTTCCAGCGGCCTGGCTTGCGGGAGCCTGGGGGCAACGAGAGAAATGATCGTGAGCGCTGGGGTATGAGGAGGAAAAAAAAAAAACAAAGAGACGATGATGAGCTGCAACAGGTCAAATCGTCAGTGAGACAGGCCTTGGCGCCAGGCCAACCGCCAGAAGGGGTGGAATAAGGCGAGAAAACTATTGTGAAATACCTAGACCCGGCTTGATGTTATTCGCGGGCTTGTTTGCGCGTGCCCGAGATAACCGGCGGTGCCGGGCTTCCTCGTATTGACGCCGCGAACAATAGGAAGTCGGAAATCCTCAGAGGCAGGGCATGTCCGGATAAGGGCAAGGCGCGACTTGGCCCGGAATAGCAGCGGGAAGGGCGCAGGGAAGACGAATGAATACTGGTACCGCAGTAACCAACAATGAATCCAATAAAGAGAAGGATCAAGTCGTCTCCTCAGCTGGTTCATGTTGGGCAGAGCGGTGTTTGAGGTCCCAAACAAAACGTGGCCGCCCTGCGCAGGAACAAGCAAGAATGAAATAAGGCAATTGATAGTAGTGGATGCATCACGACTCAGACATGTGTTGAGACTTGAACAATCAGCCCGAGTACAGAGTGAAATAAGCAAGGAGATGAAAGGGGCGATTCAGATATGAAAGATCCAGAAGATGTGATTGTCGACGCCTTGGAATTCATCCGAGCAACACTGAAGCAGCTTTGTTGACTTGTAACTTGGTAGTGCAACTATGCTGGTTGCATCTACAACGTCTTGTTGCTTCAGATGGCTCGTATTGACGCACCTCAGTGACAGTCGGTGGTAAGAAATCGAGCCAGGAACATGGGAATCTTGCGAGGTGAGAGGCTGCGGCGGAATTCCTCCAAAATTGGATGGGGACCCCCTAGTCCTGGTCCTAGTCGTAGTCGGAAGCGGACTTTGGCGACGAGATGATCGCTGTGGGGGAGACGTTTGCCAGGATTGTTTCCATCTTTCAGCGCTTCACTCTCACTCTCGGCGGTTGGAACTTGGAGTCGGAGGCTCTTAGTATCAATCATCGCTTGTTACCGCCGTGCAGCTAAGGTTCGCAGCCGGACTACGGCAAGGAATGCTGGCATGATGCTTGTTGGATAAACATCGGCCAGGTACCGCCGTACCGTTGTATCTTTGGTCGGCGAGATCCACCTATCAGGTAATCGCAGCTGCCAGTGTGGCATGGTCTGTGCATCGATTCTTGGCGGGTGGAGAGTGACGACATTCGACATGGTGTCAGGGTGTCAGGGGGGGAAAGAAAAGAGAGAGAGAGAGATGGCAGGATCAGGAGCAGGGCTCGAGCAGGGGTCATTGTGCTCCTGGCGCCAATTGCGCAGTGACAGCGACAGTGATCATGACACTGATCATGACAATGACATCGCAGCCTCTGTCAATGTGGTGTGGAAAGGGGAGAGTGTGGAAATTGCTGTTGGAATAGGGAGCAGATGCAGAGTAATAAACGTCTGAACTTTCCATCTCGAGTTTAAGCCCACTCGGACTGCTCTCTCGGTCCGTCCGCCCTCTGCACATTGCGTTTGATTTCGATGTTCATCGAGACCCTGCACGCCTGACAAGTGCTAAACTGCATCAGGCCAGCAGCATCTCGGGATGGATGCGCCGGCCGCGCGGGCGGATTCTCTGTGGCTGCGCCCGGGATGTCGCGTCGACGTTGGCCGTCGTTTATCTCGGTCGTCGTCGTTGTCGTGCTGTACGTGTACGTGTATTCTGGGCGCAATTGTCAATTGATGATTCCCTGCCATAGGGCGGCTGAAAAGAAAGGGAGACCAGGCCAGAGAGTGATATGGATAAGGCAGATAAGGCAGGCCGAGAAGCGAAGATTCTTATGTGCGGAATTATGAATGAGGAAGGAAGAGGGTAAAAAAAAAAGTTTTGACAGGAAGAGGCAGGAGGACCAATTGCTCCTACCCTGTACCTGATAGCAGTTTGGTGAATGCAACATCAACACCACCACGACACCCCTAAAGGTATCGTCTGAGTGTCTTCATAGTGTGCTGCTTCCGCTGCTTCTGCCTGGTGATGATGATTCCACGTACTGACCAGAATCGTGGCGACTGGAGAGACTCCAACTGGAAACCCGAGACTCAGACCAAGACCTACCTGATTGATGACTGGCACAGCACAATGAATGCAAGGTGGAACCTGCTGGTGCTGCTGGGTTGGTGATTAGAGACTCCATTTTGTCCGAACCCGAAGCAACCCCCGTCCTTGCCCTGGCCTTCTGGTTGGCTATCGGGTCGTGTTCCTCCTTCCTGGTCCTGGACTCTTGAAAGGACCCCGGTCACGTCAAAAAAAAAAAAAAAAAGAGTCCACATGTTTCTGCAAGTGCCAACCACCCACGCCTTCCTCTGCGCCGGCGGACATGTTCTTTCCAAGTCGTCCTTCAGTGAGATGAGGCCGGTTAGGTTGCTATCTGAATTCCCATCCAATCTGCTAATTCCCTAGCGTCGACCGGTGCACCTGCCGCAGCCGTGACCCGGCTTCTGCCTTTTTACCTGTAACTTCCTCTCTCTGCTCGATCCACCCGTCTTTTCGATATTGGAACATTCTTTCTCGCTCTCTCTCTCTCTTCTCGTCTTCCTTTTCCATACACTGCCCCTTCCCTTCCACCTTTCACTTTAGCTCCATTCGCTTCTTTTTTCTCTCTTTCCCTCTGTTTATCCCCCCCCAAAGTACCTTACCTGTACTCCGCACCTCGCGCCTTTACCTTCGTTGGTGAGCCCAGCACCCCCCGGCCACGGAGAGGAGAAAAACACCACCACCACAATCGCTTCACTGCAGCAAGCATTCGTCTCTCGCTTCCCTGCCCTTGTTTACTTGGGGTCTTACCTTTTGCTTGCTATCGGTGCCACTACCTGCCGTTCGCTGCAGCTGCCTGCAACAACTCTGCAGATACTACTCCATACTCCACGGCTACCGGATCCCAATTGTGTTGCTTGGCACCAACCACTTCGCTTGCTTGCTTCTTCGGCCTGCATCTTTCGCTTCTCCAGTCTCTTCTGACCTTCTGGCCTTCTTTTCTACCTGGGACTTCCTGACCATCACCACTCCCAACCTGCCACCTCCCGTCACCTTCACCTCTTCACCCAACAGGACCGGCACCTTACCCCAAGGACGCCTTTGTCATCCACGACGGCATCAATTCGATTGCCCTCTCGACAGACCGAGTGCAGCCTTCACCCGGGTCGTACCTCGACGACACATACCTACGCCAGGAACTATTTGCCGAGGAGGAGGCACCATAATATACCACTGCTCTTCATTGCCTGCTGCGCACCTGGCGGTCTTGTCTCACAAGTCCCCAGTTCTTATTCCCAATCCACGCGCTAGTTGTCTCTAGGGGCAATCATTCACTCGCTTTTTGAGTGCTTGGCTGCTTTTGCTGGTATTACCTTACTCGGGCGGCATTCGTCTTGATTTCATCCGGAACCTCTCTGTCCACACTTGGCGCCAGCAAATCTTGTCCCGACGCCACGACCCGGTCTGCTTGCCTGCCTACCTTACCTTCATACCATCTCTCCCTCCGCCCTCCCGGCCATATCCTCGCTCGAGTAGGCACGACCTCGAGACCTTTCTCACTCGTATCTAAACAACACCATCCTCCGACTCGTCGAGTATCTGGACCGTCAGGGACGTCTCGTCGTCTTCGCTTCAGCGTCGATTCCCGTGTGGTCTACCGACTGCCCTGCGTGGCCGTGTAGGACAGACACCGGATCACACCTCTGGAGGCGGGATTTTAACCTTTCCTCCCGCTGCACGCCGACCGATCCAGGCGTCAGATGTCAGCTTTGTGAGGCCTTGACTCCGGGAATTGTGAGTGACAGACTTTACCCCGTCATCGCTTCCGACCCTTTGCCCAAACCTAAATTCCTGCCTCCCCCTCAAGTTTGGACGCTGCGACTGACCGATCCCTTCTTCTCAGGTTTGCCCATTACGAGGTAGTAGATATGGCATTCACCGACCGAATCACGACGTATTGGGGCATACTCGCCCTCGTCCTTCTATCATGGGTTTCGCTGGCCCAAGCGACTCCCGATCCGAGGATCCTTGAGCCTCGCCAGTTGAAGCAGACCCTCTGCTCTAGCCAAAATACGGCCTCCATGAGCGCAAGTATGTTTACCCCTTCAGAGCACATTGTGGCAGTTCGATGGCTGGCCGATACGGGCATCTTGTGCCGGCTTCTGCACGCTCAACGCTCTATTGAAGTAGAAACACGTGTGCTAACATTCGACCGCAGATCTCAGTATTTGGCAGACGAACGGCCTGTGTACGGATTTTTGCAGAACCATGAATTATGCATTTGCCATCGTCCAGTACCAGTCTTGTTGGTGCTCAGATGTTGCCCCGGCTTCATCGACCGAGGCCGACGTCGAAGACAAATGTAATGACATTTGCCCCGGCTACGACACCGAAAAGTGCGGTTCAAGGCCCAACTACTACGGCTACCTGCAGCTTGGAAAGACACCTACCAGCACTGCTGGCAGCGGTAGCGGCGGTGGCGGCGATACCACCACGACTAAGGCTCCGGCGGCTACAACACAAGTGAGTATCCCCCCCAGTTCCTGTCGTGAATTAGCATGCGTGAGCTCGTGAAAACACTGCCCGATTCTCCACCATCCAAGACTCCCATCACCTCACCAAACCATGATGTGACGCCCTGGCTTAATCGTCTGGAACCAGGCCCCTCCGGCCCCTCCTGCCACAACCGTTCAAGTCACAGTTACTGAGACTGCAAAACCTCAGGACACGACGACGTCCGATCCCGAAACGACAACCACGTCGACCTCCTCTGTATGCCTCTACGATCCCAATTATTCGCCACTTTCGATGCTCTTCGTCTCACGAATGACAATGTGCGTTGTTGGAGAAGATGGGTGCTGACTTCCGATTTAGACGTCGAGCAAGCCGAGAACGACAGTTCAGACTATCACAGCCGACGGCACCGTTCGAACCGTTTTCGTGACGCCGACAGCCACGGGTACAGAAGGTGCGACCGGCGCTTCAGAGTTGACACCCGGGAGCCAGTCGTCAGGAAGTGGAATCAGCACGGGTTCCGTTGTCGGGATCGTGGTCGGCGTCATTGTCGCCGTGGTGGCCTTCGCTGGCCTCTTCCTCTTCTGGTTCTTCAGACGTCGCAAGCAGCGCAAGGAAAGCGAAAAGTACGACGAACCCAGCCACCGTGGCAGCTCGGCTGGTATGAACAGCTCGCCACGTCACCCGGAGATGGTTGTCACTGTGGACGGTGGACGATGGGACGCCGACTCGACCAGCGACCACCGACGCAGTCGCCTCATGGCGCACGATCCCCGCATGGAACCCCTCGGCAGAGGCCTGTACGTGGCCAACAACAAGAGCGCCGAGAGCATCAACACACTGCGCGACGACCAAGACTACTCCCGCAAAGTTCACAAACCCGTTCTGCGAGCGACCAATCCGGATCCTGAGTGAGGGAAGATGGAGATACTGGGCGGACCAAAATGAAGACATTCATCGTTTACGACGCACACGAATTCGGTCCCGACACAAACTTTCGGTCTTGCATTGCGCTTTTGAGATACCAAGGTGGCGTTTCGATTTTATTTCACAGAACACGACAGAGCAGGGCATTGGATGAGAAGCCCTGGCTGCACCACTGGGCACGGGGGGCCCTCGGCAGAGCTCGACGACACCTGCAGCAACATAGCATGAGTATCAGGCCACTGGGTCACAGACACGAACACACGTCGCATGGGGAACACGAGGGCGCCGATCAGCGGCTGCTATAATTTCGATTCGTTATATTCCTTCGGGTTCCCGGAATTCGACAACGTTTCCAGCGCGCAACACGAAACCGAGGGACTGGTCGATACTATAAAGCAGCGCCCGGCCATCATAGACGGATGGGTTCTCTATCTCGTCATAAGATTCGACCGTTGGTCAACAGGTATAATGACGGATGGCAACTGTATATACACGAGCTGAACGTGGCAGAAGTCAACCACGAGAGATTGGATGGACGAGATTGGTTACAGGTGGTAACAATTGACACCATTAAGCCTTCACAGGACACAGTTCATGGATGACGACGATACAGCGACACGTAATTTGTCACCAAGGGGCGGGGAGGGTGGCACAAGGGTCGAGCTGAGATGTCGTGAGCACACGCCGTGTAGCCACGAGGTCTCAAGCAGCGACAATGTCGGCGGAGTTTGCATAATAATCGCTGGAGTCACCGGTCAAACAATAGAAAAGTTTTCCTAGTAGGAGCGAGAATCATAATCACACAATCAACGCGGACGAAATGTTTCAAGACGGTGCCCCTGTATCCTGATCGTGTGCGACCGACCAACTTCAAGTTCGCCTCCAAGCGACGCCGCCGTCGCTTTGGAAATCTTTGCTTAGTCCCGATCTGGGCCGTGGCCGTGGGAGAGTAGTCAGGAAAAGGCGACTTTTTTTCATGTAGTCCGATGCGATGCCGATCGTTGCGCACCGACTTCCGTAGCCCGGCGCGTATTCGATACGGCATAACACGGGGATGACCGTTGCAGTCAGCAAGCAGGCCCAACATCCGATATCGAACGGGGAAAGGATGGGATTCTTTTGGTTTCGGCTGGTGATCACGCAGGATCGCGGGAAAATCCCATGATTTGACGGATGTGCATAGTCATCCATCTTTCGGAGAATCAATGTACTAAAGGTAGTAGACGGTTCGGCTGGGAGGATCGGGGCCGGCACGGAGATGGATGGTGTGGGTGTGTTTTTGGACGACGATCGCTCTTTTGGTTTGTTTCGTGTTTTTTTTCTTGGTGTCGGGTTGGGCGGTGATGTCATGTGTAATCTCGCAGAGATTTAGTCGGACTGGGGTTTGGGTTTTGGGGTGATGATCTGATGTTGTTTCCCGTTTCTCTCGTATTTTTGTGGATGATCTGATTTGTTTGATGTGGCTTGAATGCGATCTCTCTTATGTTCTTTTGCCCTCTCGACGGGAGGAGGATGGGATTTTGGAACGGAGATATCTAGATGGGAGTTTGAGTTCTGCATTCTTGGGGTGTTTGGGGGAGGAATGTTGGGATTTCCTTGTGTCATCTCCTTCCCTCCCTCCTTTGCTTTTTTTCTTTCTTGAGGTAGTCGTTATCAGTGAAGTTATCGAACCTTCTGCACTGGTGCGCTGGATCCAGCTAACGACGGGATCGCCTCCCCCCGTTTCTCTCGTCGTGAACACGAAGCTTGGGCCTTGGGGGACGTGAGTTTGACGATCTATCTAAGATGACGCGATTGCGGTAAAAAGGAGAGAGACTACGGGTAGTGTAAGTGTGTGTGAAGTGTAGAGGCTGGACTAGCGGCTCGCTCGCGTCTGACTGCGTTAGTTAAGGTTTTTGCGTTAGATCAGGAGGTCGGGTTCTATAGCCGCTTCAGTGAAGACGGCGTCGATAGTGTTTCTCCGAGAAAATGATTCCTCGCCGGTGGTCTTGTGGGATTAGTGATGGTGTTGTCGGCTGGTAACTTTTGTGAGATGTGCTGTGCATGAGATTTGAGGTGTGACGAGAGGGAGAGACATTGGGGGAGAAGAGAAGGATGGAGGCATGTTTCGAAACGAGATGGTGGCGCGTTTCGGGATTGATTGATGCGAGACCTCTGTGTAATGACCCAATACAGTGAAATCATTCAAGGGAGGTGTTTTCTCATGTTTGTGGCCGTTGGTTTGGTTGGCCTTTGGAATGGCAAGCTTCCGCGCGTTTGCGATTGGGGGTTACCGCCTTTCGTATTGAGATACGGGATGAGGGGCGGGCTGTGCTGGGCGTACCTAGGTAAGCTTTTTGTCGCCGGGTGAGGTTGGTGAGGTGTGTGGCTGAGGCGGCCGGTAAATGTGGGAATAGCTTCAGATTCCGCCTTATGGTTGTGGGGCGGGAAGTGGGAGAGGATGGATGTTGGTGCCGGAAATAGAGAGGGCTTGGCACCGACCAGACGTGCGTCCCGATGATGCTGACGATGCATTTTACAGCGTCTGCGTATGCCGCGGCTGCTTGCTGAAGGAACAGGCTTGAGTTTGCTGCTGCAGCGACATAGTCGGGATAGCCGCCTGTCAAAAAAGATCGTGTTCGTCTCATCAGACGTTGGCGTTTGATCATCCTCCTTGTCCGAAGTTTTGCTCGATGAGGGTTTTGGTATCCGTGATGGTCGTCAGTGGTGCGGAAAGGCTGTGGCGCTGCATCCAAAGCCAGAGGCCGCGGCTGGAATCATTCGGGGATTTTTCTCTGCCTGATCCAATATGATCATCCCGAATCTTTCGCATGCAGCCTCGAATTCATTAAAAAATTCCGGTCCACGGATGGCGGGAAGGGTGAGGGTGAGGGAGGGAGCCGTGGGAGGGACCCCTTGTCTTGCTACCCCAGGGCCTTATTTGATTTCCAAATAAGACGGCCCGCAGGTGTGCGAATACGTACGCGTTCCTCGCAAAATGTCTGCGATACCTAGGTAACGACCGTCGTAACGTGTTGTTGGCTCGAGTAGAAAGCCTAGATGTGGCAGAGCTTCTGGACTACTGCGCGATGATGCAGCGTTAATGCAGCTGAAGATGGGACGATGAGGCAATGAACTGACGGCGGTGATGACAGACTGTTGGAGGCGCCTTCATGTGAAGGGGAATCCCCTGAAGGATTTGTTGCTGTCACCGCCGTGGAAAGGGTCTCGCTGCTGAGCGGACGGCGTCTCGTCAGCGGCCCTGCAATCTTAGCGCGCCGACTTAGCGACCCTTGGCACAGCCACTCGACAAACGGGCAGCAACAGGCCAGCTCCTCCCCCTGTTCCATTGCTCCTGCTGGGCAGAATGCTGATTGCTGGATGGAATTCACCCAACGACGGGACGACGACGGGACCCTAGGTTCTCTTCTCTTTCACCCCGGAATCCTACCTCACTCCTACCTGACCTGGACCATCTACTCCTGGTTCGGTGGATTACTACTGGTCGCTTGTGTCTCGCCTTTCCCCTCCGCTTTCGCATTCCTCTTGCTCTGTCACTCTTCTCTCTTCCTCTCATACTTTTTCTTTTTGTCTTGGCTGTCAGCTTTCGCGACCGTTGCTGGCCTTGCTTGTTCTCTTGGGTGCGTATTCAGTTCCTTTCTTCGACCTCGACCGACGACAATACGTCGTCCCTCTTCAACTCTCGCCCCCTTTTTTCCCGACACTTTAAATATTCTTTTCGGTGCGGCTTCGACACGATACGATACGACAAGCAGCCGGGAGAAGAAAAAGAAGGGCTTCCGCGAACGAAAACGACCCGACGATTGTAATTGCGCACACCCCCGACGGCCGGTAATTTTTTGTGGAATCTTGCAAGAGGAGGATCGACCTGCGACATTGTTTGGGACCTGGGCGACCTCACACGACACACAAGCGAACGAACTGCGACTCGTACTCGAAAGCAAAGCTGGGCAAGACGGAGAAAAAAGAACGAAGGGAAGGGAGAGAAGTCCAGGAGACACACCCAAACAAAAGAGGAGGAATAACTTCATTTGGAAATTTCACTCTATTCTTTTTTTCCCCCCTCCTCCCCCCTCCTCGGCTCTCGTCGTTCGTCCGACCTACGTCCCTTGTTCTGCGACCGCGCCGCGCGACCTCACACCGAACAAAAAAAGGACCACGAGCTGAGCGCGAACAAGCTCCGCCAAGACCTGGCACCCGCTCTGTTCCTGCATCCCACCAGTCTTGGCGATCGTTAAATCCAGCCCACCAACCCTTCCACTGCCGTCATACACCGAGAACGTCACCTCCAAACTGTCGCCGTTTTCTTTTTGGTCTTGTCTTCCCATTTCCAAGGGCCCGTCTCCCAAAAGGGCGCTGAACCGTCAAGATGAATCTGACGTGTAATTCAACCCTCGAGGACATGAGGAGTACGTCATCCTGCTAACCCTCCCAAACCGATCCCACACCCCGGCCTCCCGAGCAAGCTAACAATGTCTCTTCCGTGTTCCCAGTCCTCCCCGGCTCCGAGAAACTCATCGTCGGCCCGTTGACCTTCCACGACCTCGCCCTCGTCATCGCCGGATCATGTAGCATCATCGCCATCTCCCTGTCCCTCTACCTCGTCTTCATGCACGCCAACAACTACACGAAACCACGAGAGCAACGCCAGATCATCCGAATCCTGTTCATGATCCCCGTCTACGCCGCCTCCTCTTTCCTCCAGCTCTACTACTACTGGCATGCCGTCTACTTCCAGGTCATGAGTGATTGCTACGAGGCCTTCGCCATCGCATCCTTCTTCTCGCTCATGTGCCATTACCTTGCACCCGACCTACACTCCCAGAAGGAGTACTTCCGCAACTTGCAGCCCATCAAGCCCTGGGTCTGGCCCCTTAACTGGTTTGCCAAGTGCTGCGGTGGTGCGAGGGGCCCGTGGCGCACGCCCAAGAGCGGTTTGACCTGGTTCAACATCAACTGGATTGGAATCTACCACTATGTCTTCATCCGTGTCGCAATGACCGTCACCGCCGTTGTAACGCAGTACTTCCACCGCTACTGCGAGAGCTCCAACAACCCGGTCTTTGGTCACATCTGGGTATGTCCTCCTTCTGAGACCCCTCAGGAACAGAGCCTAATGAATCCAGGTCATCTCAATCAACTGTGTGGCTGTCACAATTGCCATGTACTGCGTCATCCAGTTTTACGTCCAACTTCGCGAAGCTCTCGCGCCGCACTCACCCTTCCTCAAAGTACTCGCCATCAAACTCGTCGTCTTCTTCTCCTTCTGGCAGGTGACGTGTATCTCCGTCGCCACGTCTACTCTTGACTTGGTTCACCCGAACGAAGTCCTCGCCTACCCCGATATCAAAGTCGGCATCCCCGCACTTTTACTATGCTTCGAGATGGCTCTCTTCGCCCTCCTGCATCTCTGGGCCTTCCCATGGAGACCATACGCCCCCGGCGCAAAGCCCACCTACTACCCGAACCCCGATACCCGTGACATCAACGGCCCACAGCGCGAGAACGAGCACTCTCCCCCATCTGGCGGCTGGCTTGGCCTGGGCGCCATCGCAAACGCCCTTAACCTTTGGGACTTCGTGAAGGCTTTCGGTCGCGGCATGCGCTGGCTCCTCTGCGGTGTCAAGCGCCGCAAGGAAGACTCCAGCTACAAGACCGCCGCCAACTTGGATATGGACGACTTCGACAAGGGTGACACGACCTACCGCCCCGGCGCAAAGAGTACCGAGCACCTCCCTATCGCCCACGAGTTCCGCCGCAGCACCTTCCTCCAGCCTTCGAGGCCACCTCCGCGCCCCGCCCGCGCCGACAACGAGAGTGACAGCCTCATTGCACATGCTCAGCCGCACGCTCATGATATGTCACCTCCACGCCGCCCTGTGCACCCGCACTCTCCGATGTCGCCTATCTCACCCTACCAAGACAAGAGTTATGAAGCGGCCGGCATGGTGCCGGCATATCATCCGGGGGCGTATCACCCCCAGCGCGACGCCGACGCCGAGTGGGAACGCACAGCTCTAGCCCCGGCCCCGGGAGCCAGCACGAGTCCCGTAGCTACGAGTCCCGTGGCTAGTGGACCTCGGGACCTTACGCAGCAGCGGGTAGGAGATGCTCTTTGGGGTCCTCGCTCCGCCCCTGAGAGTCCCGTTCTACCGCAGTCCGACCAAATGCCGGCATACGGCAACGGAAATCATGGATACAACCCTAATGCCGGGCCCGGACAGGCTTTATGAGAAGAGAAAGCGAATCTCAGCGGGTAATCTCGCACATGTGTTACCGCGACAAAACAAGGGTTTTGTATCATAGGAGGGATGAATTTGGTGTTTTTGCATGGGATGGCGTTATTTTAACGAGATACCACATCATTTAGCTGATTGGGAACGATATTACAAATTTCATGAAGTTGACCTACCTGTTTTCAAGCTTTCGTGTGATCGTGTCTTTGAAAAAGAACAAGTGAGGTTGAAAATAAGCGGTGCCGCACGCGACTGAGGTGGTGAAAGACCGAGATGGAAACCCCGTCATGCTCCGCGTTTTCTGTGGAGGGGCCCCACTCTTGCCGATTTTGCCCTCCGTCAAATCAGGCAACTTTTGACCAACGACATCGCATCGACCAAAAGACACCTCAAATCCCCCAAAACTTTTCCAAAAAGGAACAAACAATCCCTAGTCACCAGATGCAATAACCATGGAAGAACTCCCGATCCGGCCTTCGGGCCTCTTCTGGCAGGACGACTTCATCACGGCGGAGCACGAGGCGGAGCTGATCCAGATTTTCCGCGAGGAGCTCGAGTGGCCCGAACGCAGCGGCGGCAGGCTGTCGCTGCACTACGGCTACACGTTCGACTACAAGACGTTCGGCGTGGACCCGGACGTGCCGTACAAGCCGTTCCCGGAGTGGCTGCGGCCGCTCGTCCCAGAGTACGAGGGGCGGGACCCGGAGCAGGTGTGTCTGCAGTATTACCCGCCGGGCGCGGGGATCCCGCCGCACGTGGATACGCATTCGGCGTATGACCAGCTGTACGCGTTGAGTTTGGGGGCGGGTGTTTTGATGCAGTTTTCGAGGGTGAGGGAGGGAGCCGAGGAGAGGAGTGATGGTGACGGAGGGAAGGAGGGCCAGGGTGAGGGAGGGAAGGAGGAGAAGGAGACGGTGGAGGTGGACCTCACGCCGCGGAGCATGCTCCGGATGTCCGGGGACGCGAGGCTGCACTGGACGCACGGGATCAGGAAGCGCAAGACGGACGCGCTGCCGGACGGGACGGTCAGGCGGAGGGGGGACCGGTGGAGTATCACGTACCGGTGGGTGCGGGAGCCGGCGGTCTGCGAGTGCGGGGATGTGAGGCTTTGTGATACCGCGCAGAGCAGGGCCGGGGTGGAGAGGGTTTTGCGGTGGAAGAAGGGGGATGCGGGTGAGGGGAAGGAGTGAGTGAGGGATTTGCGAGGGAGCGAAGCTGGTTTACGATGAAGTATGGTTCGTTGATGATGATATTCGGCGACTCATTTCACGGGCGACGACCTCGACGCGCCCGAGCAGATGTTGGTATGGCCGGGTGCGAGGATCCGCTCTAGCTCGAGTGGCCACAACGAGAATCACTTGAGAGGCAGTAGGAGGTGGCATGGCGGCCACGTGACAACGCTGCCACCGCTCGCGACTTCATCGCATTTGAGGATGCGCCGAGTATCGTCGGCTGCCTTACTAACATGTCGCCTGGATGAAGTTCCTGGCAAGGCCGTCTGGTGGAAGGCTTGCGGATTTGTCGTCGCAAGATCCGTGGATTTCGAGTCTTGGGTTGAGGCGACGTCGTTCGCACCTTCCCCTTCCTCTTCCCTTGAGCTGGTGTCTCATTTTCTATACAAATCAAAGCCACTGTTCAATTTACTTCTTTTCTTTTTTCTTTGGTGTTGATCTGGCTGGTCATTCAGAGCTCCTTCCATCGTCCCAAGATTTGCGCTTTAGATGGTTCATCAAGGTTCATCTCACTTCCGGGTGGCCCTGGATCAAGCTCGACCTCGCCCGCACCCTGCTAACAAAGCAGGTGGTATAAAAGCACCCTGACCCACGAGTGACTCACGGTCTTCCATCGTTTATCTGCCTGGATAAAGCCATCTCCGAATCACGAAAGGACTTTTTCATTTTTTCCCCCTTCCTTGGTCAGACTTTTATTTGTCACGTGGTTGATTTCTCCGACGAGGCGCCATCTGTGACACCAAATACTTCTTCCCCGCCACCCCCGTCCTGCCGGCCTCATTACGCTCCACACCTTCCATCTTGACAGACGACAACCACAACAACGACACGATGGATAGCAAATGGAAAAGATACTCGCGGCGACCATTCTACCTTGCGCGCCCGTTGAAGCTGACGGCGTTCCCACTGAACGTCTACCGAAAGATCACTCAACACCTCTTCGCACTCTACGAGAAGGATCTTGCCGTCGGCTATGACAAGGATGAATATCACGAGGAGTGGTACCAGACTGTCAAGTTTCACCGCTTCGATCTCTGGAGAGAGATCCTGAACTTTGCATACACATCTGGGTGCTGGTATGATGTGGTTGTGACTGAGATCTACAAGATGGACGTCAAGCACAACCGCGGCTCGGCTCTCTTGCTCTCGGCGAAGAAAAACAACGTGAGCGGCGTCCGCTATTCTCTGGACGCAGGTGCCGATGCCAACCAAGAGGATTTCACCGAGTTCAGGCTCGAACACCCCCTTGACGACGACTATTCTTTCGACTACACCAGGAGATCGAGCATCCTCATTCCCGACATGACCGCCCTCCATTGGGCTGCCTTGAACCGAAACGATCACATCATGGAGCTGTTGCTGTCTCGCGGAGCCGACGTGACGCTGCGCCCGCGCCTCACCTCAGTGGGCGAGGGCGACGACCATCTTTGCATGTCACTTCGGGCGACTTTGGCTCCGTTCTATTCCCAACTGCAGAAGCTTCCCTACCATGCCAGAGGGCGCATGTACAGAATTCTCCGACTGGGCGCCAACCCTCTCTACTATGCGTTGGTCAACGTCCAGTGCCCGACATTGAGCAAGGGAAAGAGCGCCCTCGAAGCCACCACGCTTCTCGTCCGGAAGAAAACCGACCTCAACACGCACCTCGCCGCGCGACTCCACGCCCTCCACCAAGCGTGCGGCGCCAGAGACGTCGAGACAGCGCGGTACCTCCTGAGGTTATCCAACTCAAACCCCGACGTCCGCGATGCTTACGACAACACGCCGCTCCACCACGTCGCCGAGTGCCGCAACGGCAGCGAGGATGATGCAAGACCAATCATTCAACTGCTGATGCACTATAAAGCTGACATTGACGCTACAAACGCCGGCGGCAGAACCCCCCTGCAAGCGTGCTTACACTTCCATCGCAACATTGATGTGGCCGTTCGGTTGCTCGAAGCTGGCGCCACGCCTTTCCCAGGCATTTACAATCTTCCTGGAAGATTCCCCACGGAGGAAAAAGACAGGATTAAGGAGGCCCTAGTCTCTCAAGGCTGGACGGAGGAGATGGTTCCTGCGGCGTCTGCCTCTCGGGCAGTCTTGGAAGAGAAAGAGAAGCAGGCGCTTCAACGTTGGATGTACAAGCTGGTGATGAAGAACACAGTCGGTGACCACCTGGCTTTCGGTAAGAAGAAGCAGAATGACCCGGTTGATTTTGCCTTTGAGAATCCTTATTCCTACTATTATTCCGACTCCTCTGACTCCGATACCGAGTCGGATGAGCTGGATGAGCTGGACGAGCTGGACGAGCCGGAGGATTGGGATTGCTTCTGGGATACTTGTAGTTAGAGACGTGCTAGGTAGCCTCTGGTTGTTACGCAACCCTCTTAGGAAGAAACAGACTTTTCCCCTTCAGATCATAATTCACCGAATGCCATGTGCCGGCAATTCTGCAGCATCCCGGTGACGTCCCCAGCGGCCCAAGCGAGCGGGCGATGGCATGAAATTCGGGACAAATCAGTAAAACTCCAAACGCACGATTCTGTCGACGAGCCGCCACACGGCCCACACCTTCTGACAGTCCTTGTTGTTTGAAGAAGCCCGAAAACGGGACAACGGTTCTGATTTGGTCTCCAAGGTGGTTTATGTCTGGGTCCTTCTGGTTCCTGCTCCTTAGGCCCCCGTACCCTCGCCAACATGCTGGCAAATTCCTTAGACCACCTTGAAACAGCGTGACCTAACGGATAGCTGTGAGGTGCCTTTATTGCCAAAGGTGGGTTTCTTTGTCAATGACCTGGAGCCTGTCGTCTTTGCCAGGTATCGTGCGCTTTTTCCTCCGCTCTCTCTCAACTTCTAGGTTGCTCCTTCCTTGAAACCCATTTGTCCCTGCCTTCACTCTCGTCTTCTCCGACTTTGCTCGTCTTTCTTCTTCACTCCCATCTCATTCCATTCTCAGCTCCTATTTTAATTCCCCTTCACTCACTCTCGTCTTCCTCCACTCCCGTCTTATTCCACTCCCAACTTCCATCTTTCGCTTTCTCAAATCGCCTTCCGTTTGGGAACGAACGATATTTTGCTCTTCAGGCAACATCTCGCGCCAAACGACTGTCCAGGCTTCGCCAAGGTGAGTATTTTTCATTTCGCCCAGACTTCTAGCACAAGCGCTAATCCATCACGGGCACAGCAGTTTTCAACACCGTCGCCGTTACCGTTGGCCTTCCGTCACTCTGAGATATTCGTCTCGATCTGCTCTTCATTGTTTGAGGGCCTTGGGTCAGACAGTCACAGCATCCTCGCCGCTCACCCCTCACCGTGACACCGTCAAGAACACCGCAAGTCCTGCCCCGGTCAAGGACGCAACCTCCACGCCTGCCTCCACCATGGCGTCAGCCGCAGATGCCGGAGGAGGCGACGGGCACCACAAGAAGGGTGTCGTTGTTGTCGGAAGAAAGGAGGCGTTTGCCTCTCGCGAACGTCACCTCGACCTCCGAACTGCCACCCTTTTGCTGTCCAACAGCAACTCGATCAACCCCCTCCACGGAACGAGCATCAAACGAAGGGAGATGACCGATATAACCGACAAGATCGAGCCTCAGAAGACAGCAGAGTCCAAAGCATATCTGCTTCGTGCGCACCGAGCCACAGACGCTCTCAACAGCATCATCATCATCAAGGATGAAGTCGCGGCACTGCTCCCCGCAGCCTCCACCAGTCCAGAGGGCAACGCTAGTTCGTTCATCCTGACTTCGAACCCTCGGTACGATGATCACATGCCGAAGTCCAGGAAGGAAGTTGAAGTCCAAGGACTCCCTTACCCAGCCTTGCAAGTCAGACTGCCTTCGACAAAGACAACGAACGATTTTCTAGTCAGGGTCAGGAGGCCCTTGGGAGTTCCAACCCTTTGGAAGGACTATCTCTCTGGAGCTTGGAAAGTCGCCCATGACGTTGAAAACACCCAGACTCCCATAGGAGAGCGTGGCGCCCCGGACCAATTTGGGGAGCACAGCGAGAATGTGCTGAGTATTCTCAACCAGTACCACAAGAAGGACATCGATAACGACGAGAGAGCCGCCTGGTTGACCATTCTCACGAACTACGTCTATCACTTTTCGATTGACAAGATCACCTCTCGTGTCTTGAACGGCAGCAAGAAGCGCAATTTTTTTCGAGTCCATGACCAAGACTGTACAGGAGCTCGATGTCATTTCCTCGGCGAACTTTGGTCATCTCTGTTCTGCATTTCCCTTCCGCCAAGGCGGACAGACGAATCCCGATGACATGCTCCAGGAAAGCTTGCTCTCGATCACGCAGACCACGGTCTTGCAGGAAATCATCTCTCGTGCACATGATCGCCGAGATGCTCTGATGGGCATCTCCCCTCAGTTCGCGACTGAAGCTGCCAGCTATTTCAATGCCTGCAGCGACTGGCAGACGAGCCCCATCAACAACACGGCAGATGCCCGCCAATTCTGGTACAGCCCTTCTGGAAGACTCGAATTCCACCGGATCCTGTCATCGCTGTTGTACTTCATTGAGCGTTTGTCTGAGAAACTGTCAGACAGACGGGGGGAACTTATGGCGTCGTTGACTACATTTGGGACGACAAAGCGGACGGTGGGGAACCGCGCAAATTGGAGCGACATGAAGTGAGCAAAGAAGAAGCAGCCCACGGCCGCCGCAGACGCCGCTACCATTCTTTCAGCAACGCAGAGAATTGATCATGATCTCCAGAGTTTCGAGACACTCAATCAGAAATTGCAGCTCGCGATATCCGACTTATGCCGCCTCAGGAAGCATTTCCCTGAGGTCATGAAGTCGCACCTGTACTGGATTTCCACAATGCTTCGTCCGCAGTCGACCTATAAGCCTTCTGCTGGATACAAGTCAACTGAAAGCAACAACCGCCTGAAATTGCAGGCCGACATCGCTCAAGGCTCTTCAACTCTTTGGCAGCATGCCGCCTCCTTTAGCCCTCCAGCTCCAGTTGCCGGCACCCAGCCCAGGACGCCCGATCGCGAGGCCGAAGCTCCCCAGACTCCGTACACTCCCTTTGCGAGATTAGGTATCTCGAGCGATGATTCATCCTCGGATTCTGATGACGACGAGCTCTCTAGGGAGCTGCTGACTTCAGCGTCTGTGGACAAATACGATTTGGCATTGTCACAGTGGTTGGGACTTGTCTGCAGATTCACCGAAAGCATCAACATTCTTGCAGAAACGCACAGAGAAACCATCAATCTTGACTCATCCAAGATACAGCGGTTGATCGTCGAACCTCTCTTCCTGGACAGAGAGATGACGCCGATCCCGCAGTTCTTGGAGAGCTTTGCCTGTCGTGATGGAAACCCTCTTTCCAGTGAGGATCGGCGCAGCATTGCCTACTTCTTCGAAGAGATAAGGAAGTGCCCACCACCGGACAAGTTCCCCGGAACCTGGCACGCGGAAACGCAGGCTCTATGCTTGCACGCACTCGCCAAGATACCAGTGGATCAGATTGTTGACGAGAGGGAGACAGCAGAGTCTCACCATCATCACGAACTGGAGCTCCCGAGCCAGGAGATCCTCAACTTTTTCAAGGAGTTGTCTCACATTGTGCCCGTCAATAAACGGTGTTGCCCTGTGTGCACCTACGTGATGCAGTACGTCGAGAACTTAGACAACCAGAACTTCTTGTTCTCAGGTGCACATTCGGACTGGGCTGCGACAACACTGCCTTCTTGGACGCCCAAGCGCATGTTCAACGCAATCTACAACGCGGTCATGAAAGAGCTCCAGATCCGCTTCGAGCAGATCGTCCTGGTGAACAATTGTGCTCGATCTGGCGACAGCGGAGGAACTCGAAGTGTTCAGTCATCTAGCACTGACGACAAGACGCAGAGCCCTACCCAGCAGCATGTCAAAGACCGGGATTCGCGTAAAAATCCTGGTTTGCTGCAGCTAAACCCTGCGACGGTCCTCCCGGCAACTGAGCAGGCAGCCCCGACTTCGCCTAAGCGCTCGGCAGCCGAGCGGAACGAGCCGGAGTCTCCGTCAAAGAGACGTCATCTTGATTAATGAACTTGTCGGTCTACAACTACGAGAATCCGACAGAGCCGGCGCCAAGTGCCACCGACCGCCGACCGCCGATGTATCAACTCGTCGGCCAGCCTTTTCGATCTTTGAGGAGATCTTGTCTTCGGGATCGACAGACTGCTGGCTGGGGGGTGGTAGGGGATGTGCGGCTCTGATTGTGGGGGGAGGGGGATGTGGGTGGCTGTAAAAAAGGAATGAAAACGGGGGGAAAAAAAAAAACTTGTAAAATAGTGAAAATCGGCAAAAACACGGGATAGACTTTTGGCTTCTAATTGCGCGGGGAAAAGAAAGAGACATATTTTCTGCTACTTGCGACTTGCTGGATGCGCCCCTCGATTTGCTTGCAAACCCAAATTCGACACAGGATTAATAGCAGTGGGTAAAGAATAGGTGATACACAAATTCTCTCCTGGGGAAACAAGTGGTTCCAACTTGGTGATCAAGTTCGTCCCGCTCGCAGTGGGCGCGCCCATTTAGTGTGCCTTCGACGAGCTCGGAATCTGCTCGTCAAGCACATGCTCTACGGCGTGCAGGGCCTTCGCAGTCCTCCCTTGTCGTCGTATTCTTCATCGTCTCGCTCGTCAGTCCTTGTTGTTGGTCCTTTTCGGTGGTCCTTCTTGTCGGTTTTCCTCCTCAGATCGTTAACGTAAATAATAAGTCAAGCAGGACTAACGCCGGGAGTGGAGTGGAGCCCGGGCCGGACGAGAGCGGGTCGGGCGGGGTACATCCGGGCCCCGCGTCCCGGTTTCCATCGTCGTGTACACCCTAGGGCCCAATTGACATGCAACCCCCGCCGCTCATAGTTGTCAATTGAGCCGCAAAACACACTTTCCCAGCCCATCCGCATCAATCTTTCCAGACGATTGCGACATTGGCAGGCGAACTTACTACGTGACAAACATGTACCAAGATCCAAGCAACGCGTTTTCAAGACACCAACCAAACACCTCGGCAGAATCCCTCTCCGATAGCATTCAATGGTTCCGCGATGATGAGAATAATGGTTGGTTCTGGCCGCTCAACTTGGATCCAAATTTGCATCACGACAATGACGGCTCTTCCAATGGCGAGGGCCTGCCCGGCCAGTCCCTGACCGAAGCTACCGGACACCCTTTCGGTCCCGATCACTCCTCTCGAAGGCGAGACCGCCATCACATCAGCCAGAGCGACAAGACCCTTGGGCCGAAAATCGGCCGTCGACTGTCGCTGGATGCCGTCCGTGTGCTCAAGCAATGGCTGTCAGCTCATCAAGGCCACCCGTATCCCTCCGAGACAGACAAGTCCTTTCTCCAAGCCTCCACCGGGCTGAGCATGGCCCAGATCACCAACTGGTTCGCCAATGCCCGGCGGCGCGGCAAGTTCCAGCCATCATCCCATGACACGGCTCGATTTCAGGACCAAAACGATACCCAACGAGATGGATCGGACCCCGTGACGATCCCACCGCGGCGCCCGACGCCGGCGCCGACAATGGCGTCGCCGCTGGAGAGGTGGGTTGGCTCGCCGCCCGAGAGCGAACCCGCCTCTCCAGATGACATTGCGCGTGCTCTGGCATCAAGTAGCGCCGATTCGACAACCTTCGACATGCTCGGGATGCCGGATTTCCTCAAGTACGGAGACGGTTCCTCCAGCAGTCTCGGAACATCCAGCAACGCCTCCATCTACTCCCCTGACTCGTTCCTGTCGGGGACGTCGCATGTCAGACGGTCTCGGCGCCGAAGATCGCACGACCAGAGCAAGACGTCCCGCAACAAGGGGACGCGTCTCGTCAAACATCGTAACATCTTTGAGTGCACCTTTTGCACCGAAACCTTCAAGACGAAGTACGCATGGCAACGCCACGAGAACTCGCTGCACTTGTCCCTGGAACAATGGGTGTGCGCGCCCCATGGAGCGATAGAAGGCACGGAAGGGGACTCTTGGTGTGCGTTTTGCGGCGTGCCGGATCCCAACGATGCCCACATCGTCTCCCATAACTATGACATCTGCCGATCGCGCCCTCTGCGAGAGAGAACGTTCAGCCGGAAAGACCACCTCGCCCAGCACCTTCGACTCGTCCACAACATGACAAAGACGGACGGCTTGCACAGAGATTTGTCACAGTGGAAGGCCTCATCGCCGGAAATACGTTCCACATGCGGATTCTGCGGCATGAGCTTGCAGACTTGGGAGATCAGGGCCGGTCATTTGGCAGATCACTTCAAGATGGGGCATACCATGGGAGACTGGAAGGGCGACTGGGGTTTCGAACCTGATATTGCCGCTCGGGTTGAGAATTCAATTCCTCCATGTAAGTCACAGCCAGAATTCATTGCCTACACTCGTCGTACTGATTGCTTCCCATCACAGATATCATCGGAACCGAGCGGAATACCCCGATGCCATTCCGTGCAAGCGCGACCCCTTTCGAGTCGCCTAGAAACGCGTATGAGCTCCTTAGCCTCGAGCTAATGCACTTCATCGACGTAACATACTCCGACACAAAGACCTTTCCCACCTCGACGCAGATCCATCTTGACGCGTGCCGCATCATCTTCACCTCGGAATGCAACCATCACGAGTCCCCCGAGCCCTCCTGGCTGCGAGATCTGATCATATCAGATCCGGATATTGCTATGGAAGCTCGCCTAAGACCAGTACGTTCCAGCGCAGAAAGCAAGTTATCTGTGTTAGGAATCATTGGTCAAGCTGGGCTATTCGATGGCTGTCCGCTGGAGGCGCAGCTTCGCAAATTTGCCGAGTCTCATTTCCGCTCTAATGGAGGTGTTGTTCCGGTAACTCACCATGAGCTGCAACAAGAGGCCACACGCATTGTTCAGAGACAAGAGGACAGCTCGAGAATTCTTTGCATCAACATGACGAACTGGATGATTGGTATGATCAACACCACTACTGGGTGGTTAGACAGCTTCTGCGAGAGGGCTGGCGTGTCGTTCTCTCCTGTTCCCGTCAGTATTGCCCACGTGCAAGAACCCGAAGACAATGCCGGGGCAACGAAAGCCATATTCGATCAGTATCAAAATCTTGAAGAGAGATTAGTGGACCACGTCGAAATTTTACGCGCTCATGGCGTCAAACCCGACGAGACAACACTGCGCAAGAAGGCCAACGAGCTCATCATGAAATCCGAGAACCAAGAATGGAAAGAGATAGCCATTGGGAACGAGAAATGGTTCGATAGCTTCCAAAGACGATACCTGAAACAGACGGAAGACCCCACGGCGACCAATGCCCCGGTCTCCCGGGAATCAGCTTATACCCAGGGACTGGAACGAAGAACGGGGTGGAAGGGGACCATGTCTTGTTAGCCCCGGCATACACCAGTACGGAGGAAGATATCAGGAACATCGCGGAAAAAGTGAGGGAGGTAGTATTTCGGTCGTTCACTTCGATAAGAGCTGCGTAATCCCTCGTTACTATTTGATGGTAGTACTCTCAAATGTTGGCATGCTTCGAGCTTCCTCCAATTCATGGCCACATGCATCTGCGACCAATTCCTCGTTCTTGCCTAGTTTCTGTGACAGTTGCGCCAGGCTTGGCCAGATGCCACTGCAAAATGCTGCTAAGACGGTCGAGAAGTGATGAAGGCAGGTGACGACAAGTGTTGAAATTGGTAACCGCGTTGCCACCGACAGTAATAGATGCATCAAGGGGGAGGAGGGGAAGCAGTCGCGCCACCACTGTGGGTCTTATCATGAGACTGACTCCTCGTAGGGTGTAGATGACATCGGACCGACTTCGAGGTCTAACAACAGCTGCATCCAGACGTTCATCCTCTGGTGTGAGACCAGTCCCACTGATGGCTTATTTGAACCGATGTGTGAGGTGGCTGAGAAATCCCGACGGGATGCTAATATATTGCCAACATATTCTGGACGGCTTGCTTTTTAAAATCTTGCTTTGTTTCATTCAGTATATGTAACCCAATTCTTGCGGATCTTCATCAAGATTCACAATGGCAACTTCAACCACAACCGATGCCCCAAGCCAACTCTACCATGGCCTCGCCTTGAGGGCATCAACTGACATGGGCTTCGACGACTTGACACGCGGTGACCGTCAAGGGAAGCTCAGACTGAGAGGGATCCCTCAGTTCTCCGATCCTTTGAAGCAGCGCCAGTGGATGCGTGAGCATATGGCCGCTGCTTTCCGCTTTTTCGGGAAGATGGGCTACGCGGAAGGCATCGCAGGTCATATTTCCATGCGCGGTAAGTTAAGAAGGCTGCGCGATCACCGTTCTCGAAGTGTCAAGTTTTATCGAGCTGATGTCGCCCGACTCTAGACCCGGTCTTAGAGGACCATCTCTGGCTTAACCCATACGCCAAGCACTTTTCGGCCATGAAAGCTTCAGACTTGGTTCTTGTGGACAGCGAAGGGTTCGTTGTCGAGGGCGGGAATCAGGCAGTCATCAACACTGCTGGCTTTGTGATCCACTCAGAGGTTCACAAGGCCCGTCCCGATGTCATGGCGGCTGCTCATGCCCACAGTGTCTACGGGAAGACATGGAGCGCCTTTGGAAAACCCGTTGAGATGCTTACCCAAGGTAAAGCTGTCTTCAATACTCTGAGTTACCTGCAAAAGATACAGATTCGCTAACGTCAATGTCCACTTTTTCTGTCTCAGATGCATGCAACTTGTTTGGGAAGCAAAGCGTATACGACTCACATGGCGGAGCTGCTCTGGCCCAAGAGGAAGGACAAGCTATTGCTAAGGCGCTAGGAAAGACAAACAGCGTTTGTATCTTGAAAACCCATGGGTGAGTTCTATCTGCGCTTGCCGGTTTTTGCCACTGGTCGCCTTTGGGTCTTCGTACTGATGGATACCAGACTTCTCACGGTAGGTGCAACGGTAGATGAGGCGGCCTTCCTCTTCCACAATCTAGAAAGAGCTTGCCATTCTCAACTACTAGCCGAAGCAGCCGCGGCAAATGGGTTGGAGAAGACCATCATCCCTGATGACGTCGCGCGATTCACAGCCCAGGTAGCCCAGAGTGCGGTATGTCACAAAGTAATTCATATTTTCAAGGAAGGAGATCGACTAATTCCTTGCAGGACAATTTCTACGTCGAATTTCAGCCCGAGTTCGATCTGATAGTGGAGGAAAGCAAAGGAAAAGTGTTGGAATAAGCCTTCATGTGCATCACGTTTCCTGCGAAATCAGGCTCTGGTACTTCGTAGAAACCTGAAGTCTGCAACCAAGTTCGTTATGACATGTCTGTACTTAGAACTGGCATAGATCTATTATCCCCCCTCGGAAACTGATACTCATACCTTACTCTTCAACCAAGGTTCAAGACATATACATGTGTAAACGATCTCAAAGGATCAATTATATCTGTAGCATATCTTTCCCGGGTTTGATTGAATAACCTTTCTTCGTAAAACTGCAGCTCAAATGACCTCTCACTTTCAACCAAGAGCTGCACGGCATATCCATCTGTCAATGACTGGATTCCCCCTCTGTCACTGAATTTACCGGTGTAAGTGGCTTTCCGTTTCCAAGGAAATACTGCTCAATATTCTTCATCGCGGTTTCCTCGAACTTCTGGATACTTCGTCAGAAAACTACATTTCGAGCAGAGAATGATAGCAGTCAGCTTACTCTATCAGTATCGACTGTTGATCCAGCCATGTGAGGAAGCAAAGTGACCCGAAAGCTTTTGAGAAGCCCCGGGTGCACTTCGGGTCTATTGCCAATTAGTCTGATGATTCTCGACCTGTAGAAGGTTAGGGCGCAACTCACTCATCAGAAAACACATCCATCCCAGCGCTGGAGATATGGCCACATTCTAGGGCTTCTACAACGGCAGCTTCATCAACACACTTCCCCCGACCAATGTTGACGATCCTGCTCCCCTTTTTCATCTCCCGAATCGACTTTGCGTTGATTATATGATGTGTCTCAGAATTGTAAGGACAGGCAAGCAGGATGCAGTCAGATACTCTCAGCAAAGATTCAAGATTACCGTGGAAAACGGGGTCTCCGAGCTGTTTTTCTGCGTCTGCTTTCTTGCGGCGGTTGAAGTAGTGAATGTTCATGCCTAATGCTTGTGCACGCTTGGCAACTGCAACACCGATGCCGCCCATTCCTACAATGCCGAGTATCTTCCCGTCGGGTTCAAGGGCCTCTTTCAAAGTTTCATGAACATTGAAGACATTGGCCGATCTAGTCTCCCGGAGAGTCCTCTCGCAAAATGTCGTGAAACGGAAAACCGACAGTATGAGAAAAAGACCAATGTCTGCGGTTGACTCTGTTGCACATCCAGCGCCGTTACAGTACCATATCCCTCTCTTCTCTAGTTCTTCCACGTCTTGACCATCGTAACCATGGTTGCAGTAAGAGATGATCTTGCAGGAAGCAGGAAGATGGCTGATGAGCTCCTTATCCAGGGGAGGAAGCATGTTTGCGGAGAGGTTCGGACGCATGATTCCATCGATATTGGAATACTTGCCCCCGGAAGAAAACGCTGCGAAGACATCTTCTTTGAGAGTCAGATCGTAGAAGAGTATTTCGAATTTGTCCTGAAAAGATGCCCAATGTTCACGGGCGAATAAAATGGGCTGACCGACATAGAGAATCGTCTTCTTCGCCATCTCTGCGAACAGGTATGTCAGTTGTTGCCCTCAGCTAGTCAAGAGCCGATTATCTCGAATAAGGCGATTGCCGCACTTAATTGAATAACTAACGTCTGAGTGAGCGTGATCTCTCAAATTAGCTATGTAACATGAGCGGCGTGATCAATGCCCACCAGGGCATAAATGTCACAGGGTGCAGATGTCAAAGGGTGCTCATGACATTGCAAATCTGACCCAGGCACAGGGCGCAAATGATGACCATCAGAGACTACCGGATCGTACAACTCTTGATTATTATCGAATCAAATCCATTAAATCTATCAGATAAGATTAATCACATACAGCCTCCAACTTCGTTGCAAGAAGTGGCCCACCAGGGCATCATTGACACGACAGGATCCTTGCGTTGGCCCGATAAGGCAACTCGGGCAATAGGCATTGACAACCGGTTGAGATAAGATATAGCCGAGATGGCATTAGATGCACCGAGGCATGAGACTGACATCCCGCGGGCAACTTGGGCTGTCTGATAGTATTAGCACGTATTTAGTTTCTCCGACGAAGAGCATAACCGCACACGCGCCCATCACGAATGCTCAAGTGTCTGACTTCTTACTCATCAACTCAATCCCCATCATGATTTCCACATCAGTGTCTCCAGCTTTTGTTGATCCTCAGGTTCTCACGTCCTGGGAGGACAAGGTGTCCTGGACTCGAGCGAAAAGAGATCTTGGATTGAGCAAAGTCGAACCGAAGATTGAAGGGATTCCGACGGAGTTACCGCTCAGCTCACAAGGACTTCCGAAGCTCGCGTTGACGCAACGGGAGATCGAGATTACCGAAAACTACTCGGTTAAGGAACTCTTGAAGTTGCTCAAGTCAAGACAGTTTTCAGTCGAGGAAGTGACCAGGGCTTTTCTACGAAGAGCTGCAGTTGCTCAAATTGCTGTAAGAGACATCAAAATCTTCATTGGATGAAGTTTCAGTGCTGATCATAGATGCTATTCATAAGACGAACTCTGTTGTGGAACTCCTGTGGGATGAGGCCATAGCCCGAGCAAAGTCTCTGGATTCACTGCCAGAGCCTACGGGCGAGCTGTTTGGGCTGCCAATCTCTACGAAAGAGCACCATGGAATGGTGGGAACCAATGTCATCACCACTGCCTCCTTCGTCGGCTGGTTCAACAAGGAACATGGCTCCAATATCCTGTACGAATCACTGTGGGACGAAGGATGCGTTTTCTACGTGCGATCAACGCAACCGCAGACCATCATGCATCTCGAAACAGAGAGCAATCTTTATGGGAGGACAGTCAATCCGTACAACCGCCACCTGACGGCTGGTGGCAGCTCTGGAGGCGAAGCTGCGTTACTGGGCATGCGTGCGAGTATTCTCGTGAGTACACCGACCCTGTAACTACGGCTTTGAGTTGGGATCTGATCATGGTTTGTAGGGTGTTGGCGGTGATATCGGTGGCAGTATTCGCTGCCCTGCATCCCATGTTGGAGTTTACGGTTTCAAGTAAGTTGTGTAACACGTTCAGAGTGAAGCAACGCCAAACTGACGGATTCAAAGACCATCGGTCAAGCGCATTGCAGTCACCGGACAGCGAAGTATCATGGCCGGCAAAGAAGCCATTATCTCAACTCCGGGTCCCATGAGCGTCGACCGAGAGGCCCTCAGTCTGTTCATGAGAGTCGCACTTGCAGCTAAACCTTGGCTGACCGATCCTGCTATCATTGCAAAGCCATGGACGCCATACAAGTTCACACGACCCCTCAAGATCGCGGTTGAGTGGTGGGATGGTGTCGTGCAGCCTCATCCGCCCATCACCCGGGCTCTGAGGGAAGTTGTTGACGCCTGTCGCACCTGTGGGTTTACAGTCGTTGACTGGGACTCGGAGCCGCTCAATCATGCAAAGGGCTGGGAGATTCTTTCCTCGCTTTACTTTCCTGACGGCGGCGACCATGTGCGCGACATTCTGGCTGAAAGTGGCGAGCCAATACTGCCGCTAACCAAGTTCATCATTGATGAACAACCTGCTGTTAAGAATTTGACCCAGCAAGAGCTGTGGGATGTGAGTATTTAGTCACAGTCAGTTAGCAGCTCGTGCTGACTCTGAAAACAGCGTTGCGTCGAACGTGACCTCTACCGACAGGCCTATGCGAAAGCCTGGTCTAAGACGGCCGAGGGAGATGGTGTCGAAGTTGATGTGATACTTTGCCCTGCCTCGTTCGGCGTGGCGACCCCTCACGGTCAGTCTCGCTACTGGGGGTACACGTCGATCTGGAACTTGCTTGACTATCCGGGCGCTGTATTCCCAGTAACAAGTGTTGATCTAGTCAAGGACCAGAAGGATGATCACTACGAACCGAAGAACGCCGAGGATCAGTTTGTTTATGATATGTATGAGCCTTCAAAGTACGAGAACGCACCGGTGAGCTTGCAGATTGTTGGAAGGAGGCATTATGATGAGAAGGTTTTGCTGCTCTGGATGAGATCGAGAGAGCAATGGGTCGATAGATATCAATAGATAACAATTTCTCAGGGATTTCTTAGCTTTTCTCGACATAATGTGTTTCTGGATAGGTGACAGATAGAGAAATATGAATTCCGTAGAGGTTGCTCCTCCTTTTGTGTATGACCTGTCAAGATCAATATTTGAGCGATGTTCAAGAGAACAGTTTACCCGAGAACTATCAGGGTTTATCTGAGTTTCCAGATATATGATCAATACTCAGTAGAGGATACTGAAGGTAGAAATTTGTCATTATCATCGTGTGATGTGTTCTTTGTTTGAATCAGTGAAAATCTCCAAAGATAACGGATTTGTCGGTCTTCTGAGATTTAAGATTTTGTAGACTCACAAAAACATAGACCTTCACTGAAACAGCTGCTGGCGAAACTGATCAAGACCACACATAAGCAATAGTAGAATGTCAGATTACTTGAAGCTATAGCTAGTGCACAAACTTTGAAAAATCTATTAAAACAACATATCTGTAGGGGCATCTCTTCTAGCTCTCTTCTAGCTCACTTCTTCGACCAGAATTCCCCATTCATGACTCCGAGGTCCGTACATGATACCTTCCAAGAGGCTCTTGATCGACCTGGCAACAGAAAACCCGCCATTGGTCATGTTCACTGGGATGTCCCATTCTTTGCCGTCGAAATGAATCTTTGAGACAGGAGTGATGAAGAACTTGGCAATGTCGTCAGTTTTGAGTTGGGTGGCCGAAAGCAGAAATACTTACCGCAGTCCCAGTCACAAATGCCTCCTGAATTCTTTCCTCTTCCCAAGCCAACTTAAGGTCGTACATCGTAAAGCGGTCTTCCTTTACCGCAAGCTCGTTGGAGAAATGCTCTCGGGCGAGTTCCAGAGTCGACTGTCTGGTCACGCCCTCCAAGATGATACCATCTTCCAAAGGAGGGGTGATTAGCTCGCGTTTTCCTGTCTCCTTGTTCTTGACCACAACGAAGAAGTTGCTCGAGCCCGCCTCCGTGACTTGGGCGTCATCCCCAAGGACCCAGAGGATCTGGTCGTACCCGCGCTTGCGACAGTTCTGGAGCGCAAGAAAACTTGGTCCATAGTTGGCGCCAACCTTGGCATGGCCGAAACCGCCCGGCCAGGCTCGGACCGCGCCGTTCTCGGATGTCATGAGCCGGAGGCCCTGGGGCTTCTCCAAGACACCCGGGGGAATGTCAGAAGAGAAGTCTGGCCAGGCTACCATCATGACCATAAGAAGGGCCTCCTTGGGGATCTGGATGCCTATTTGCGTGCCGCTTCCAATGAGGGCAGGGCGGATGTACAGGAAGTTGCCCTTTCGGCCCTTTGGTAACCATCCTGGCGCGAGTGTGTCAGTCATGTGTTGAAATAGTAACGAACGAATTGCAGAGGCCATACTTACTAGGACCATCTATCCGAACTAGAGCTTTGATCAATTCAACAGCTTCGTTCTCGTTGAACTCGGGTAAAGACACGCGCTTCGCACTCATTGCCAATCGTTTCATGTTTTTATCGGGTCGGAATAGCCTCAACTTGTCGTCATGCCCGCGGAATACTTTCATGCCCTCAAAGCATTGGGTTGCATAGTGCAGGCACGACGCCGCCGGAGAAAGACTGATATTGCCAAAGGGCTGGATGCGAGGGGTTTCCCAGCCATGCTCCTCAGTCCATCTCGCAGTGACCATATGGTCACTGCAGATATTCTGAGCCCATAGTTCCGGCGTTCCGGGCTCAGGGACGCGCTTCAGAGTCTGTGAAAGATTGATCTCGAGGTTTGAAGCGTTCAAATCTTGGGAGCTGCCATTCTGAGTGCTGTCCTCTCGCTTGTTTGGTAACGCCGAGGGACTCATGGTGGAAAGCTTTGTCAAAGTCTTAGGGGGAATGAAGATCATGGAATGTCTGGTTAAATTAAGCTGAGTCCATCCGAGAATATTCTTGTATACTGGTTTTTAATTCGTTCATATGTAGCCCTGAGGTTGTTCCCCGTTGAGCGCAGCGGTTCACATTCATGACGGGGTTCCGCTCAGAATAGCGGAGCTTGTCATGCGTAGGGTGTAGGGTGCTCCAGGGTGAAGTTGACCTTAACGACCCGAGTTGCAATCGGAGAGTTTCAGCAGCAAATGGTCAGATCAAATGAAACTGGAGGGAAAGGCTTTAGTTCAATAATTCTGTAATTACTTTGACTAATTCCATATGTTCAGGAGCCAGCCTCTGGCGTACTCTGGATGAGCTGACTTGAGTAGCTCTACACGACTTTCGTCCCAAAACAGTAGTCCTAGTCTTTTCCAACGTCCTAAAATCACGAGAGCCTTGCGATAGTGATCAGGGGTTCTGCTGTCTGGAAATGAATGAGGCAAGTCCTTGCCCCAACGGCAGCAATCTAACCCATCCAGTGCATCAACCCAGCCGAAAGGCGGATCCGCCACCGACGGGCCGGCGACTAGAGCCGGCATGCTGCGTTCCTTGAGATAAAGCTCTGATCGCAGAGTTCTCATCTGCCTCAGATTCTCCGCTGCTCCATCGGAGTATGTGCGGCACCCCATCCTCTCGTTTGGAAAATCGTGACTTGCGTTGAGAAAACCGACAGCGCCATGCAGTGCCTTCAGGCTGCGTTCTTCTATCTTCCCCGAGACTCTTGACATAAGACTGGGGTCGTTATCGATAGCCGACTTTACGACTTTGTACAACAGAGCCAAATCGTACATGTACTTGTTGACATACCGTCGTTCCGACTGACCCGAGGGTTCGTGGGTGTCATTCGTCTGAAAAGATTCCATAGCAAGGCATAGCTGGGTGACAAAGACGTGTGCCTGGTGAATCTGCTCGGCTTCCCATGCAGCGAAAGCGGAGAAGAAAGGCCCAAGAACTTCTGCCATCCTAGCATTGTAAGGATGTAATGTCACCGCAAGTTGGTAGCGCAAGAAGGCTGCGGAGAGGCGTCGACGCTCGTGAGAACTCAGCGGACCGGCGGCGGCGGGTGAAATTTTTCGCAGGTCGTGCCGACGGATCTCGAAGAATAAATCCACAAAATACCACACCGCGGTCTTGAGTCGTACGGCGATGATGATCTCGCCAAGTTGCAGCTCTATCGTCGACTTCGGGCCTTGCTCTAGACTCTGACACCGTTGCATCGCAACCCGGATTCGGTGTTCGCGTCCCCACCATGAAACCACCCGAGGCGTAGTCGCGGCGGCAACGGCGTCTCTCATAATGGGTATGAAGTCGTACGAGAGCATCCCGAGGAATACTGCTCTCTTGTGTAGCAGAAAGTATTGATAGAGACTTCGCGACGCTTGTACGACTGAGCTCAGATCGGCCAGACAAGGCAGCCTGGAGAAGATGGCGATTAGGACGTCGGCGGGCAGTGAATCCAGAGAGCACCTCGATCTTTGATCAACTACAACGAGCCCATCCATAACTCTGAATTCAAGCCTTTTCGGAACCCGGCGACTGTGCGGTAAGTTGGCGCCAATGAATCTGCGTAGAAGTTAACTTGGTGTAGATGAGTTTCGTTGGACGAAGCCCGCGATGAAGCTGTTAGGCAGCAGGCAAAGAGGACGCGACGCGAACCAATGAGATCTGCTGATTTCGAGGTGTGAGCTTGAGCAAAATTGGAGCTAGAATGTCGATCGACGTCTTTTTCGAGTATCTTACCAGGCCAAGAATCGGCAGTCGTACGTTTCTCCAATAACCCAAGAAGCCTCGATCACAAGTCGCTTTCTTCGTCCTGTCGCCGCAGATGCCGTTGGGCAACCACAACATCAGTACTTATCACGAAATTCACAACATCAGGAACAGTGGGTGGGAAAGCTAAGAATATTGTCTTTCACTGAGCTAGACTGATATTCCCAGTGCCTGTACATAGAATGTCCTTCGCAGTTCGGCCGTTTCAATGCTTGTAGCGTTGAGAGGAAACCCCAAAAAAAGAACTCGTCTTCTGACATTTATTTCTCTACTTAATCTTTCTACCCCGAAGAATAGCAAATACATCCCCTTCGACATCTTCAGGGCGTGTCGAGACATGATATGCGTCATTGGAGGCGGAAGCATGAGCCCTGGGAATTCCAGCAGAACCAAAGTTCCATTTATCCAAAACCTATGGATTCAACAGGCCCAAACTTGTGAATGATCAGCTTTGGCCGCCCATCATTACCCACGGGCTCAACACCCTTGCCCTTGATCCAACAAGGCAGCATAACGACAGCGTCGGCATGGTCTTCGGCACCGCCCCAGCCCCACCATCCACCACCGCACACCTCAATCTGTACGAAAAGCCGTCGTCGGGCGCCGCGTCATCGGGGATCATGTAGTGCAAGTAGCTCCACGTCGTCCATGACTGTTCCGGACGGAGCCTTGAGAAATCCTTGTGGGTGGAAGCGTGAATGGCTTCGTCGGGGTCGGAGCCAAAAGCGCCGCCAGAACATGGAGCAGCCTCATGGTGAGGGCCAAGGAAGAAGGTTCACTACTAAACGGAGACGAGAGCTTAATGATATTCCGATGCCAGTGAGTAGCATGAGACACGACGGCGGGCTTTATTTGTCGCTCCAGCGTCACATAGACTGGACGGGAGCCCGACTTCGTCTTGGCGAGGACGACGAGTCTACTCGCTGGCTTGTCACGATGGTGGCCACTAAGACCGGTTTCCAGACCCGCCGTCGGAATCTTCACGAGACATGTGGTGAGTAGCAGTTTCCCGCATGAGAGATTGGGTACGCGCCCGAGGTGAGGAGAACATGCGACGGGGTCTGGCTGCCGTTGAAGCCATCTTCTCATCTCAATGGACCGCTATCAATTGGGCAGCGGCTCAAAATGCTTAGCCCAAAGATAAGCCCTGCGCAATTTCGGCGGCATGATCTTGGAGGCTGGAAGTTCGACATGTTCGGGCCGCCTCCGAGCAAAAGTTCCTCAACACCAACATGAATGGGACTTTGCCGCAGGCCAAGCGGTCTTACAGCGGCCCAGCTGGCGAGAGAGACGACACTGATGCAGACGCAGGGCAGGAGTTGAGAAATAGAACCAACAACGTCCACGGTGGCAACCGACCAGGATCGAAATGTGGAAACCAACGCGTTGCGGCACCAGAAGGACCCCTCGGGCAGGCTGGCGAGGCAGGTAGGTGACTCAGCCCTAGCATCTAATTAGTGCAGTCGTTTATGGTTGTTTCATATTATCCAATATCATTTTTGCCTCGCATTGACGCCGCAGACTGTTGGACGGTCAAATATCCTCTGATAGAGACGCCTTCTCTTCCATTACTTGCCCCTCGACACCTCCGTCTCCACGCGGCCTCTTCTCCCGTACAATCGGTGCTTCCTTGTAATCGTCACAGCCCTCTGTTGTAACCGACATCTCAACAGAGCCACTCAGACGAACGCCTTTGCAGCTTCCAGTCCGCAGCAATGGTGGTGCCAAACTGGCTGAGGATGTGCGTTGCCCCCGCCTGGTCCAACAACAGCCGTCCGTCCATTGCTCACTAACCGCACGCAGAATCTTCCTCGTACTGACATTTGCCTCATTCGTACCCCAGCTTCACCGACTCTGGGCCCGCCGCGATAGCACCGGCATCTCCCATTACTACGTCCTGGCCAGTCTCATCGTCGCCACCGAACTCTTCGCCATTTCCTTCTTCCTCGTCGTTAACAACCGCTTCGAGGGTTCCGACTTTTTCGTCCACTCTCCGCCCAATGCGGGCGACATCATCAACCTAGCGCAGCTCGCCCTGGTCTGGGTCCTCTGGCTGAACATGTAAGTCTGCCTCCGGCCCTGAAGCACCAGCCATCTGCAGGCGCTGACCATCCCTCCAGCTTCGTTACCTGCCTTGTCTACCCGTCCGGCAGCCACATCTCCCCGCGCCCCCGCACCACTCTCTCTATCTACATCTCCTTCCTGCTCATCTCCCTCGTCCCCCTTGCGGTCGACCTCCTCGCCAACGACCCGCTCGAAAAAGACCACCGCTGGCCCATGGCCGTCTTTGGCTACGTTCACACGTCCCTGATCAACCCTCTGATCCCCCTCGTCGGCGTCGCCGCCCTCTACTTCCAAGCCCGCGAAATCCTCGCCCAGCCGCCCGGCTCGGGCCCGGCCGCACTGAGCCTCATCTCCCTGGCCGCACAGGCGGCCGTCTTCGCCCTGCTTGCCGTGGCGTGGGTCGGGCGCGTCGTCTTCCCTTGGGACACGATCGGCGGGCCGGTGGACTGGGGCGTGGTCAAGGTCTGGTATCAGTATGCTGGCTTCGTGGCCGTCGACAGTTTCATCTCCGCCGTCACCCAGGCAATCATTCTCTGGCTGGCGGTGCACTATGGACTCGACGGGAAGTCTGCCGGGGAGGCGGAGCCCTTACTGGCCAACTAACTAGGTCCACTTGCGGTCTTCCTCGGTACAGCCTTGCAATATTGTATAATATGTGACTGACACGGCTTAAATCTGGTGGCAGGAACGAGCGAAATCTCAAATGACTTTGTCGTTTGGTTCATTTAGACTATACTCGTTCAAGATGGATAGATTGGACTCTATTAGACTAAGTTCGGGACTGGAGATACGTGGTCGCATTTTCTGTCATCTATAAACCTTGCATCTTGCATATATCCATGGGCTTTATAAACTCTCATTGTGTTGAGTGCTGGGTATTGCACTTATATCGCGTCATATGGAAAGTTATTCTCAAGGTGTGGCTTAATACGATTCTTTTTTTCGTAGCTCGCGATGTCCTCACTTCTTCTGTAAACCTTGCATCTATAGCTGTGTCTCGAGAAGAGGCTGAGCTCAAAGGTGTGGCCGAGCATGTACGTGCGTCAACATGTTAGTTTCGTTTCGAGCATTGTCCGCACGAATCAATGCTATTCACGAGTCTGGTTTGTCGTCTGATCTCAGCCCGACATGACGATTCCGCCGTATGGGGCATGGGATGTGTTGGTGTCTTCATCTTGAAGCATCCGGACGTGTGCGTGAGCATTCGAGATACGTTTCTCGCACCATACCCACCAAATGTTGAATGTCTGAGTAGAATTTGGGCATTTGACAGATTGGGTTATTCACGGCAACATAAAGGTAGCAATTCTCCAGAATCACCTGTCAATCCCGTCTCCGTGGCGATGAAGAAACCCGAAATCAAAACCAAAATACGGATAGTACTCGCCAACGTGACGACATGTTTTTAATCAAAGACTATTGCGAGAACCGTCAGGTTGTGAGGACACCAAACCTTCGTCGGATCTAACAAAAAAAAAGGTTCTACTCGTCGGGCATGGCGGGATGTCGAATAGAGCGAAGAAAATAAGGACGGCTGCATTGTATTACGCGACGTGTGGCAATTGTCATCAGATCTTAAGTCGATAGACGAACGGAACCTTATCCCAGTTTCGAATATCTCTCAAGTCAACGGCTTAACCCTCTTCTCGCTCTTGACGCGCACTTCGTCTGAGGTTTGGACTCATATTCGGCCTACACTAACCCGGCATTAAACCATGAATATAGCAGCACCCAATTGGGAACTTTGCCCTCTTGAATCCGGGGTTGTACTCCCTTTCTGTGCATAAGCGAGACCGTCATCGTTGGGGAGCCAATTGGCGATGTCTTGTTCCCTTACTTGACGGGTGGAAGTCTTTTGTTGCTGATTTCTAGGTTGCTGGGGTCTTCGGATGATATTGGTACGAGTTTCGTGAGGCTGGGAACAAAAGCGCTACTTGGTCCCTTTGGGTCAAGTCAATGTTCATGTATGATTTCATCATGAGCCCGAATCCTTGGCATAGACCAAATATCTTTGTTATTGAGGTCCCGGGCGAGCTGCCGTGCGGAGACCCCGCAACACCGAGACATGTTCAACCGATACTCTCGAAAGCATTGCCGTTTTCAGTTTCTGTGAGGTCTGGAGTGGGTTAAGATTTCGAGACTCTCCTCTCATTGACAAGAGACTCGGTTTATCTTTTGATTTGGATTACACTGTTCACGAAGCCTGTACTGGGTCAACCTGAGGAAGAACTCGTCGCTTGCAGTACTAGCAGATGACATGACGGCCTGAGTTGCATAGCCGGATTGCTGAAGCAAAAGAAGTTCAAGAGTCCGAAGTGGTCTGCTCATTGGAAAAAACAATGATGAAGTTGTACATGTCTTGTGCAACTGTAGCTACGTGTGACGAATAGAACAGCCCTGCCAAGAGAAGCAGACAAGCCGTGAAGTAAGATGATAAGATCATTGACTGTGACTATGCTGTGGAGCTTTACGTACCTCATCAGAGACACGATCGTTCTTTGCAATTGGATCATTGCCCTAGGGATGACAGAATGCAACTAGAGATAATGAAAACAACTATTTTAACTATAACAAACAGAACTTACACCAATCGTATCACTCCGCACTTAATTGGAAAAACTAATGCAATTCTCTGCGCAATACAATGCAGCCACCCTTTTTATTTGGGATCGCCATACCCAACGAATACACATTTAACGTTCAATTTTTAGAAACGTTTCTTAATGAGCTTCCAGGCTGCCATGGCTCTATTGATTGGAAACGTCCTAACTTCAAGAAGAACTTATGCTCTGAGTGTCAAAAAGTCAAAAGAGATATGCTTATGTATCTACTTTCTAAGGCAACTCGAAAACCACTGGTGTAGTCTCAGTATGAACTTCCTAGCTGCCTCCATTCGCCATTCTGGATCCAAAATTCTGCGTTGCAAACTCCCTAAAATGACTGTGAACCACGTTGGCTGTGCCCTCCATAACGATAGAATCCTCTGTAATGAGCGCAAAGGCGGCAGGGCTTTCAATGTCCAAAGCTAACTCCTGTACGTTCCCATACCCCATCAGCATCGGTCAGTCTCCATATCAAAACAAGCGTAAGTATCATAATGACTGGATGGAAATACTGACCTTGATCCTACTATGACTTCTTTCAAGTTCCAACAATGCGTTCTCAAGGCCACCGTAATTTCCACGCAAGTCCCAGAGGAGCTTGCTGTCTTCTTGCTCCAGAACGTACGAACCGCTAGCACCCCACCATAGCCGTCGAATGTCTTGAAGAGAATTGCGCGGGGGTAGATTCGCGTCGGGGTGGCAGTGTAAGGACTTTCTTCCGGACACGTTGATGAAGTAGCTACCCTGGGGTCCTAGAGAGATTCCGGTTGGGCAACTGGTGTTTCCATCCCCGCTGATGAAGCTGTAGAGGTCTGGATACGTGGCTCGTAGAGATCCGTGGTCTATCGTTCCAGTAAGGTTAAGTTAGAAGAGGATTGCTTCCAAGATCCATTCTTTGTAGAGAAGAGACACAGCAAAGACTTCGCCTCAAACGTACTTACAGTAGCATTTTCTAAATACCCATCCTTCGTGATAATGAGTGTAGTATGATGAGTTCTCTCCGAGGATAATATTCATCATCTTAATGTTATTCGATTCTTGCAACCTCACCACACTGCTTCGTGTGGACGGCGGAAGGTATCTTTCCACGGTTAGTTGCTTTCAATCCACTTATGCTAACGAGGACAAATGAAGTGAATGTAAGATAAAGAAAATTGGAGAAAATGTAAGTAACGTAGGGGCTGGTGAGAACTCACGATTTGCGGTACGCGGGGCCGATGAGGGAGCAAAACTTGCCCCGGATGCTCATGCTGACATTAATCTTTTTCCGGTCCCTATTGGACCACCACTGTCCCATGGCTTGCGCAAAACCTGGAGAAGTCACCCGAGGAACGACGTAGGAATTTGGCCTACTGTTGTCTTGGGTACCGCCTGTGTCTGTGGTTATGGCGAACTCCCCTACGACGTACTCCTTTGCGAGCCTCCTCTTCTTGTCTTCCTCTGGCTCCTGGTCGTTTTTGTCGAAATTATCCCGTATCAGCGTTTCCATCGACTTTTTCATCTCGGCTTGCCTGTGTTTACAGATTCTTTCACTCCTGCCTCTTGCAATACTGATCTGTTTTTCAAGGTCTTCAAGCTCTTGAAGCATGTTAAGACCTCTCTCCTCTCGTATTCGAATCATGTCTGCGTTGTACTCGGCGATGCAGGTCTTGATCTCTTCCTCCTCTTGGTTCAAATTGTTGCAGACTTCTTGTCCGGCCGAGGTGCTCTCGAGGACCTTGTGCTGATCCACCATCTCGCGCTGGATCGCCAGTTCCATTCTATGTACGGGTCCATCCGACTGTTCGCGTTCTTGCGGAAGGAACATGTCGATAAGCTTTCGGGCGGATTCGGCCGTGTCGTAGTGTCGCTCGACGCGGCTCCCTCTCTTCACCATGCAGCCCCAGAACTCCTCGTTCTCGACTAGTTGTGCTTCCCTCGACACCCCGAAATCCTCCTTTTCAAGTTTGTTCCACATGGTGGTAACGAGAACGACGTGTTTGAGGTTATCGGCCCCGCATAGCTGACGGAACAGGGTCACACTGCCTTTTGCGGAGCCTTGCATTCGCACATCAGTGATACGATGCAGATAAAGAATCCCGTGAAGACGGATGTTGTGCTTGTATGTCAAAGAGAGCCATGAGACCAGGGACCGTAGGACGCTCTTGTCGGTTCTGTAGGTGTCGTCGAAACCGGGAGTATCAATGAGGTAGATGTTGCAAGTGGCAGAGTAGGCGTATTGGTAGACCTTAACGTCTTGAGTACCTATGTAGGCATGGGAGCATCGCACATCAGACTCTGTTCATACGAAAGTACAACGGCGACCGAACGGTATGGTCGAGCTTAGAGAATGCTTGAACTCACAGGAATTTAAGTTGTGTCCAACCTCCGGTTTATTCTCGTCAGTAGTGAGGTGGGAAATGAAAGAGCTCTTCCCGACCCCAGTGGCTCCGAGCACGGCCAAAAATATGTCCGTTTCTCTTGGCTCATGACCATTTCGAATGCATGATAGATCTGTTTCGGTGGGCGGGCTCGATTGCGGGAGGTTATCGTCCTCGAGTCTCCTGAGATGCTTGTCTTCGATAACGTAATCTTCAGTAATCCTTGACGGCTCGTAGCGTGCGAACTTTGGAAACAACTCCGCCCAAGAGACTCCATTTAGTAGTTCTGGTATGAAGCTTTCGTAACCAAGCTCATGATTTGAAGTCCTGGGTAGTCGATCTTGGTCTTGGCAGTCACAGTCGTCTCGTCCACAGACTAGTACGTAATCATCAGGGTTACCGAATTCTTCGAGATCGGCCTTTCGTCGGGTAGAGTTCGAGCCCTCCACGCTGGCATTGTCTTTCTCGGAGATGTCGCTCCGAGCAGGAGGTAAAAAGAGAGCAATGTCTTGCATATGCTTCTTGATGTGCCGGCGTAGCTGTATTTGGGCTTGAGGATCATTAGGATTTGGAAACCGTTTTTCGACATCATCTGGATAGCCACCACAGAAGGGGCATTTTTCAAATAGAAGTACCCCTTTCCGTCGACTGCTATCTTTCAGAAGGGAAATGTTGTCAATGGAGCTATGAAAATGCTTGTTGATATATGTATCCAACTCGATTTCTGTGAACTTTTGGTGTTGGCCGTTTGGCATATCGACATGATATTGTTCGTGGAAGTGTTGCTGCATGTGATCCAACAACCCATCGAAGTTATTAGGTACGTCAAATGGCGATTGACAGCCTTTGTCTAGACAGAAGTACGGCTGAAAGTCTTGTAGGACATGCTGTCTTTTGTAATCACAGTTAAGTTAGCAGTTGAATGATAGATGTGGCTTGACAAGTAACTAACCCCCACTGTGGATTGTGAGCCTCGTGAGCCCGAAGTTCAATTCGACAGTAAGGGCACTGGAAGCTCTTAGCGCCGTTCAACCGAGGAGGTGGCGGAATGCCATGTTGTAGAGTAATTGAAACAACACTGTCAGCTCTCTCTGGGGTCATTTCGGGAACTACTTCAAGTTTCGTGATCTCCGTAGCTGATAACATTGTGCGTTGATCTTCTTGCCGGGCACGCTGTGAGACGTTGATGGCCTTCACTACGTCCGCGTTCTTCGTCGTCGTCAATTCTTGAGAGGTGGCGCAACAAATAGGTGCACCACTTGGTCCAGTTATCCGAGAATCAATTTTGTCGTGTCTGACTGAAGGAGCCTCAACGGCCCGCTTTCTCTGGTGACTCTTCAAATACTCAAATCGAATCCTTCGTCTGGCGAATGATTCAACCATCCTTTCCAGTACGTGTAAGAATTCGGGTGCAGACATGGAAGGAAAGTGCGACTTGGCCCTGTATTGCGCCAACCTTTTATATCCTTCGAAGGCGAACTGTGTGTCATTTCTCTTCATGTAGAGTTCAATCCGCTCTTGACGATGCTTGTTTCCCAATCTTCCAACGTGTAGCGAGAAGCCATGCAAGCGTTCAATTGTGTTCTCGATATGTTGTCGAGTAGCTTGGTCGTGTGCGTTGGCATTCTCGGGAGTATCTGTCGCCATGGACTGACTCAAAGAGGACATGGAATCAAACGAAAGATTTGAATCTTCGGAGCTCGAATCATGGTCTTTCTCCGGTACGTCGGAAACCTCGGAAAACTCCTTCGGTGCGTCGACCGCATACTGCAGACCTAGCAGGTGGGGGAATTTCAGCAAACGTTCAGTCATAGAAGGTTCTCACTCACTTTCAAGATCTTGCTGCAAAGATTGCAGCAGCTGCATGATGATATCGCAAATCTCGGGAACATCTTTGAGCCGTAAATCGATCGATCGAAGCCCATGGCCGTTGACACCAAGTCTAGCACACCACAGATTGAATTCCGCAAATTGATGGGACGCCCAATGATCCACGAGGTCCTCATTTTCCAGGGCTTCTTCTTTCTGCAGAAGCCTTCCCAAATAGCTTGCGCATATCTGTGCAGTGAATTTGATCGTGGCGGTATCTTCAGGCCTTGCTTCGTCATCCATGGTAGCCGAAGTGAGCTGGTAATCCGGTCAAGAAACCTCTCTTTGGGCGAGCAGAGAATTGAGGAGAGAACGTCCGTTTACGTTTGTGGTCCAAATGCGCAGGGGCATCTTAGTATCCAAGACAAATTCAGACAGAGGAAGTCATGTGGGCGGGCTTTCAAGGTTCTTCTGCAGGGCGTAATGTCGCCCGCCTTGCACGCCCCAGACTGCAAAATCACACCCCCTTCCCACCCTTCCAGTCAGCACGGTGGCAAACCCGCATCTTATCAGCTGCAACTACTTGGCGGTCACTTCTGCATGTATCTCTCACCATCTCCCACATCCCCCCCCCCATTCTTCTCCCCGCACTTCATACAACCGCTTTCTCCCATTGTCGTTGATTCCTGACGGACAGCATCGTTTGCAAACGGAGTCGACGTGTCTCTTCTTTTTAACCTGCTAAACTTATGCTCATTAAATAACTTTGCAAGAAAACCTATGGTCTTATGCGTCAATTAGAGCTTCTTAGCTGGGTAGTGCCGGCCTTTTGCGCGCTGGGGAAAGAGTTCATCGCCAAAGTCGACGACCCAAAGCGCGCGGGTTTTGCTAATGAACTGTATTCTGATCTTTGTATGATTGGAATGACTTTGGCGCTTTCCCGTGGAGAGTGGGCTTTTGGTTTGGAAGAAGATGTATTAAACAAACTTCTAAGCACTTTGGAAAAGCGTTTACCAAAGTCGTGGGGAGCTCTTAAGATCATCAGTACTTTCATCGTAGGTTTCAGTTTCTCTAGAGCCTTGCGTTATATTCATCGCTAATTTTAAGGTGTCAGGTCAAAGATGAAAACTTTCCGAGACTGCATGACCTTGCTAGTTCCATCAAGGAACACGACTTAGGAGGGTATGATGTTTGCTGGCGACTTCTTGGCCTCACCGAAGACGACTGTATGCCATATCTACTCATTCTTCGTCAAAGAATGAAGATCAAGCTTTTTCGGAAGGAAGAAAGGGATAATGAGGCCACGCGCGATTTGTTCCTTGCGCCAATCCGATATGCGAGAAAGCATATGCTGGACGTCTATTGCAAGGACCATTCGTCAAGCGAAGCTTCCGAGCTTAGCCTATGGCAACATCCAAGCAGTGGCATGAAGGAATTGACAGACAGAATGTACAAACTGCTCGAATATCACTGGCAGTGCAACTGCGCCCAAAGAACACTCTGGCACGATGGCGCGCGAGAAGCAAGACTCAGTCTAATCAGACATCAGCAACTAACGTTGAAGGTCTCTTCAACAGGATCTTCCACAGGTCTGAGTCTACGGCCAGCTAAATATGAAGTTCTGTTACCTGTGTGTAACGATCAAGCCGGGTGGAAAGCCACAAATGTCGCGATCATCAACAAACAAAAGTGAGTTGGACACGTGCATATCTAAACTTCTAAAGCGATCACATCTGACCAATTTTGTATACGAAAAGAGCACACAAGCAAGTGCGACAAGGGAACGACTGGAAAGTTGTCGACAAGGATATTTGCAACGTGTTAAAGAATAGCAAAGACTTCACCGTCGATTTCGAAATCGATAACAACGGATTATGGCATCTCAGACCTAAGCCCTCTGAAGAGGACGACCACCACACCACAATGATGTCTCTTCAACAAATGTTAAGAGAGGGCATCAATATTGCGACATACTCTCCCAAGGAAAAGCTTATTCTCTGCTATGTTCTTGCAAATTCTTTGCTTTTCCTATACCCAGGAGCATGGCTTTTTGCGGAATGGAGCAGTGACAAAATTTACTTCACCAAAAGGCCTACTAAGTTATCTTCAAAACCGGTAGCCCTGACCTTACCGTATCTCTCTGTCCACGTACGTCAAACACAGAGTGCCGAAGGAAGAGAGCATCTTCAGGTCCATGTTCATCCTAACATACTAGCTCTTGGCATTATGTTCCTAGAAATCGCCATGGGCACTGCTTTTGTTCGATCATCGCAGATTGTCCAGAAACCCTGGGAGCGGTGCAACGAAGACTTGCGCCAGGCTTTGGACCAACTGAAGGTTTTGAAGTCGCAAAGCAAGAAAGACATGTCAAAACGAGTGTCTCCTAACTTTGAAGACGTCATTTATGCTTGTCTCAAGCTTGACCCGCCCGCCAGCTGTGCGAGTGATAGCCTTCTCGACGAAGGACCTATTCGGCAGTACATCCTAAGTTGCGTCATCCGGCCGCTGGCATCAGACCTTGTAGACGGATACAAAATTCCGCTAGAAGATCTTCGCAATCATCTGGAAACAGACTTCAAAAGCCCAGAACTCGAACAGTCCGTCATCAGAAGCCATGAACATTTGGCGCCTCCAACAGATGCATTTGCATCCTTGGTCGTAGGTATGTTGGATCGGTAATCAAATTGTAGTGCGCAAAAGGACTTATGGTAATCAGACCCAGACGCGTCTCACAATGTATCACCACCAAGCGACGATGTTACTCTTTTCGCCGATAGCGAGCGAATGAGCCCGGTCCGTGGAGGAGAAAAGTTGGTGCCGCACTTTATTGACTGCGCTTACACATGAAAGACCGAGAGATTTTCTGACTAACATGAGTCAGGATTTCCGATGCGATTGATTGGGAGAAAAATTATCATAACAATGTGATTGCTCAAATCAAGAAGTTGCGCGGGGCGCGAGCTCCCGTTGGGCACAGAGTGAAGATTGCCATTCTGGACAGCGGTATCGAGCTTGATCCATGTCACCCAATAATGATGGACAGATCAAAGAACACGACGCGGGTGTTCTACCAAAGTTGGATCGACGACCATCAGGATTGGACAGACGACGTTGGGCATGGTACTCATTTGTCTACTCTGTTATGGAGGCTAGCACCAAATGCCAGCATACACATTGGAAGAGTCTATAAGAGAAAGCCGAAGGAAGTTAAATCAACTAAACCTATCATTCAGGTAAGTAAACATGGATACTCAGATTGGCATCCTTGCGATTGACCCTATTCGCGCAGGCACTGCGGCACGCTGTGGATACATGGAAAGTCAACATTATCGTCATGTCGTTCGGATTTACAAACTCCAATGCAGAAGTGCATCAGGAGATACAACGAGCAGCTCAAAACGGGGTGCTCATATTTGCTGCAGCTTCCAATGGGGGCTATAATGACGGCATCGCATGGCCAGCACGAGAAGATAACGTCATTTGTGTCCATTCTGCAGATGGTCGCGGTAACCGTTCGCCATTCACGCCAATCGCAGAAGGTAACTCGATACTCATGACGCTTGGGGAGTGCGTATCGTCGGCCTGGCCCCCGAAGCTGGAGTCATCGCAACTCGGCCGTCAACGCATGAGCGGTACATCTTGTGCTGCACCAATTGCTGCAGCGATTGCTGCGACTGTGCTTGACTATGCTTGGGACTTCCTCACTGATGCTGAGTGGGCAAGCCTATGTCGTGCAAGTTCTATGAGACGGATGCTGGAGGGAATCAGCCGGAATAAAGGACAGAATGGGGGTTATTGTTGGATTCGGCACTGGGAGTTATTCGACCTTTCCCGCACAGCCGAGGGGATCAAGGACGAGATCAGGCGATATGCAGTGTAACGGCTTGCGAACGATTGAACGGTGTAGCGCACCTAAAACTTTGAAATACTTTAATACTGCTGCATCTCACCCGGGCAGCCGTTGTCTGGGCGAGTGCTTGATGCCTTTGTAATTGACTATCAGTATATCGTGACAGTTATACAGTAAGACCTCAGAAATCCCAACGTCATCTACACAAATGCCATCTGAATTACCGTTGTCGTAGCTGGTTAGTAGGACTTGTTATCGTTGGGCGACATGTCTCTGGGATTTGTGACGCCAGCGGCCCGCTTCGCACGTTGATTTCTCTCTATAAATGCAATATCACGCGCAATACAATATAGCCAGTCTTATTATTTCGGTCAATATCTTGCTATATTCAATAAGTACATATTCAACCTTTAATACTTCAGTTTCTTAATAAGCTTACAGGCTGCCATGACGGTCATCAAGGCGGAAAGGACTCTGCAGCAGTATTTTGGGTATGCGCTCACCCCCTAGGGTCCCACATTGCACGGTAAAAACTGCATTTCAATAGTTTCATGCAGGTATTCGTAAATCAGCACATCGGTGTCCAATAAGACAGTGATACGTTGTAGCTGCACGACCCGAGTCTTACATGCATGCAGGGTGATGCAAATCCTCTGAAAGTAATACGCTCACTTCTTAAACGAGCCTGTAAAGATTCCACACCGCTGAGAAGATAAGAATCTCTGTCGAAGTCGACCAGCTTCCACAGTGTCTTACGCAGCATGGCAACCTCAAAGATAAGTAGACAAATGGGCCATCATCTACCCTACTTTTTTCTTGATCAATTTGGCCAGTCAATTTCAACGTCACAACGACGGCATACCCTGCAATGGGAAAACTCTTCTATTTCCAAGCCCCGAGCTTCGATATCAACGCCGACAGCGAGACTGCTCCTCGGCTTGGAAGCATCTTTTCAAGTCTGGATCATCTCACATCTCCCCTGAACCGATTCGATCGGTTGCAAATACTTCAAAGTTTATTGAACGAGTCAAATAATGCCGAATTTCACGAGACAGACAACAGAACTTGTGGTACCGAGGCCAGCCTCAATGCAACTGCTCTTCAAGGCATCGCCGGGTTTGCCGACATCGTCTATACCTTCGCAAGAGACAAACGCGACGTTTACCACTGTGAAATGCTTCAAACACTCGAGTTCGAACCAGACAGAGACTTCGTGGCCGGAAGCATTGCTGCGTCGCAGCAAGTCCAAACATTCCTGGATGACTGTCCATTCGGTTTCAAGAAGATTTACATGGTTACCGGACTCAAGATAGCTTCCGGATTCTCTAAATTGTCTACAAGAGAGACTGAATATGGCCCGAGTCTGAAGGTGGGCGTGAGTGCCGCGGCATTTGGAATACCTATTGAGGCGGGCCCGGGGCTTGGAGTTAGTACGGGCAGCAGACGGACAGTCGTTCACGGCCGAACTCAGAACAAAATAGTATTCGCTTATAGGGTCGTTCGAATCAGGCCCAAGTGGGACGGCGAACCAAAATGGAAGCATAAGAGTGGAGGCAGATATGCAGTAGACGATGATGACAGTGACGATAGTGACGAGAATGATGAAGAAGAGTGGTTGGTGGAGTTTTTGAACGAAGAGAACCAGTCCGAGGAGTATCCCGAATCAGTTGTGGTTGATGTCACGAATCAATGAAAGGCAATTATTCCTACTAAGATGCATATCTTCAGACACATCGTTGGTCAAAACGCCAGCGGCCCCAAGAGTGGACAAAACCTACTAGGTTCTAAGCCCACGTTGGCCACGGTACATTTCAAAGATGAGTCGATATTAGGTTGAAAATCATACTTGCACAAATGGGCTGTCCGTTTCCCATTACGAGAGAGGCTATCGGCCTCATGAACAAAGCCTTTGTCTAGAGGCTCTTTTGCCAGGGGCTATCGGCGGACTGGTCTCAAGCGCTTCAAGCGAACAGCTCGATACTCAACCTAAAGGCTGATGATCATATAGACACATAAGCGACAGATGATAATAGGTAAGAAGCCAAAATCACCACTCGCCCATCTATAATCTTTCGTCGCCTTCGCCGTAACACGCTTACTCTCTCCCTCTACTTGAAGAAAGCAACGCCAAGGTCGCCTCGGAGACGTTCCTATTGACTGGAATATTTTAGTCATTGGAAGATTATCAAGTCTCTTCAACCAATTTTCAACGCATTTAGAACGTAGTGCTACATCCCCCGACTACCAGCCAATTTACATACCTTGTAGTAAATAGTGCATTGAGATTGAAATTTTATCACGGAACAACCTCTCGAAGATCCCCACAGCATCCCTAAAGATCTAACAGCTTACGTCGATTCAACGGGAGCCTTAAAGGGGAGTGGCGAAGATCATGTTTACGTTGACGACGTCAACAAGTTCCGGTTTGGGTCCAAACCAGCCGAGACGTTCACTGCTTGATTTGAGTTTTTGGTTGGAGCATGGAAGCAGTAGATCGAGGCCGAGCTGGATTACAACAGGATGGCGGATGATATCAACGAAAGGCGCTTGTTAGAGGTTTGTTGTCTGGCAGTCTCCGAGCGAGCCATGCTTCTCCTGCGCTATGACAATGCCGCAAGTGCATTCCGGAGTAAATATATTGCGTTAGGATATCGTAACAATTGTTTCATAGATGCTGAGCGCCTTGAACCTGTTCTGGATTAGAGTCGAAGATGCGAACCGCTAAGGAATACTTTCCAGCCAACTTAGAGTGATGTTTTTTCAGCTCTCACGTCTTCGCGTCAAACTTCATAACCATTCAATTCCACAGTGACAAATTTGCTACGACGACCGGGACATGAAAACTGAACAATGGTTCAAAACTTGCCTAACGAAAGAGGTAAAGCGAGGGGTTGGAGGTGGCCCCGCGCCGCCAAACTGTGTCCAGCCGTGACGCCGTATGGGCCGCGTCTTCATCCATTCGCGTTCCGCTCAGTCATCATGTTTTTCAGCCAAATCAACAATGACAATGGCTGGAGCCTTCTTAAAAGAATTGTCTACTCGCCACATGGTATAGTAAATAAACAACCCGGATTACTAAAGTATTTAAGGGAGGGATCTAATTGCCCTGTTTGTATGCGGGGTGGCAAGCTATAGCTAACTGAAGCTATAGCTAACTGCCCGCTTTTGAGTTTTGCGTATAAGTCTATCTACAGCAGGCAATAGCCACAAATAAGCCACAATAAGGGTACGAGCCGTACGTAGCCAACACCTCTACCCAAGCACAATCAAAAAGGACACATTGAATCCATCAAAAACATACAACACCAGGTATTCGCTGGTCGTCACCGACCCAACTACTAATCCGGCCCTCACTGGCTTATCTATGGGAGAGCGGACGGGATCCCGAGTTCTCCAGTGGGTATGGTCGTATGTGAAAGTCTGGGACTGCCAAGTCGTTTATCAACGGCCTCTGTGAAGATCGCGAACCACTAAGTGCGGCCGTTGCAGTCAACACGCTGAAAGACCAACAGAGCATGTCGAAGACAGTGCGGACTACACTCATCAGGCTTTATATTTTACACCCTACTAAGCCTTACTGGTCTGATATTGACTAGAAGTCTATATGATAGGAGCTGTTAGCTGCTATGTAGATAAGAATCTACCCTGGTTTAGAGATGGGCATGGAGACATCATCGTTGTGACGTTTTATAACAAGAAATGAAGGCTGTTCTGTTCATGACAAAACTGAGTGCATTTCCCCGAATCCTTACCCTTGCGTTGCAGCTACTTCTCTCACCATCATTGTCTTTGTATGGTCCGGTTCGATCATGTCGCCTCTTACTATGTTTTCATAGCGATCCCGTCTCCCGTCTGGCATCTGAATATCGTATTCGAGTAGAAATCTTGCGAGGAGCATCTTGATCTCGGTGGCAGCAAAGAACCGGCCCGGACACGCGTGACGGCCAAAGCCAAAGGCCATATTCTCCTTAGTCGATGACACGAATTGATACTGTTCCTTGTTGGTATACTGCAACGGATCGTCACGAACCTCGTCACGGATGAGCAAGAAGCGATACGGATCGAACAAGCTCGGGTTGGCGTAATGAAGATCGTCTTGCAGCGGGCCGACCATGGGCACCGCGATGTTGGTACCGGTGGGGAGAGCAGTGCCGTCTTTGAGCGTCACTGGTTTCGTGATGGTTCGCTGGAAGCTGATCAGGCTGGCCGGGTTGAATCGCTGGGACTCGCGCATGACGGAGTCGAGGAGCTTCATCTGGAAGAGCGCGGCGGTGGTCCATTCGTTGTCGTTCGCTGCGAGCACAGACTGGATCTCGTTCCGAAGGGCGGGGATGATGTCGGGACAGCGTGCTGCGATATCATACAAGCTTTGATTGGGTCAGTATTATGGCTCATGATGCGTCCCGGAACATTTGGTTGGCTGAAGGGCCTTACGTATGCGTAGCTGCCATTGTCGTGGTGTGAATAGCCACGACGCTTAGGCTAAGCTGCGTCTCAGCAAGCTGCATGTTTCCTTCCATACCAAACTTGGCAGATTTGGCGATGAACCATTGCAGCATGTCCTCTGGTGCCTCGGTACCTTCATTGGCGATTCTTTTGCGTTCTTCGATAACTGGGATCAAGACTTCGGCGGCGAGGCGTCTGTGTTCGGCCAATTTCTTGACTTCGGGAATGTAGTGCTTGCCGATGAAGCGTAAGAACTTCGGCCACCGCTTGATCTTGGCTGCCGCCGTAAAGAGATCGATGACGAACATGGTGCTGGCCTTGAGGTACTCTTCCTTGTGGCAGAGCTCTGGGCCGATGAAGATGCGGCCGGAGATAATGGCAACCATCTCCAATAGCTTTTCGTAGAGCACTACCTCCGTCCATTCGGGACAAGGACCCAGAGAGTTCAGAACGGTGCGCTGGATATGACCAGATAGCGTCGTAGCAACTTTGGCTAAGTTCGGGGTAAGGTTCGATTTGATGACATTGAGCAAAAGTGGATTGATGGGATGGTAATCCGTCCACTTTGTCTCACAAAGCTGGAGAACAGTTCGCGTTAGCTGCGCATTGGGGTATCTGGCTTGACTTCACGAACGGCTTCTAGAAGAGGGACGTTGTTGACGGTGTCGTCTGGCATTTTTCGGAGATCGTCGCAGTGTTCAAGCGGGATCATGACGATGTCGCCTGGACGGTGTCAGCTATGTATGTGGAAGCACGAGAGGTGAGTCGCTTCTTACCATCAGCACCAGTGATACGCCAAACCGATGATTTGAACTTTAGATGTAAGGGTCAGCCCAAAGATATCGCAAGTCTCGTAGGTAGCAGGAAACCTTCTGATAGCCTTCTTCGTAAAGCTTGGTGGCCATCGCAAAGTACATATTCCGTCGTTTCTCATAGCCGCCAGCCTCCTTGCCAACCAGCGGGAATTTCGACAGGCTGCGACTTGGGAATGAGAACGCAAAGATTATAGTTAGGAGTGAAGTCGCGAGGAGGGCTCCGACGAGAGCGTTCACAGACGACACAGCGTCTGTAGGAGACTGGCCGATGTCAGACGAACTCATGATGGATTATCAGATGAGTCTACTATGTGAAGACTTTGAAATGAAAGCTGACCACGTTGAATGATGGTACTGACGAAAGTCTTTGGAGCTTGGAGTAGGGGGCTTGCAGCGTTCCACGACCTTGCCGGTGAACGCCGCTGACTCAGCGGACGATATACCTCATTCGAGATTTCTGAGTTGTTGTGAATCATATTACTCGTGCTGGTAATTCGAAAATCGGTGCCCACGGAGTCTTTACCATGCCGGGGTTGCGAGATGCCACAGACCTGCGCGGTGGGATCCGACGGACTTGCCCTCGCTGAGAGACACAATCCCACCGGCATGCGGGTTACAATTCCGCAGCCACGCAGTCAAATCGGCCGCCCTCATGGATGTCACCTTGATCTTGACAAGTCATTGTGTCAACTTCCAAACTTCGGATGAAATGTTCTTGTTCATTCGATCCGGGGTTCTGCATGTCACCTCTAGCCGGCAAAAGTCTAACCCGCCTGTCACCCGGCTTCGGACGGGTTGGAACTCGCAGACGTGTCGGAATCTGATACCCGGAATACATGAGCAGCATTTATAGATACGCTTTCTCCTTTGCCTCGTGTGAAATCTCACCCATATCGCTCCACCGGCGAACGATGGATGCATGGATCGCGGCCGCTCAGATTACTTCACGTGGCGAATACAGGCTTCTTCTCTGACTGCAAATCTGTAATGCCATATCCCATAACTCATTGTCCCTTGACTGTAGAATCTACTTCGCGGTTGCAGGTTGGATGGCTTTCAAAATATTCTCTGTGCGAATTCCCCGAGTTTTTCAGCGGGTACAGTCGTGTGTGTTGGTTAGGGAAGGCCAAGACGTCTTTCAAGGTCAGTGTTAGACATCGTTAGCCCCCACAAAGTTCAACATCAACATAAGGTAGTCAAAGGAAGATGCAGGAGACTCAAACCGAAGGGGAAAACATCGGAAGACTCTTGGAAAGATGTACAGCGAGCTTTCCCTTGCAAAGCCGACATGCTACGTTGAATAACATAGCTCACCAAGAGACCCGGGTTCACACATTCATTAAACATCACAAGAGACCATCAACATCATGATTTGAAACAGTGTATTTCAACTCAACAGCCTCGTGTTATTGAGAACTCATCTACATCCACCAAGCTCCCCGTCTTTCCGGGGCCAATCTTATACAGCAGCCCCAACATCACATCTCCCCTCACCACCAACGATCAACTTTGTTATATAAACACAGAAGCGACAGAAGAAAAAGAATCCCAAAAGTCGCCGCCCATCCCATCCATGATCTCTCATCGCTTTCACCATAAAATACAAATTTGCCCTCCCCACTCCCTCCCAATAACCCCACGCCGAGTTCCAAAAACAAACCATCCCAGCCAGCCAGTCAGTCCGCCGAGGACGCCTCCAAAAACGCCGATGAAGAAACAAGACTGTCGAACCATAAGAAAGGTACACTCATCTCAGCAGCCTAGCCGAGCGAAGGACTACTCTCCCGGCTCTTCGTCTCGATATTCTCCACCATCTTGAGGACCCTCGTCCTCGGCCTCGCGACGCTCACAACCTCCGCCGTCCGTAACGTCAGACTCGGCCGCGGCTCTTCGGATCCGTCCCTCTCCGTCACCCGCAGCCCGCCGTCGTCGTCCTTGGGCGGCGGGAGATGCACCAGTCTCCGTCCCCGCTCGGGCGACGTCGGCTCCCCGGGCGACTCCGGCCTGCTGAACGCCATCGTGATGTCCCGCTCCTCTGCCACCTCTTTACCCTTGCCCTTGCCCTTGCTGTCCCTGTACCCGACCAAACCGACCTTCTCGTCCAAGATCTCGTCGTCGAGAAGATCGTCCTGGTCGGGGTCGACGAGGACGACCTCCTCCTCCTTCTCGACCTCGGCGTTGACGACACGCAACCTCTCCTTCGGCACCGTGAACATGACCTGCACGAGCCTCTGCTCGATGGCCTTCTCGATATCCCACTCGTCCATGATACTCTTCTGATCCACGTCCCAGTCCTGCCGTCCCTGCTTCCGCCTCAACAACTCCGCGCCCCCGATGCCCGACAACCCCACCAGCCGCGGCTCGTAGTCCGAGCTGACCTGGTCGAGCGACATCCGCCGCGGCCCGTCGTCCTCCTTGCTCGAATCCCCGGACTCGTTCGGGTTCCCGCTGAACACCCTCCGCAGACTCCCCAACCACCCCAGCGACCGCCGCGGCTTGTGCTTGCTCGGGCTGCTCGGGATGTGGATGAAGTCCTCCTCGTCGTCGTCCCGGTCCGGCGTCTCGTTGAGGGGTTTCTGGCCACGGTGCAGCAGCGAGGGTCCCTCGGCCTGCAGCGCGTTGAAGGTGGTCTTGGCGGTGGAGTATGTGTGGCCGCTGCTGCTCGAGGAGCTGGATGTCCCGACGCGCGTGTCCGTGATAATCGTCAGATTCGCGCCAGGGCCAGTGCTGTTCCGTTTGTTGGACGCGCTGCGGGTCGGCACGCTGATGGCGCTCCTTGCCGACTCGGAAACATTGCTGGCCGTGCGCTCGTCGTCGGCCATGCTCGCTCGCGAACGCATCGAGGCCCGCCGCGAGGGGGAGGACCGCTTGCCCGTGTTCCTGCGCGCCGGCATCTGCGCGAACAGGGCCTCTGCGGCGTCTACGTCTGACTGCCAGTCCTGCACCTCCGGGTCGCGCCTTAGGAGAGCCTCGGGGGAGGGAGTCATGGAGTTACGGTTGCCGGGGACGAGGACCGGGACGGGGCCGGAGCCGGTGGGTGTGGTGAACGGGTCTGGGTAGCCAGGCGTGGTGGGAGTGACGGGCTGCTCTTGGGCACGCTGGCGGGCCTTGGAGCCGTCTGGGTCGTCTTCGTCGGCTTCGTAGATCGGGTGGATGTGGCCCGGGGTGGTCAGGTTCGTGGCTGGTTGGTATGCCCCTCTTGCCGCGCGCGGAATGGGCTTGCGTGGGATGAGGAGGCCCGGCGGTTGATATGTGCCGTAGCCCCCTTGATTACGGAGAGACTCGTAGCCCAAGACCCTCGCGCCGTTATCGTAGGGGTCGTGGCCTCCAGTGTACCAGACGTGACTTGTCCAAGGGAACGTCGAAGAGTCGTGTCGCTCAAGCATGTCGTCTTCCGGATGTAGGAATTGGGAAGCATCCTGCGCCAGGGACCGTACTGTTTCGTCTCGGGCGATCCTCCTCTTCTTCAGATGCCTCTTGTAGCAGAAATACACCAGGAAAGCCCCCAGGACGGCCGCGAGTCCGACGCCCAGCCCTACGCCTAAGCCGATTTTCTTGATTTCGTCGTTGTTGGATCCGCTACTTGTGCTTTCGGACCCATCATAACTCGGATTTGAGTAGCTCGTCGTCCACGACATCGAAGTCATGTTCAGGAACCTGAGCCCGGTACCGCTGGACTGTCTCTTAGTCCTCGACCCGGAGCCCGTAATTTCGTATCCCCCGTATATCATCATGACATTCCCGGGCAAAATCGCCGCGCCGTGTCCGTAAATCCCGCCGCTGGGTTGCTGGCTGGGTATCTCCCACGTCCAGTCCCCATAAGTATCTCCCATCTTCAAAACAGCCAGCTGCGGCGACGCAGCCTGTGAAATACTACCGACCCAGCCGCCCAGGATGATAAGTGCGGTGCCGTCCTGGCTGAGAATAGCAGTATGCCCCGATCGACTCTCGACATCCGCATTGCGCTTCACAACGCCCTTGACAGCGAGCTCGCTACTTCCAGCTCTCACCGCACCAACAGTCGCAAAGTTCCACGACTCCTCCGGCAAATTCCAAATCGCGGCGGAACTCATATTAATAAAAGCCTGCTGCGTATGCCCGCCCAGCAAAACATACCGATTCTGCTGCGTCACCACGCCCGAGCGGTTCGAGATGGACGGGCTCAGCGGCGTAAACGAGAACCCGGCCTCGGGGAAGGCCGGACCCTTCGAAGAGATGAAACTCGCCGTGTACCCCCCGTCCGACGACGACGACGAGCCGTCCCCCGGCGCGACCCTGAGCATGGACTTGGTGTACGTCCCGTTCTCCTGCCATGTCGCGGCGTCCGTCGTCGGGCTCAGGCACATGCCGCCGAAAGAGTACAGCACGGGCTGCGACATGGTCGGCGCCAGGGTCGCGGAGAAGCTGATGCCCGCGCCGAGGGCGTACGGCCCGGCGTCCGAGTCCGCGGAGCTCGGCAGCGCCGCGGCCGTGCGGTACCACGACCCCGACGTGTAGGACCAGACGTCGTACCCGTCGTCGGCGGCGCAGTCGCCGGCCTGGACGACGAGGGTCCCGTTGTCGGCCATGGCGGGGAGGAAGGCGGTGGTCTTGGTGGCGCCGTCGAGGAAGGGCAGGGTGCTCGATATCGTCTGCAGGCTCGCGGGGCCGTCGACGGTCGCGGAGACGTTGAGGGAGAGGAGCTCGACGCCGTCGGCGGCGTGGTGGAAGATGTAGGCGAGGCCGTGGCCGCTGGCATTGGTGGGGGTTCCGGGCACGGATGGGGAGAGGAGGATCGTCGTCGGGACGTAAGGGAGCGTCTGCTGCGCTGTCGCTGCTGTTGATGAGAAGAGCATCGCTGCGAGGGCAGATTTGCGAAAAGGTGCTGCGTTGCGCCTGGAGGCCCACCGCCTGTTCGTCATTGAGGCCATGATCGTCGTCTCTCGTGATGTTCGTTCTGTCGCGGGCGCGTATCGTGGTTCCCCGTTTGTGATCGTATCCGCCAACCGCCTATGCGGTGGTCAAGGTCATGACCTTTCCTTCCCCCTTCGTTGCGCCAGTCGTCGTTGTGATTTCTTGAAGTTTTTTTCAATATTCGCTTGTTCAACGGGCATGCATCATCCCCTTAGGTATTGGGCTGCGAAAATGGGCCTCGGGATGCGGTTTGAAGGAAAGTGATAGGCAGTAGAAGGGTAAAGAGAAGGAAGCACGGGGCACGCAGCAATGCGGGAAAGAGGAGGCCAGAGCTGCTGGTATGGAGAAAATGGACCCCGGACTGGTGTGAAGGTGAAGGGTAGCGACAGATCATCAATCTGTGATGACGGTGCAGCAAATCGAGGGGTTGGGATGCGTGGGAGAATCGGCGCGCGCGGGTCCAGTATCGTAGCACTCGAGCGAATGTCAACAAATCGAATGGTCTCGCCGCGAACAGGGGGGCAACCCGGTCTGACGAGGGAAAAAGTAAAGAAACCTGGGCGAGATGCAGCTGCAGAAGGCTAATCAGAGATTGGCTTGGTCTGCCGCTTCTCCGTTGAATCGTTCAAGGCCGCGCAACTTCTATGCAGCAGGTAGACTTGGGATCACCGCTGAGGAAAAAAGGGCTAGAACAATTGAAGCAGTTTGGAAACAAACCCCGTCTGCGCGCCGCAGGTGTACTGCAGCTGGACTATGCATTCTCACACACTGATTGGCTCTCATATCACATCATGAGAGAAAGCCCGTGGCGTTTCGCTGCTGGGCTTATTGTTTGGCGGGCGGCCGGTGACAAGAACAGCCCCCGTCGCCGGGGCAACCGTCGCCGGGGCGGGGTCCCTCGGCTACCCGGACCCTTGCTGACCGATGCGCGCCAGTCCCGGACCGTGTTAGACTCGACCGCATCCCTGACGCTGCTCCCTTTGTTCCCCCTCTTAATCGCGTGGCCCCGGTTTTGCGATCTTGGAATTTCGGTGGGACTCCAAGAAACCGATAACAGCCCAAGTGGGTGCGGCGGTTTCAACGGCACAAGAGAGAGCGAGGGTAAAGAGGACACTGGCAACACAGGACTCGAGAGAGATAGAGAGAAGGGGATCACAAGTTGAACGCGAGGGACAAGCGAAGCGAGGATCGGCCTTGTTGGACTTGACAAGTTCGCCAAGGGTCTCCCGAGTACGCCGCTGTCAGACGTTGTCAGATCAAACTGGTCCAATTGACAAGCTACACCAAAGCGGCTACGAGGAAACACCAACCAGATGTGTGACGCGCCATCAGACCTCGTCTCTCTCTCTCTGTGCGAGTGACGATACCCGACGGCGTGCCACCCTGACAACCAACACCCGAAAGACAAGAATCAACGCCACCACAAACAAGACATCGTCTCTACCACCACGAGCAACAACACCGTCACCCGACCAAGACATCCCAGCAGCGCACCACCTAACTAACTGACAATCGTGATAGGCCTCGTCTCAACCCCCTCCGGACCCGTCTCCATCTGCTCATCCTCATCGTCATCATCATCCGCCTCCTCAAACAGAAACCTCCTAAAGCTATCCCCCAGCCCGGGCCGGACTTGCTCCAGCCGCGCCTTCATCCCCCTCAACCTCTCCACCTCCCTCCCCTTCTCCTGCAGCTCCGCCTCCAGCTCCGCGGCCCTCCTCTCCAGCCGCGCCGCCCCGTCCCGCGCCTCCGACGCCGTGTAGTACTCCTCGAACTTGCGGTTCATGAACCGCGCCCGCTCCAGCTCCGACGCCAGCGTCTCGTTGTGCTCCCGCATCCGGTGGTTCAGCGCCGCCGCCTCGTGGTGCCGGATCTCCGTCCGCGTCGCCTCGTCCAGCCTCGCCTTGTACTTGCCCTCCCACTCCGACACCCGCGCCGGCCACGTCGGCGTCACCACCGACACCACCGTCGGCGCCGCCTCCAGCCGCCGCGTCTGCGCGACCGCCGGGTGCTCCCCGTGCGCCGGCAGCATGAAGATGGTCGACCGCCCCTTGCCCTGCAGGCGGTAGAACCGGGTCTTGACGTCGTAGAAGACGAGCCCGCGCGCGTAGAGGTCGCCCCCGCGGGTCTCATTCCACAGCCTCTCGCCGTAGGTCCCGTTGGCGGCCCAGATCTCCTGCTTGAGCTCGATCTGGGCCTCCTGGCGGTCGAGGCAGCGGTGGAGGTGCTCGAAGACGTCGTCGCCGGCGTTGGCGAGGACCCACTTGTCCTGCGGGTAGGCGAGCTCGCGGCCGGCGGAGAGGCCGTCGGGCCCGGCGCGGGAGAGCATCTGCATGGGGACGGCGGCCTCGCCGGCGGTGACATCGAGGGCGTTGGCGTAGCCGAGCTCGAGGTCGTGCATGCGGGCGACGAGGTGCTGCGCGAAGAGGAGCCACTGGCCGAGGAGGGAGTTGCGGACGGCCACCATGTCGGGGGCGTCGGCCTCGGCGTCCGTGGGCAGGAGGGACATGAGGCCGCCCGTGGCGCCGTACTCGTGGTCCAGCATCTCGAGGCACTCGTTGGCGTGCATGGCGAGGGCGGCGTGCGAGGCGTAGGGCCGCGGCTTCACGCGGAGCTCGTCGGGGGAGAAGGTCTGGAGCGGGCAGTGGTGTTCCGTGCCTGTGGTGTCAGACTGGTTTCTGACTTTGTTCATGAGGTCTGAGATGGGCTTCTGGTGCCATGCGTCGTCGTTCTCGTAGGGTTTGTTTAGGTCGTTGAGCCAGTCAAAGGCCTCGTTCTCTCTAAATGACTTGTTGATGCGGGCGTTCGTGTTGTTGTAGTTGTCGACTTCGGCGTACTGGCTCGTCGGGGTGAGCTGAGATATCAGGATGGCCAAAGACTGGGCATGCTGTTTGAGAGCCAGCAGCGTGGGCGCGACGCCCTCCGTCGAGAGGTAGCTGCAGTTGACATGCTCCAAAAGCTTGAGGTCGAAGTAGTTTACGCCTCTAGTCCTGTAGCCCCCGCCGCTGATGATTTCTTCTGTAAAGCGAGACTGGTAAGCATGAGCGTACGGTGTCTTGTCGACGAAGCCCGAGTGTTGTTCTCGGGTCTCGTACAGTTGACTTGACATCATGACCATGATTGGCAAAGAAAGCTGTAAGTGCTTAAGTAAAATCAACAACGATGGAAGAGTTGCTGTAGACACAGATGAAGGAGGTTGATATGAACAACATACCTCATCTTGAGACAGCGGCCTTTATCACGGCAGTTGTTGTCGCAAGGGATAAGATTCAGGTTGGTGCTGTGATGCGCAACGATGTAGACAAAGCCATGTTGCGATGTTTTCAGTCATGACAATGCGTCGCTGCCACATTCAACGGCAATTCTTATTTGGGAACAATGGTAACAGCGACGTTTGATGCGAAGGCTGCGGAGGAAAGACAATGCTCAAAGCTGGGTCATCAGGATCCTACACCATAAGACTCAATGCCTCAATCGTAAGCATCCGGCCTTGACAACAGAAGAATAGAACCTGTCCTTTGTCCGCTGAAGTGACATTCTTCCAGGCTGCAATCACTCCTTGTCAGTCATTCATCCACCTAGCAATGCAGGTGCGAGATCCTTTTCCAACAGATAGTCTATCACACTTGATTCAGGCCGCAATAATGCGAATTTCTCGCTTCCGACCTCGACCAAGTTTGATGAATACCTAGCCGAACTTCGAGGAGGCAGTCTTGAGCAATTCCATAGCCTGTGTGTCTTGGATGGACTTTGCGCCTGGCTGCTTTGGTGGCCTCTCGAGTCCAAAAGTCTTTCCTTCTCGGCCCAAGCGGATTCTCAGACAGCACCGTAATCCTTAGAGAAGAACCCCGCGTTTCCTTGCCTAGAATAGCTTGGAGTACCTATCATGCGTTGTCGACTCCGCGGATTGCTGCAGATTAGCCACCTCGTCAGCATTTGAGACACCTGTGAGTCGGCGCCTGGGGATTCTACCAATGAACCAGCCGGCTGGTCATGGTCTTCGTCTGTCGGTGCTGTTGGCGCAATGGAAACATTGGACTGTAACGAGTCTTCAACCCAGAAGCCAGGCGAAATCCCAAAAAAGTCGTTGACGTCTGCAGCGCTCGTAGTCCATCACACAAAACTGAGCTATGTTGCCAACACCTGAGAGTTAGGCCCCATCGAAGGCCCAACAAATCAGGACCGTGATCAAAAAGTCAGCTTGAGAAGCTTACCATTTTTCATGTTTCTTGAGATCGAGCCCGGAATAGATCAGTTCGAGGAGATGTCATATGACACATCAGACGTCTCAATGACGCGAAGAATGATGGCGTCTCAACAAACGCGTTTGAAATCCGTGTAGGCAGCTTATCATGCGCCTGGCTGAGCCATTCTTCCTCACTCTCTGCAATGATATTATAGTGCAACCGAGTACAGCCAGCGCGGCATGTTCGCTGAAGACCATACCACCGTGACCGTACAGCAGGTCAACTCCCAGAGCCGCTGGAAAACGGCCTCGCTCCTCGTGGCGCCGAATACGGACATCAAACGTCGATCACCACTTCGAACATCTTTTGATTACTTGCGGTCTTGGCGGTATGCATCTTGTCTATTTGAGGGTCATGTGCCCGCCATCTGAATAGGGTCAGATAAGCGATCGAATCGGCCAGCACGTGTCTTCTCAGGACCAGCGGTCCGACTGGTGATAGATGAGCATTTCAACGTGGCGCAGATCTCGGGATCCGCTGGCCGTTATGACTGCGAATCGAACAACGTGGCACCCATCAAGATGGCATCAAGATGGGAACTTGCCGCGACAGTCGACTGTCAGTCATTCGGATGGGCAGAGATATGAGGGTAGCGTCGGCGCTGAATTATCCGGTAGACTGTAATGAAGCATTCAAATAGAGTTTAGAACGGCCGCCAAGGGTTGGTAACGGAGACGTCCGGCGTTGAGGCGTGGTTCGCCGGGATATTTGATGAAGGGGGGTCGAGAGCGGGATGGGGCCTGGGCCGGTCGAAATGCGGCCGTTCAGCTGGCGAGGACACACAAAACAGCGCACGCGACGGCAAATCTGGGAGACCTGCAGCGAGTCCAGCTGTGCAAGCATGGCGAGAGATGCAGCAGAGCCTGCTGAGGATTGCAGATTACGCCGATAGGGCAGCTAGCGTTTCTGCCAGATTGCGCTGCTGTGGTTTGTCCGTTTGAGCGCGACTCCATTCCAAACACTCGCGCCCTCAGCCCGTTGGCGCAAGATTCTGGAAACAAAAAAGACGAAACAGTGTAACCAGGCGGATGGCCACATCGCCAGGGCAGCGGGCGGCTACCGTTGTTCGTTGTCGCGCAGAGAGTGGCTGTGACTCGTGCGTTTCCTTCTTCTCAGTCGGCTGTGGCTCTCCGCCGCCGTTTCTCAAATGGTTTGTCGGGTGGTCCACCGCGTTTCTCTGTGTCCAATTTCCTTTGGCAGCTGAGCAGGGGTCCGATGAGAAACTGTCTGTCGATAGTAGCAAGGGACCGGATGCCAGAGTGTGGAGGATTTGAGATTTTCTCCAAGAGTAGCGCCGATGAAGCTTGACCAAGTAGCCGGAAGCGGTTTGGCACTTGGAACCATGGACGCTAGTTTTGTGACGACGGTGGGCGAGAAATCGACATTCGAAGCGTTCCAGAGCGGGAAATTAACAGAGCCCATGGACGGCGAGGTTTTTCACGGTGGTCGCACAGATGCATCTCGAATCCATAGCGCCAATGCCAGACGAACGCCGGCGCATCTGTCGACGAGTGCTAGTGCCGGGCCAGGACGAGTCCGGGTGATGGTGAACACTGCGAATAGATATCGATGCTGATATGGCATTTCGATGACGCTTGCATGGGGCTGCCCAGCCGGCCGGTGCCAAAACCGAGAAACGGTTCGCTTGGGGTCGCCAAATGTGCATGGCATTCTTGATAGTTTGTCGACGTTTTCAACAGGTATGCGCAAGAGCCGCGTGGAAGGTGCATAGGATTATCAACGGTTGACTGGAAATCATGGCCTAGTTGCGTCAGTGGGCGGATTTCGTCTCTCATGCGTTTCTTCCCTCGGCCGAGGCCAAGACAGATTGATGTCACTCGCCCGTTTTTCGCGGCCGTGTGGCTGCCGTTGGTGCTGTCGCTCTCTCCGGGATGGGCATGAAAGCCAAGGTGCTTCGTCCCGGGTGAAGGACGGGCGGTAACTTGGAAAGCAGTCGGCGGCCGTCAATGACAGCGAAAAGAGGGCCATCCGATGAATTGGCGTGGCTGAGGAGCCATTGGACGACCCCCAGAGACCCTGCTTAACTGCGACAAGCCCTGCAGCGGGAGGGCGAAGAGACCAGAATTTGGGTGGTTGAAAACCTGGAAATACGGCCCTGGCATTTTGTCTGCCGGGGTCGAGTGTAACTCTGGCGGCGGGCGACAGCCGGGTGGATCACGGTGTTTCCGGTGAGATGGAGGATTTGACGTGAATCAGGGCAGAAAATTGACAGGTGACTGTGGGATGAATTGTTGTCATGTTGGCGGTCGTCTCGAACACTAGATGAACATGGTGATTGTTGGTGCGTAGAACAGACGGCAGAATTGGTGAGAGGTACAGACGGAGGCCGCCAAGACGAAGGTCTCGACTTGCAGGCGCGAAGATTCAGAAAAGAATAAAAAAAAAAAAAAAAAAAAAAAAAAAGGCACCGCCCACAAGCCGGCAGTGCTCTCCGCAGAGAAAGTGCCAGGCTCTCAGTGGGAAACTGCAGTGGTGAAGGTAAAAGGCGGCTTCCAACTGCAGAAAGATTACCTAAGGTAGCCAATGAAAAGACGCAGATGCAGCTTTCAGCCGACCCACAACACCTCGACTGGCCAGGATTTGTCGTCGATGAAATCGGTACCCACCAGATGGCCAGTGCACTGCCGTTTCCAGGCGCATCGACACCGGGAAGTTGCAAGGGAGCTCCTGCCTGCACCTGCCCTGCTACTTTTCCTGCACATTGGACGATTGTCGAGTCGAATTGGCGCTGCAAAGCTGCGTCATAAGCTGCGCGCTTCACCACCGCATTTCTGTACGTCAAGAGCCTGGTCGAGCTGGCTGCCGCTGCTGGCATGTGAGGTCGGTTAAGTCCAGGAGGGGCACACAGAGTCAGCTGTAGACAGTTCATGAGTGACAGAATCATGCCAAGGCCTGAGCCCAGCTGGGATTCCATATTGGAGAGCATCGTTGGCCTCTTTTGGGCCTCTGGAGAACCCTCGAAATAAGAATAAGGGACAGGACCCCTCTTCAGCCCAAAGAGAACCTCGTCTCAAGAATAGACATCTCATGAGGTCCATATTTTCGCAGGGTTCTGTTCCTTGACCTTGATCAAATCCAAGTCTTCACGGACCTCCTGCCACCGACTTAATTGACGACCCTCGGAACTCTCCAGAGAAAATCGACGATCCCTTCTACGGCTTCGTCTGGTGTTTTTTTTTCTCTCGTCCCCTCTCCTTCTCTTCACATCGCCAGCCTCCCTTTCTTCGAAACCGCCTGGACGGATATCGCCTTCGAAACGGAAACAAACATCCTGATTGTTTCCCCCATAACACTCGATCGTCGTCCTAGCAGACAGCAAAAAGGAGACTAACGCATCTCCTAGCGCTGCTCCGTGGCGTCACCTCCTTTCACCAGCGACGAGGACTGAGACATTGGGAGACGCGCCCAATTTCCCTCCGTCACGTCACCGTTTCTTCTTTCCTTATTTTGCCCTTCCCCTTATCCGCACTACCATACCACTACGGATACTGGACCGTGACATCTTAGGACGATATCGCCTACCCCGGGAGCGCACTTGCACTTGCACACACGCTGCACCACACCACCCAACAGGCGCCACAGACCTCTGGCCGCCATTTCAGATTGCCCAGTCGCTTGTCCGACTGATCGTCCTGTCTTCTCCATCGGGCATCGTGCCATCTCATCTTGGCTCCAACTCCCGGTTTTCCAACTTTACGACTGCGGGAGACGTACATATCATCCCGCTTCCTCCCCCCCTCCATTCGGAACCCTGTCACTTCTTTTTCACGTCCCTTCATCTGTCTCTCCACGACGCGACCTCTTCCCTGTTTAATACCCGACTTGGCCCCCCGAGGCCCCCTACCGTTCCAATCGTCTCTGGACGTCTTTTTCACCTCCGTCCACGAACAACAACGACAACATCCGACCGGTATTGATCTCGAGGCGTCCAAGCCCGACCCATCGTCGCCATGTCGTCCGCCGCGAATGCCTCGACCCCGGACCAGGGCAGCGCTAGAAATTCCACGGATGGCAGTTCCATCTCTGGCATGGTCTCGACTCTGGCAGTTTGTGCCCCCATCGCCGGAGTCTACCTCGTCATCTTCTTGATTTTGCGCCGTAGCCAGCGCCGATTCTACGCGCCACGAACCTACCTAGGTAGCCTGCGTGAAAGGTTAGCAACTCACCTATAACCGTCTGTTCATATCATACATGTCTAACATGCGTAGCGAGCGAACGCCTGGCCTTCCAACGGGTCTTTTCAATTGGATCAAGCATTTCTGGAAAATCCCCGACGTTTACGCCCTCAAGCACCAGTCGCTCGACGCCTACCTGTTCCTCCGATTCCTGCGTTTATGTGCTTCCATCTGCCTCGTGGGCATGATCATGACCTGGCCAATCCTGTTTCCCATCAACGCCACTGGCGGCGGTACCGCTTCGCAGCTCGATATTCTTTCGTACGGCAACATCGATATCAACGGCCCCAATGTCAACCGTCTGTATGCGCACGCTTTCCTCGGATGGATCTTCTACGGCTTCGTCATGTACCTCATCATGCGCGAGTGCATCTTCTACATCAACTTGCGCCAGGCTTTCCTCCTTTCGCCCTCGTACGCCAAACGTATCTCGTCCCGGACTGTTCTCTTCACCTCGGTCCCCGAAGAATACTTGAACGAAGCAAAGTTCAGGAGCCTTTTCACCGACTCGGTCAAGAGGATTTGGATCACTGGCGACACCGAGAAGCTGGAAGAGTTGGTTGAGGAGCGTGACAAGGTTGCCATGAAGCTCGAGAAAGCACAAGTCAAGCTCATCAAGCTGGCTAACGCTGCACGTCTCAAAGCTATCAAGAAGGGTGGTGCCTCTGCCGACGAGACGGCACAGGACGCCGAGACAGCTGACGCTGCTACCCGCTGGATCCCCGAGAAGAAGCGCCCTACCCACCGACTTGGTCCCCTCGGGCTGGTTGGCAAGAAGGTCGATACGCTCAACTGGTGCCGATCTGAGTTGCAACGTCTTATTCCTGCTGTCGAAGCCGCACAAGCCGACTACCGATCAGGAAAGACCAAGAAGATCCCCGCCGTCTTCGTTGAGTTCTTCACCCAGTCCGACGCTCAAGCCGCTTACCAGGTCACTACTCACCACCAGGCTCTCCAGATGACTCCCAAGTACATTGGAGTTCAGCCTACTGAGATCATTTGGAAGTCTCTGAGGATTTCTTGGTGGCAACGTGTCATTCGCCGATATGCTGTCGTCGCCTTTATCGCGGTGCTCATTATCTTCTGGGCTATTCCTGTCACGGCTGTCGGATTCATCGCCCAGGTTTCCGAACTTGAGAAGCTCGCCCCTTTCGCGTGGATCAGCAAGATCCCCCCCGTCATTTTGGGTGTCGTCTCAGGTCTCCTCCCCGGTGTTGCTCTGTCCATCTTGATGTCGCTGGTTCCAGTCATCATGCGACTATGCGCCAGGTTGGCAGGGGAGCCTTCCAACTCGCGTGTCGAGCTGTTCACCCAGAATGCCTACTACTGGTTCCAGCTGATCCAAGTGTTCCTCATCACCACTATTTCGCAATCAGCCCTGGCTGCGGTCCTGCAGTTCCTCGACAACCCGGCCTCCATCTTCTCGACATTGTCAGAGGCCCTGCCCAAGTCCTCTAGCTTCTACATCAGTTACTTCATTGTCCAGGGTATCACTCTGGCTGTGAACATCATGACTCAAGTTGTCGGGTTCGCCATTTTCGTCGTGCTTCTCAAGCTTCTTACCAACACGCCGAGAGCTCTTTACAACAAATGGTCTACTCTGGCGGCCATCTCATGGGGTAGTGTTCTGCCTGTCTTCACTACGATCGCAATCATCAGTAAGTCTCACCGCCCACGGCCATTCACGTGAATCACTTTGCTGATCTGTTCACAGGCATCACCTACGCCATCATCGCGCCTCTCATGCTCTTCTTCTCGACCATTGGTATGGGGCTGTTCTACCTTGCGTATCGCTACAACGTTCTTTTCGTCACCGACTCCAAGATCGACACTAGAGGTCTCATTTACCCGCGCGCTTTGAAGCAGTTGTTCGCCGGCGTTTACCTGGCTGAGATCTGCATGATCGGTCTCTTTGCTGTGTCGAAAGCCATTGGACCCATTGTCATCATGGTCGTCTTCTTCATTTTCTCCATTCTCTTCCACCTCACCCTTAACAGCGTTCTGGACCCGCTGATGTACACTCTTCCTCGCACCCTCCAAGTCGAGGAAGAGTCGCTGCTTGCCAACGCTGGGGACATTGACCGCAAGGACTCTGGCCGGGGCGTTTCGGAAGAAGATCAGAAGAACGGTACTTCCAGCAACCCCTTCAAGAAGATCGCGAACGTCAAGAACTTCACCCCAGGTGGTGAGGAGAACATGGTGGAGAGGCAAGGCGGGAACATTATCACGCGGTTCCTCAAGCCCTGGATCTTCGCCGACTACATGCACTTGCGCCAACTCGTGCCCCAGGATGACACTTCCGTCGAGGAGCTCTACCCCGGCAACATCCAGGACAACGCTTACTACCCGCCTTCGGTCGCCAGCCTGCCCCCTCTTCTTTGGATTCCCGAGGACAGGGCTGGTGTTTCCAAGTCTGAGATTGCGCAGACGAGCAAGGTCATTCCGATTACCGACGAGGGCTGCACATTGGATGAGAAGAACAAGCTGATTTGGGATGCCGAGGGCGCGAGACCTCCCATCTGGGACGAGAAGATTTACTACTAAGCAGCATGCTTATTCCAATTTGTACATCAACGTTGATACCCGACGGAGTTCGAGCTCTGCACTAATCACCGGTGCATATTTGGCACCGGCCTCTTCTATGTAGTTTTAGATAATGAGACACGAAAATCCATCTTGGTCTTTCGAATGCCTTTGCTCTCGTGGCGATGTGAAATGTTGTGGTGCTCATGGGTGATATGTCGATCAAATCAAGTGTACCGCGCTAAGATACCCGGCTGTAAATGCCGTCCATTCGGTAGAAATGTTTAATACTCAACCGAATAGGCACCTGGCCAGCATCACTGGATGGACTCGAGAAGCATATAGTCTCTTCGACTCTGAAAGCGAACTGCAGAGGCTGACCGTGAATGAAGGAGCGCCTGCCGTCTCAAATTGCGGGGCTCAGTGCACAAAGGTAAACCTGAGGCCTGATGCCGTCGGGTGAAGTAAGGCTTAGAACCATCACGGCCTCGAGCCCTTGGGGTTGGACTTGACTTTGGCCAATCTTTTCTTTCTTCTTGTCTCCTGCCCAGTTGAGGTTTTTCTCCAAGCAATTCCTTACGTTCTACTCTATTTCTTTTTTTCGACCAAAACTCGAGGCGAAGAATAGCTACAACCAACACAACTTCGACGATTGTTTCTCTTCGGTCTTGAGGCCTTGCGCCGCATACTTTTTTTTTTTGTCTGGACAGAACCTGGGTATTTTTGTTTCACGAATTTTGCGAAAATCATCAGTCGTCGCGACAGAAAAAAAGAACACGAAGAAGAAGAATCGGCAATTTCTTCTCCATTTTGTTACACAGAGGCACCTTCCGCGGCGACATCGCGCTTACCGAAAAGAAGCTTTGCTTACCGTACCTTACTGTCTGAACAGAACCTGGGTATTATTGTTCCTTGAGCTTTGTGAAACATCACTAAGTTATCGCGACAGAAACGGAAAAAGAGAAAGAATCGACCTCCTTCCTCTTTTCAAATTACGACGCAGAAACACCTTCCGCGACGATATTGCGCCTACCACGGGAATACCTTCATTGTGGTTGCTCTTGGCCTCTTGGCGGCACCTGCCGAATAAGGTTGGCAGGATGGCAAGCGCAACCGCGGAACCTGGACAGGCTCCAGCTGGAGAAGGTCAAAATGGCACTGCTATGGGCACCCCTCCCCGACCTCCACCTTTCTCCTCTTCACACACCTCCTCTCATCACAGACGCGGAACCGCGCTCTCGCGCCCCCAACCACTGTACGAGAGAAGCCCGCGCCCGCAAACAACGCCGATCAAAGCGTCAATCGACATCCACCGGTACGCCGTGACGAAACAGCAGTCGCCGACTGCGAAAACGCGACTCTCGAGTCTCGTCGCGCTGATCGACCGAGACAAGCGAAACGCATTCCCGAAATCCAACATGGCCGAGGCCTTGCTGGGCCTGGCGACCTCGTCCTACGATGACGCGCCGAGCAGCAGGTTCAGCATCGCCAAACCCGAAGACATCCCCGCCCAGCTGCTCCGCGACCTCGAGCTGAAGAAGACGCCCACGCGATGCGAACACGTCTCCGTGAGCCTCGACGTCCCAAACACCGTCGAATTTGCGATCCCCGAAAACGATGCCGACGCACCGGAAAACATCGACCCGGCCCTGGGCGGCTTCCGCTCCCAGATCATGGACGGCCAGGCGGTCAAAGTCGTGCGCGCATACGACGTTATCATCAGACAACCCCAAGATGATCCGGTCATGCAGAGGGCAGTGGCGAGGCATATTGTCGGGCTTTTGTCGACGGTGGACGAGAGTTCGTGGGTGGTCAGAGAGGTGTCGCGGGGCCAGCATGGCTGGGCTTTCACATACATCTGCAAGGACTCGGTCGCCATGTGGAATCGTCAGAACGGAAAGACTGCTTCTAAAGGACTCATAGGAGAGTACAGTCAGAAGGAGCTGGATCCCGTCATCTCAGGTAAGGCATCTCCGTACTGGAGGTCTCCAAAGCACTCTGCTAACGTTCCCAGCTCGGCCTGCTTTCGATTGTCGCGGAACCCTTACCATTGCGTTCGTCAAGAACTCGCGAACGATCAACGTCAAATACGAGCACACCCCGCTTCACAAATCCGTCGGCGAGATGATTGAGCATTTCCGGCCGCTCCCTCCTGCCCCGCCGCCAGCGCCGCTGATTCCCGCCGGTGACAAGAAGAAGACACCCAGGAAGAAGAAGGTCGTTGAGCTCAACGAGGATGGAACCCCGAAGGAGCCGACGCGGAAGCGCAAGTCTGTGGCTCTCAACGAGGACGGCACGCCGAAGGAGCCAAAGCGGAAACGCAAGTCGGCGGCGGTCAATGAAGGTGGCACCCCCGTGCAGCCAAAGAAGAGGCGGAAGAAGAAGTCTGAAGCGGGTGCCGAGGCGGCTGCTGACGGCGCAGTTGCAGGCGAGGGCAGCCAACAGGCGACCGTGCCGACCAAGGCGGATGTCGCAGTTCAGAGTGGCATCCATTCGCAAGTCAATCTGAACGTCCCACCTGGAGAAGCATCTAGGCGACGCGAGGTGGCTATCAGACTCTTGAGCGACAGTGGCGTGGACCCGGAAACTCTCTCTACCGAACAGTTCAGCATCTTTGCCAATCAGTCTCCAGATCTTCAGAAGGAGTCGCTAGCTATGCTTGTCAAGTATGGCGCTGAGAGACTGCGTATTGTACACCCGGCGGATGCAGCAGCAGCAGCTTCGTCGTCGACTAGTGCGTCGTCAACCCCGGAGCTGCCACCGTCTCAAACAGAGACTCCTCTCGTTGCGGATGCATTTGAGTCTCCGTCGGAGGGGAAGAAGAAGAGGCGAGGTGGAACATCGAAGCAAGACGACGAAGAGCTCATCCCGGCTCCTCCGGGCACTCCGCTCCGACTTGTATCCAGAGGCGGCTGCATTCGGTGCAGAATCAACAGGCTCAAGGTCAGTCAATTTTCAGCAGACTCTAGGTTCCATACTAATAACGTGCAGTGCGATCGCGGCAAGCCTGCCTGCGAAACGTGCGAGGAGGAGGAGCTCGAATGCCAATATCCCCTTGTCAAGGCTGAAGCGAACAAGAGAGCAAGCCGATTGTCTGCGGCGCAAGTCATTAGTGATGACGACGCCGAAGCCGAAGCTGAAGCTGAGCCTGAATCCGAGCCCGAACCAGAGCCCGCCCCGGAGCCGCAGGAAGAACCTGATGACATCGAGACCATTGACTACACGTCAAATATGCCCGTTGCCAACATGCTCACGCCTGCTGCCGGTACATCTAACGAGGATTACTTCAACTCCGGCCCGAGTGATCTCTCGTACACCCACGCCTCAAATGACATCAGCATGTCTCATGGTGTCAACTCATACTCGGAGCCTGCCGCCACTGTGAACTTCACGGACCATCATGCAACTACTACAACATACACCCAGCCCTCGCTCACGCAGACGGCTACCTACACCCAGCCGGCGTCAGTCGATACGAACTCATACACACAGCCAGTTGCGGCAGAGACTGCGAGCTATACGCAGCCGACGACTAAGAGTCCGAAAGCTTCACGAACCTCTACGCGACGAAGCCTGCCCTCTGGAGCTAGATCTCACACCGAGACCGCTGTTCCCCTGCCGAGCTATGCCCAGAATTGGCCCATGTCGCCACCAAAGGCAACCAACACCGTGTCGCCGACTATGACCACGAGACAGCCGCGCACACGGACGTCAACGCAGACACCAGTTCAGGTCCCCGCTGCCTCGCAGCAAACCTCATATGACACGACGCAGCAGGCCGCCGCCCGAGCTGCCATTCAGCAGCAACAGCAACACCGGCCGTCTCCAACACCGCAAGTAGCGCAGACAGTCACACCTGCTCAAGTTTCTCCTTTCCAGGCGCCAGTTCAAACAGCTCGGGCTAAGAGCCGAGCTGGACAAAGGGCGTCAACTCGAACTCCAGTGAACACCGAGCCGCGAGCCACACCCACGCATCACACGGTGCAACCATCCGCAACGATGGATACTTCGACGTACAACGACAGTCACTCGTTGAGCAATACGTCAAACTACAACACGTATAACACAAAGTACTCAGGCTCAACCAGCAGCAATGCTGCGGCAGACACGAGGATTGCGTACGAGCCATACACAGCGCAAACGACATCAGCTACCACCTCCACGTATCCGTCATACGATGACACGTATGAGAGGACCACAACCCCAGTGCAGAACACGAGCATCGCGTATACCCCAACCAAAAACTCCCGTTCTGGACAGTACCAAACCCGCAGCAGTGGGTCATACAGCAACACTACTGCCCCCGCTGCATCGTCCTACTCGCAAACACCGACGACTACTCAGCAACAGACTGCTTCTCTGCAGTCGTTTAACATGCGTGCTTCAGCGACAGCCAATCACGCTCGCTCGTCGTCGAACAAATATCAACAACAACAGTCGCAGCAGCAGCAACCGCAACAGACGCAGCCATACGGCTCGTACTCGACGCAGAGCCAGCAGCAGGCGGCTGCGCCAGACCAGCACAGCTGGTACGGCTTTGGGTCCAGCGGCGCATCCTCGACGCCCACTAACACTTCGGGAGGATACGCGACTAGGAACAGCGCATCCAACGCGTACGGAAACACTGCCAACGCCAACCAGGCTTATCAGCAGCAGCAGCAACAGTATGGCTCGCTCAACATGCCGGGCCACAACTACGCTGGCGGCGACAACGACATGTATGAGCTGCTCAAGCTGCATAACTCCGGCCGCTAGTCCCCGCAGGAGTAATTCTTGAGTGCTCCACGTTCATCGCGCGGTTGTAGTACATACCCTTGTCAGTTTTGGAGCCGGATGGCATCTTTCGGGGATCGGGAAACAGTTTTGGACCGCGGGTTGAGCCGGTATCTGGAGACGCGAGCGCAGTACGCTGTGACTCGTTCACGTTGACATTCCTGTATTTTATAATTGCTCTAGGTAGGCCGCGATAGCCCAACTGGCTCAGACGAATGAATCATGCCTCTATTTAGTCACCATGTGTTCCCATTCCGCTTAACGCGTGAAGTCGTCTTGCCGGATGTGTGATCCCGACCTGTCTTTCAGTCCATCGTCTCCATCGTACGGACCTTGGTCGACTGGTAAATGCGTTGCCATCTAGCAATCCGGAGCTCGTGTGCTAAGTCGTTTTGTGATATCTTATGTCCTATAATGAATGCGTCTCGGGGCATCCACGGCCCTCTGCTTCGGGAGAAGCGCTTCGTGGAATTCAGAAACGTGTTTGAGAGTTCCAATGGCTTTCGCTCGGCTCCACCCACCTCCAACGAAGCCTTGATACCGGTCGAATCTGAATGTCTGATTGCTTTTCACACAAGGACGACAGGGTGCCTGCTATTGGTGATGGCTCAGGGTTTCGACAGCGGCTGCAGCGATATTCACGACGGCTGGTTGGTATCGTTGTTATAGCCGGGGCATATCCACGCGCAATAAGGTGTGGGAGAATGTGTGAACGTTGTGGAATGGAAGAGAGGGATGGAGGAGACGGATTAGTTTGGTGGTGTGTAGGTGGGGAGGTTAGCTTTAGCCTGGGCTATTTGGAGTTGTATGGTTTGATGAGTGCGTCCTCTGGGTTGGTTGGCCGCAGGTGTGTTCTCATTGGTGTCTTTATTGGTGTCTTTTGTTGGTTGCGTATTCATTGGCGAGAGTGATGACACTCAGCGTATCGGCATGAAACGTCCTGACGCTCTTCTATTTTTTTTTTGGTTTCAGGGAAATGAATGGCTCCCATTTGGCATATTCTACATCTAGATTTTGACGAGGTACAGTCATTTAGAACAAGACTTGAATACTTCACTCGCTGGCAAACTAATATTGTTATTTGCAAAATACCATACAATTATCAGATCGTCTGAACTTCGATCATGATATGTTCTTCTATGAGATGTTCATTCCACCTTGTAGCAATTCGATCACGCGCGTCCTCCGTTGTTTCTCGTCTTTGAAGATGGGTTCGGATTCCGTTGCATAGGATAAAGGTGTCCGTCCGCTCTTGTCCTCCAGCGTAGGATCAGCTCCCGCTTTCAGTAATGCTGAGACGGCATCGGGCTTGAACTTCCCGGCGGCATGAGACAGCGGTGTTCGACCTGAGTTATCTTTAGAGTCTATCTTGACCCTATTGGTGCCGAGAAGAAGTTCGATAGTATAAGAAACTTCAGCTAAGTTATCTGAATAAGTAGACGCAGCATATGAGAGTGGTGTTCGGCCCAGATCATCCTTAGAATCCGGCTCGACCTGGTTACTATCCAGCAGAATTTTGATGTTATCGGCCGCAACAGCGCCTGCAGCTTGTGAGAGTGGTGTTCTTCCTGAGGCATCTTTCGAGTCCGCATCGACTTTGCCAGACCTAAGCAAAAGCCTGCAAATTTCGGACCGGTGCCCATGAGATGCAGCATATGACAGTGGCGTTTCACCCTCATTGTCTTTGCGGTCCGCCTCGACCTGATCAGCTTCAAGAAGAAGCTGAACAACAGCCGGATGGTTTCCTTCCACGGCATACCATAATGGTGTGAAGCCAATCTCAGACTGGTGGTTGATATCGATTCGACCAGTTGCGAGAAGCCGCTTGACGACAGACTTGTGCCCGTACGTGCAAGCATGACTGAAAGGAGTTCGGCCAAACCCATCCGACTTATCAGGATCAACTTGACCAGTCTCGAGAAGCATTTTGACCACAGAATCGTGTCCGTTTATGGAAGCATGTGCTAAGGGTGTTCGGCCAGATGCGTCCGCATTATCAGGATGAACTCGACCAGTCTCGAGAAGCATTTTGACCACAGAATCATGTCCGTTTATGGAAGCATGTGCTAAGGGTGTTCGGCCAGATGCGTCCGCATTATCAGGATGAACTCGACCAGTCTCGAGAAGCATTTTGACCACAGAATCATGTCCGTTTATGGAAGCATGTGCTAAGGGTGTTCGGCCAGTCCCATCCGCATTCTCAGGATCAACTTGATCAGTCTCAAGAAGCATTTTGGCCACAGAATCGTGTCCGTTTTTGGCAGCATGCGCCAGGGGTGTCATTCCGTCTTTATCCTTGCGGTCAGTTTCAACCCTGTCACTCTCGATAAGAAACTGGACTATCTTCGAAAGGCCTTTCTCGGCGGCGTATGATAGTGGCGTCCTGAGTTGAGGCTTGACTGCAGCATCTATGTCAACCTTTCCACGCTCGGTGACGAGAGCAGCAACTGTTTCATTTCCAAGCTCCACAGCACTGAAGAAAATGCCTCGCCTTGCTGAGAAGACAAATTCGCGGGATGATTTGTAGGGTTCAGTGCTTTGTTGTGTGTGCTGTTTCAGTGCTGGGCTGTTGGGGTTTGCCTCCTTGAGGGCAGCTAAGAGTGCGTGTACAGCCTCGAAACTCCCAGTAGCTAAAGCTGCAAAAATCGGTGCCCCGTATCTTTGCGCTTCGATTTCGAAGCATGCCAGTTTTGAGCGCTCAACTTTGATGAGATTGGCTCTGTTTTGCTCAGCTAAGATGTACAAGAGGCTGACGTTCGGGTTGTGTCGACGGACTTTGTGTTTTTCCAAAAGATTGTTCAGCGCAGTCCAACCAGCAAGATCGAATGTTTGCAAAAAGTCAACCTGACTGACTCCTGATTCTTCTGCTTGGTCTGAATGGTACAAGACCTGCTGCGTTGCATATCGAATGAAAGGTAACATATCCTCTGCTGATTCACGGAGTTCATCAGCCTTTTTGGGCGAGGCCTCGGGGAGATCTTTGCCCACCTCCATGGCCGTGGCAACAGCTAGATAATTGAGGCAGCAGACTTTCAGTTGTTCATGGCAGTGCCCTTGAAAATTGCCGCTGAACTCGGGCCAGACCTGGCTGAGTCCACCATGTTTCAACAAGAAGTCTCTCACTGACTCGTGAATAAACTGGACAGTTGGAGTCTTTGATTTGGTAACCTCAGCGAGGCCCTTTGACGAGTTGAGGATGGATCGCTTCATGACATCGGCCGTGATATCTTCAGGGTCCCAATCAGATAATGCCTCATGGCTTTCAGTTCCGGACAATATCGCAAAGTAAAGTTGTTTTGGGCTGAGCGGGGTTTTGGCGAAAAGCACCCATTGAATGCATAGAAGCAACTTATCCCTGCGACGACTATCGCGGATGAGAATATCGCGGAATAGGGTATCGAGGTCACCGGGGAGTTCCCGGAGTCTTTGCCGAAGTTGAAGAATGTCACCGCGGTCGTGTTCCTTGTTCAGAATGTCCACGACCAAGACCACCCACATAAAAACCCCGGATGCCTTTTCTTGGAGCTCATCGCGGACCTGCTGGGCCATCTTGCTGGCTCCTATTCTCAGCTCGCTGTGCACATACTTGATGATGTCATCTTTGTGCCCTTCCTGTCCTTCTAGAATGAGGCTCACTGCCTTCGAAATAGTGATATGAGGGTAGTGTCTGCTCGAGAAACAGACTTGGAAGCTGATGTTCATTGTCGTGGTAGTTTCACTGACGCTCTCAAAGAACGACACCATGTCTCGGATCTGATCTTCATCACATTCATCCAGTGCGTCGATGAAGCATGTTACAGATTCATCTTTAAGGTTCCGGAATACCTCTTCAAGCAGCTCCTTGAGGAATTCGACGGTCCACTCGCGAGTCCTATTGTTTATTGTCATTAACGCAGGTAAGTCCAGGACTGACTGAAGTTGACGAAGGCCCTCGATGAGTTGAAAGAGGAGTGATCGGTACATCCCTATGGTCGACTTTTCCAGTTCCTCGCCTCGTGCGTTAAAGAAGAATGTGATGAGGGTGCCTTTTCGCGTTGTCTTCCGATAATTTTCAGAGACGAACTTCATCAACGTCGATTTCCCCGTGCCTGGCTTTCCCTTGATCCATAAAAACCCACGATGGTCTTCGCGTTTGGTATGGTCTAGCCAGTCAAGGTACTCAGAACTTTCCAGCACCCATTTGCAGGTTTTAGCGTGCGCTTTTTTGATGGTCATTTGCCGGGCGTCAATCTGGTCGAAGCTCAGCGAATCCAGCAGTTGCTTCCTCCGCTCGTCGACCGGTCTTTCCCTATCAGCTGCAGCCTTCGGGTGCTGAAACTCAGTTGAGGTACGAACGGGAGACGAAGACCACAGTGGAGTGAGCTCGTAAAGAAGATCTTTCGCGTACGCCGCAGCTGTCATCGCTGCATATCCTTGCCATTCCTTGTTTTTGTGGGAGTCCGAGTAATCGCATATGCCGCGAACAACTAAGCAAGGGAAGGTATTGCTTAATCCTCCAGCTTCCATTTCGAAGCACAATACAGAATCTTTAGCTGCAAGTTTGTCCCGGGTCTTGGCGTTCTTCATCACCTGATCTGCTGAAGCAATCGTGCCATAATGGATAACCAGCTTGTCTCCGGTCCGTGAAGATCTCTCCACGAAATTTGAGGGGTCATGCTGACAAATTGCAACGCAGGTTTCTGTAGATTTCCGAGGGTGAACAAAAGTGCTTTTGTACAACTTGTCGCTGTCTGGGTTTGGGCGGGCAAAGTGGCTGCTCAAGTTTGGGTTGCTACGAAGAAGACCATTGATCGTCTCTTCGATTGCGTGACCATCTCTCAAGTACCGAGCCCGGAGTCCAACGACCGCCCCACGCAAACGCTGAGGCGGCTGATCCAAGACGCTAGTATGTTTGAAGCGCTGGCCCTGTATGTCTTTTCCATAGTCGTATTTGAGTACACTGCTCTGCCCATTATGAGAAGTGCTGACGACGACATCCCCAAGACGGATATCGTTGCTTCGAGTTGGAGCGCCACCGCCGATTCCCACCATCAACCGGATCTCGATCTTGGGAAAGCTGCGTTGCATATTCGTTCCAGCCGCTGCCGCGGCTGCAGTTCCCATCTCCGCTAAGACGGCCATCACAACGTTATGTGGCCCGATCCTGCCGAATGTGTAGTGGTTCCCGTCATTCAAGGTCGGGGGCAGATCGTATGGATGAACATGCTCTTCGTCCAAAAGCGCCTGCGCTGCGGCGTATTCCGTGTGTATGGCGCATATCCAGCCCACAGTATATTGATGATGGGCGAGCTTGGGTCTTGCGTTTCGCTCGAGTTCGCGTCTTTTATGGGGAAATATGTCTGGCTCATGGTCAGACATCTCGTGAGGGTGCTTTCTCTTCGGCTCCATTGAGGAGTCCGACAGGGGTATTGACATCGTCGCAGAGATCGGAAGGCCCAAATCGGTGAGGGCTGGCCGCTGGATCAGGCTAGAAGTAGGCAGTCAGCGTCATCCTAACATCGAACATCCCGCTGGTCACGTACAAAGTCGTTGAGAGATGCGATACCCGCAACTGAATCTGCTAGAACTGGTAGCTGTGATTCATGATTGTGGCGAAGGTCTACTGATGGAAGCCTTGCAGCGAGGCCGGGCGCTTTGTTGGAGAGTATGTGCAAGCAGAGAAAATGGCGAGGAAGAACGAAACGGAAAGGCTTCGGTTCGAGCTTATGGCTGAGGCTGCCATCTTGGCATTAGCTGCAGGTGGACGGATGGGTGACGGGGCCGAGCAACTGGGCGAATGACACTTGCAGATTTTGAGGGTCATCTCCAGATAGATACCAACCGTTCATACCTCACGTGTCACCCACCCAGTGCGCCTCCTTACCTAAGAACTCACCAATACACCCGCTCGTCCGCCCGTCCGCACATCTAGCTCCTACCTCATCCCTTGCGAGAGGAAGTCGCAATATTTTTAAGCAACGGGAGAGTCTATAACACCTGGACGACATCTGACGATGAGGCTAGTCTTGGAAAGTGCGCACCGCTTCGCGACTGGCGGGCTGTTCAGGTCCTGCGCTGGTTACGACTCGATCAAGGACCATGCAGCGAAGGACGGAGAAGAAGAATGGAGAAAGGTGTGCACTCTTGGGTATGGGGAGCCAAAAAGAACAAGGGTGGCTGCATTTTATCGCGCAGAGAATTGCATCTGTTAAAGAGTAAATCAAGGTATTTAATTTTTGATGAAGAACATTGTTTCTCGCTTTCTGTTGAAAACCGCCGCGTTGTCCGTCACTCAGTTGCGCGTGACAACCGTTGAATGGTCAAGCAAGGTTGTAAAACGGGCGACCACCGTCGAATGCGGATCCAGTGACGCAGGTTTCTCATACGGTTTCCGAGACAAGGCATCGCGGCACGGCATGATCAAATCATCGAGCTTGCCTTGGCCGTGTCCTCCATGGGCGCAGATTGGCAAAGTTATGAAGGCTAATTCTTGATCTTCAACGATTGGGCTCATAAAATCTGTCTTGCGTATGTCTTTGAAGTGGCTGCCGGTCTACACGGGCATCTTAGTTCTGACAGCGGCAATGAGGGCTCAAGATGAGATGTATCCGCTCCTGGGACACGGTAAGAACTACGCCGAATTTATTGGGATATTCTTCAGAGTTGATCGAAGAGCGGCGAATGTTGAAGATAACCGGGGGTGGGCTGCTCAACATAAAGTAACATAAATTCAAGGTTTCCGTCCAACTGGTTTCGTTAGGAATGGTCAGTTGGACGATGTATCGTTCCAGTTAGAAGAACACAGTGTGCCTGTATCAATCGAAACCAAAGCCCCACCGCCTTGGAACTTGAGAATATATACTAAGCCGGAAATCTGCCTGAGAGAGCGACGTTTGTGGCTCCTGACGCGCTATGGATTTGGGCCAAACATACTATCTGGTAGTACTATGGTCTAGTCGGCAAGTAAAACCCCAAGCCACAGTCTCATGGAATCTGTACGCCCCCGAGAAGACAAGAGCCCTAGCTTATAGTGGCTGTAGATCTGCTTCTAAGTAATGTACCGCACTAAAAATCGTATGGCGCAGTACTCAACGAGGGGGTAAAACTTTGGCCTGATACCGTAGTATATATTTGGATATCTTCTTGACTTGCCCTCATGTTACCCGTGGGGTATTAGAGAAGGCTTTGAGACTACGCTGATATCTACCAGAATATTTTAGCAGGTATTCATCTATTGAATATGAGTCGCGGTGGGTTACTGCATTGGCATTCCAGCCACGCAGTTGTTAGCGCCACGATGAGGATGAACATAGACTGCATTCATCAGCCTCTTTGTTTCCCGGAATTCAATTTGTGTCTTCAAATCCGCATGCGTCCAGCGAAGGATAGAGAAGGCTTAATCAGAAGGCTGCATCATTGCAAACAGTTAATGATTCTGATAAAAAGTCACCTAGCCAGTGTACGCAGCCAAATTTCGGTCCGAAAGCCTTGAGATTGACCTTCGCCCACATCCACAAGCAGAGCCAGTCGTCGCAGAAATGACATAATAACCTAACAACAATGTTGCCCCCAAGCCAGAAATCAGTTACTTGGGAAAACCTCTGCATGCCCAGCCTCGAGACATAGCGCCACCTGCTAGATGGCCTTTGACAGGGACCCAGCCACAAATCGAGATTTCCCAGACCCTTGACATTGGTGTCGGGGTGTGTTTCTGTTCATGATGGGAAACGCAGAATATCCAATATCCCAGATACATCTCCCCGGTGGCTCCGGGCACTTCAATGCTAGATACTGCGGTCGACTGTTTGTTTTACTACGGACGATAGACTGGAGACATCTCGAATCCATGCCGAAAAGTCCCTCTGATGCCTCTCGGCTGCAGTGATGCATCTGGTACAACGCGTTTCGGCGGTCGCGTATGTCGTTGCCTCATGTTCGTTAGTTGGAGCAGAGTCGAGCACCCCTTCCTCAGCATCTCTTGCCCCATCTTCCGTGCCGGTCCCGGCATGTGCTGTAAGTCATACCTCACTTGGACCTTCTTTCTCGTCAATACTTGCTGACATTTTCAATTTTTTAGTCCATTTGCTTTGTGCAGGCTACGCCTGTGACTAAGTGTGACCTCTCAAACTCGCAATGCCTGTGCGAGGACGAATCTTTCCAAAGGGTGCTGGATCCCTGCATAGTCGCAACCTGTTCACCGGAGGATGTGTCTAGTAAGTCGATATTTCTAGACCATACTCTCATTACAAGTGAATGTCCATTAACAGTGTTCCTCTGTTAGTCTCGCAAGGTCTTCCGTGGAACAATTGTGATGCTCCACGACATGAAGAATACGAGGCGATGAGATTGACTCGGTACATACTCTTCTTTGGCTTATCCACTCCCGCCACAATCATACGCATGTCGATCAAATTCGCACGGCTATCTCGCTGGGGTGCCGATGATGTGACTGTATTACTAGCATACGTGGGTTTCCTAGCCTATTGAGTCTCAATCGACGAGAGCAAACCTGACTTAACCGGTTAGATATTTCTGCTTGGGTTTCTTCCAGATGACGAGATCTGTAAGTTGCCCATTTACGTTGTAGCGAGATCAAGGATAAGATCTCACTTCATTTTTCTCCTCTAACCATTTATTTGCAGTAGAGAAGGGCGCAGCAGGAAAGGACGTGTGGACCATCACCTTCAAGCAAATGAGCGACTTCTTTCTGGTAATAAACCCCTGTGGCCCCTTTTGAAACTATTATCTGCATCATGAGCCACTTACACGTACCTTGCCTTCAGTCAGGCTACATTGCTCAGATCTTGTACCACTCATGCATGGCTCTGATCAAGGCCTCTATCATATTCTTCCTCCTTCGAATATTCACCGACGGTAAAACTCGCATAGTTCTCTGGTGCACACAGGCCATCAACGCCATGATCGGGGCTACGTTCCTCTTCGCCGGCCTCTTCCAGTGCAGCCCAGTGGACCTCGTCTGGAAACTGACGGAGGGGTTTCATGAAGGCCACTGCATCAACGTCATTGTTTTGACCGTCGCTCACGCCGCTATCAATATTGTACTCGACGTTTGGATACTTATTATACCCTCTGTTCGAGTGTGGAAGATGAATATGAGGACACGTGATAAATGGGCTGCGTCAGCCATGTTCAGTCTTGGCTTATTGTGAGTTCTCAACGTTTTGGAACTCTCAGCAGCACTTCACTGACAGTGACTGATCAATGTGGCTACAGCCTTACCATTACGAGCATCATTCGTCTTCGAGCCATTCAGGTTAACTGGGCAGGTGCTTTCGCCAACCCTACAGGTATGTGGTACTACTAATGTTGGCTGACGTATTGACTCTCAACTTACCTGTTTCACACCACAGTTGACGCTCTACCAATATCCATCTGGTCTGACATCGAGTTGTGTGTTGGGGTATTCACGGCATGCATACCCGGTATCCGCCAGTTCATGCGCTTCTTCAAAGGAAAGAAGAAACCTGTGATTAGCAGTAGTAAGAGGTCTAGTGCCAATCGGGAGTGCGTTGAGGAGGCGGGCCCAATATCACCATTGAAAGCGACAACGGAACACTCGAACGATGCGATACAGATTTCATGAAAGGTTCATGTAGTCAATTACTGACGCATGCTGGGTTTATGTTGAGTTACTCCATATGAGCTTCCATAAAAATATCATACCCAAGTTTCTCGTGATGTATCATCAATGCCGCTCGCTGGTTTCAAATCTCACAGTCTAGAACCACGAACCGTTCTTGATCTTCTTGTCCCCCAATACATCGATGTCGACGCGCCCTTCATAGGCCCTTCCTTCTCTTCTAGCCCTGAGTGTGTCTTTCCGAACCTCCACCACCCTCCTTTCTATCCGTCTTGTGAGCCACCAGGTCCAGGTATTAGTCGCCAGAGCGGCTAGTGTGATGGCAAAACCAATGAAGAAGCTGTTTCGATAGCGGTTATGTGCCCACCTCGACTGAAAGAACTGCGGTCCAATTGCCGCGCCAAGCTGTGCGACGCTGCTTTGCAAGCCGATCGCGAAACTAGCACCCGTGGAACCAGTCATGATCGAAGTTCGCCAGGACCAGTACGGGACGTAGTAAGAGCTCGAGAAGAACTGCGATAACACACATGTAGTGTAGAGCCCTGCCTTTCCGGAGACTGAGAAGAATAGGATGAAGCACACAATCGTCCCAAGAACGGTGCAGATGCACATCAGAGGCCGTGGAGCCCACGCACGGGAGGTGACGAGGACGCATATTAGCATAGCGAAGATACCAGCAGCCGCCGGTGGGATGTTAAGAAGTAAGTTGTTTGGAAGCTTGGCGAAACCAAGACCGGCGATGATGGTTGGGAGGTACCAGTTGAGCGCGTACGTTGCGAGGTTCATCAGAGTTTGGTCGAGCAAAAAGGCCCAAGTTGTTGGGGCCTTGAAAGCTGCCCATGCTTCCCTTGTGTCCCAGTTCTTGTCTGCTGTCGACGGAGCACTTGGAGGCAGTCTGGCTTCGAGAAACTGCTGCTCACGTGGTGTGAGCCACGAGCTACTCCTCGGACTTTTCGGGAAGTCTGGGAGCACCCAGAAAATGACACCGGCAAACAAGACAGTGGCGACGCCTTCGAGGATGAAAGCCCACCTCCACCCGCTTAAACCCTGCAGGCCATTCATGAAGCTTGCTCCATAGCAAATGAGGCTTCCGACGATATTCGAAAGGTTGGAGATGGCGAAGTACCACATCAGAGGACGGCCGACTTCGTCGGTTCTGTACCAATAGCTGAGGGTCGTAATTACTCCTGGGAACATCCCAGCCTCGAACATCCCAACGAGGAATCGAAGGGCGAGAATTTGGGACTTCGTATTGACAGCTCCACAACAAGCGGTGACGATACCCCATGTAAGAAATATGCGAGACTCCCAAGCATGAGGGGTCATGTATTTGAGAACCAGATTACTGGGAAGCTCGAAGATAATGTAGGGGATCTGCAGGCACGAAGATTAGCGTGTGCCATAACTTTACCCGCGAGGAAACTCACTCCTTGGATCGTTGCTACCCAGTTGTAATCGTCAGGTGTCATATTGAGCTCCGTGATAATGTTGGAAGGCAGCCCCGCCTGCATTGTCTTGATAATGCTAATGTTCCCGAAGTCGATGTTCTTAACCATAAACATAACACCTATCAAGATACTGGTTCTGGTCAGGCCTATTAGGGCAATGCTACAACGATGAATGACTCACAAGAACCGCCTATCTACTTTTTTCATGATCGCCTTCTCTTCTTCCGCGGTGAAAGTCGCAAGAAAGGCGGTGCGAGCGTCGGGATCATTGCGCAGATCTCGTGAGACATCCTCTAGACTGGAAATATCTGTAGTTGTTACCGGCACTATCTTTCCGACTTCGCGTGCAAGTATCGATGTATTCTGGCTTTGATCGACGCTCGAGCTTGAACGGTGGTCATTTTCCCCGGATTGCCGTTGGAAACTCATGATGCCGATTTGTTCTCAATATTTCGGGAATGACACTTTCCAGAAACTCCTATCGAACAAGACATAACGCACTTTTTTAATGCCTTTCAATTGCAAGAACACGCGATTCGAGAACCTCCAGCCTGGAATCCTGCGATTTGAAGTATGGATGTCGTGCTGCAAGCTTCAGGTTGCGCGCTCGACACCCCGGTACTCAACCGAACTTGATATCACGGAAACTGCTTGCTCAAATTCACATCCGCTATCTAACGCTGGCTCGACGAATTGTAGGCTGAAACTTTGGTTTAGACACCCTACAGGCCCGGCAATTAACGATATCTCCGGACGCAAGGTCATCATCTGCAAGGCATGTACTTAGCGCATATGCGAATTCGCGGCGATGATGACGTGACTGGAAATCAGTATGTGTATGGCAACTTCACCGAGGTCATATAAAGCGATATCGGGCTTGATGAACAGATTCATTGATCTCCAAAAGTGACCTTTGCAAGGGTTGAAGGTATTCTCAATCGCTACATGAATGTCGTGAGCGATCAATATCTATCAAGCCTATCCATTAATGGATGCATTCCATGGCGTGATCGCAACGTCAGCCATCCTTCCGAAGGCGTGCTGATTTACTTATCAAAAGCCGACGTATTCACGTTAATTCCCGATAGGCCAACCCGGAATAATCAAGTAGATGATGGGGAGGAAAGGAAAGATTTCATCCTGATTTCTCAACCATTTCATTACTTTCACTTTGATGAGTTCAGTTCTTCAACCACCCATCAGCCATGGCTACCGCTGAGAAGAAGAAGCTTCGCCTAGCGGCCTTCATTTACTCTGGCGCTCAAACCCAGATATGGCGACATCCAGATATGCACGCACACGAGAGCCTCGACGTCGACTACTACATCTCGTACGCACAACTAGCCGAGCGCGCAAAATTTGACACTCTTTTCCTTGCCGACGGAGCATCGTTCCCAACGGGAGACCTCGCGAAACACCTCTGGAGTGTCAGTGGTTTTGAGCCGGCTACACTATTCTCTGCAATCGCTGCCAGGACCGAACACATTGGTCTGGTGTACACGGCAAGTGTCAGCGACAATGAGCCCACTCATGTTGCTCGTCAACTCGCTAGTCTAGACCACATCAGTCACGGGCGTGCAGGCTGGAACGTAGTCACCACTCCCGGACCTGGCTCCGTCAACCTGGGTGTCCCGCCTGACGAGGTGAAAGACAGCTCAGCGAAGTACAAGCGGGCAAGGTCGTTCTTGAATGCTGTTCAAACGCTCTGGGACAGCTTCGAGGATGATGCCTTACCAAGAAATAGAGAGTCTGGCATCTACGTGGATCTGAAGAAGGTCCACTGGCCCAACATTGACGACGGACTTTACAAAATCAACCAACCTCTGAAGGTCGAGCGTCCAATCCAAGGTCACCCTGTCATTGCCCAAGCCGGAACATCACCTGAAGGCATAGCTTTCGGCGGTTCGACGGCTGAATTGATCTACTGCGCCAACTACTCCATCGTGGATGGGCAGAAGACATACCGGGCTCTCAAGGACGCAGCGCGAACGGCTGGGAGAGATCCAAACCATCTTGTCATTCTCACCGGCGTTGCTGTCATATGGGGAGAAACACAAGAAGAAGCAGAGAGCAGACTGAAAGAGGTGACTTCGTTATGGCCGATTGAAGTTGCGGTGAAGAACCTCGGGATTGACTTCGGGGACGTAGACATTGACTCCCCATTTCCCGAGTCTTACTCTGCCACATTCTCACAAGGCCGCTCGGCAGCAATCGCATCGTTTGCAAGGGCCAACAATCTCACGATACGCCAGACGGCTGAACGTTGCTCTATTGGACTTGGACATCGACCGCTTATCGGAACGACAGAATCCATTGCGGATGACTTAGAAGCATGGCTGGAACAGGGTGCTACCGATGGGTTCGCAGTCATTCAACCACGCTTGATAGATGGTCTCAGAGAGTTTTCTGATCATGTCGTACCTGAGCTGGTGCGACGTGGTATTTTCCGGGAGGAGTATGAAGGGAAGACATTGAGGGAGAATTTGGGATCCCCAAGACCCGTCAACCGTTACGTCCAAGCTCTCTGATTGTACTTATACAACCTTTTTAGCTTCTTGGAATAAAGCTCGGCTTCGAATTTCTTGCTATCCTCACTTTGTAGTATTGAATGTGGCGGTTTTGACCTCTTATCACCCTCAACGTATTCGAACTATCCCCTTGGTGAGATGTACAGACCATCAGCGAAGCATGACCTGTCTTTTCTAAATGTACCCTGATGAATCAACAAGTTTGAAAAATTCGAGGTGACGCTGATCAGTGCTTTAACTGGCTTCAAGAAATGTTTGTTTATCTACATTTATTGACATTTGAGATAACAAGTGGATGCTGTAGTTTGCCCACTCACAGCTTGGACAATCTCTGAACGTCAGTCGATGAGAGTCCAGACCTGGTTTCGACAGACAACCCCTTTAACTTTCCCTCATCCCTCCACTTGCCAATGTAGTTCAGAAACGACACGGTACCCTCAGCCCATACAACACCTCTTGCTTGCTTTCTCTTCTCTTCCGGGTCATCTGAGGCCGCTTGCCCATGACCATTGAAGTACCCTGGCGTGCACCCAGCAAGAGAGGAGAAAAACGGTGCCCTCTTTGCGATTTCCTCACTGTGCTCCTCTTCTGCTTCTCTGGTCACTTCGACAATAGCTCTCTTGCCATGGCCCACACGTCTCTCTGCTTCAGAGATCATGTAAGTTACGTGCCCAGCGATGAGGCCAAGCATGAAGACGTTATTTCCCGTGATGGTGCCTTGAGATGTACCAGAGAAGAACAGGTTTGGAAAGCCATTGGTTGCGTATCCATGAAGTGTTGCAGGGCCATTTTGCCGCCACTTATCGTCCATGGAAATGCCCTCTCGGCCCAACACCTGCACGCCCACTCTGCCCGCAGGGCTTCCACCGGTGCGACCGCCGGCGACGGAGTAACCGGTGCTGAAGATGATGACATCGGCAGGATATTCCTTATCAGCGACAACAATGGCTTTATCCGTTGCGTGAGATGGTCCCTTGCCGTCCGTGTCAACCAGGTGTACATGGGACTCGTTGAATGCCTGCAGATATTCATCGCTGAACGTCGGTCGCTTGCACCATGAAGGGTACCAGGGCTTCAGTTTCTCGGCGGTGGTTTTGTCCTTTACGATGTTGCTGACGCGAGCCCGTACACCTTCCATATGCGGCAAGTCCAAAGCATGGAACCAGGTAGCTCGTCTCTGTTGCTCTTCAGGCGAACCATCGACAATGCCATGAGAAGGTGATCCCATGACTGCGGAATAAGCAGGCATATCAGTCCAGCCATCGTCGACAAGATTGGGTTGGCCAGGCAGGACCGCATTGGTCATGTGTCGGTTGAGGTTAATCTGTCTTTCAAACTGCCATCCCTTCTTGTTCGCAATGCCCGCTTGAAAATCTTCGATGTTGGTGACCTGTTGGTTCCGCGGTTTGACGTATGCCGGCGTTCGCTGGATGACGTACAGCTCTTTCGCGTACTTGGCCAACGTGGGAATCGCCCCTATAGCTGTGGCAGCCGTGCCGATGATCGCGACCTTCTTGTCGCGCAGATTGCTGAGTGTTTGGTCTTCCTGAGAGCCGCCAGTCACGGAGTAGTCCCATCTTGAGGTATGGAATATGTCTCCCTTGTACGATGAAAGACCGGGGATTTTGGGGATTTGAGGTTTGGTGAGAACGCCGGCCGCCAGGTAAACATACTGTGCTTGAACGCTGTGCCGGATGGACTCTGCTCCGGGCCCACGTCTCTCAGTAAGGCTCACACTCCAGAGCTCCTTCTTATCATTCCACTCGACGCGTTGTACGTCGGATCTGAACAGAGTCTTGTCGTCAAGTTTCCATCGTCGTGCGATTCTCTCAGCGTGCTCCCGAATTTCAGCAGCCGGAGCGTACTTTTGCTTCGGTATATATCCGGTCTCCTCGAGTAAGGGGAGATAGCAGTAGCTTTCAAGATCGCAGTGAAGCCCAGGGTATCGATGCCAGTACCAGGTTCCGCCGAAACCACCGGCTGCGTCGACGAGCCGGATCTCGTCTGCGGTGGCCACACCAGACTCAATGAGACGCACAGCGTAAAGTAGACCTCCAAAGCCTGCGCCCAAGACGAAAAACCTGACCACCTGTTTGTCGCTAATAGGGGTTGCTCCGCCGTTGAGCTTCGCGTGGTCTACCCAAGGATCATCGAGAAGGGAGTGGAGTCGATCTTCTTGAGCTTCGTTGAGTGGCAGAAACTGTGCAGCGCCTTCTGGCCGCAGGCGTTTCTTTGCTTCCTCGGCATACTTTCTGCGCACGCTTTCCAACTTGACGAGATCAACTTTGTTGGTTGGATCTTGTGCCGTCGTATTCGCCATTCTTGACTTTTGTAATAAAAGTTAAAACCTTACACTCGATTGAAGAAAATAGACGCAATCTCAAGAGATAGAATGAACAGCGAGTTCTGAAGCTAAATCTAGTTCCAATTCGCGTTCATCTGTTCAATGATGCCTTCTCATATACGTAGATGCTATCGAAGATCGCTTGGATTGCTGACACTATCTGAAGGCACGCCATCCATAGGTCCACAATGCGCCATTGTTTTCTGAGCACGCAAGCGACACGTGTTGGTCGCATACACTTATTTTCGCGCCGACATCGCATGATGCATAGAGATAAGGAATGCTGGCAAGGATAGTCTGGCCGGTTGTATCTGTTGCGCCGACTGCTTGATTCGACTTTCCCTGAAATACTGCATCTGCAGCATGTTGTGATGTCATGGGAGGAATACAAGCGTCATTCTGTTGCTTACAAAGAAAATATGATTATGAGCGCATGCAGTCACATCTTAAGGGAGAAATCTTGTCTGAAAGTTGATTTTATATCGCTAACTCCGACAGATAGTAGCGGCGGGTGTTGAAGTGCATCGCTATATACCCCATTGCATATGCATGCCAAATGCTGGCGCACATTTGACAACTTTGTAAAATGGCTTGAGAGCGACTGTATGCTGCCGCTGTTTCTAACATTGCGGATTCTAACACTGACAAAGGACTGCAGTTCAAGACCATCGCCGTCTTGTGAATGTAGTTGCGGTCTTCTCCAGCCTTTTCCTCCTTGTAGAAACTGCAAGTTCAAGGTTAACATCACAGAAAACATGTGACAAGTGGGATTGATAGGCACTGACGATAGGATGTCGTTGGTCAAGTTGATGAACTTTCCCATTTCGGGTGCAGCCGGGAGGAACATTGAGATATCCGGGCACATGGCTTTGTAGAAGCAGAAGTATGTGTACACTTCGGGGAGACCCTCCTTGTCTCGGAAGTAATACGGCCAGTTGACCGTATCACGTGTGACGACAATCGATTGGTACTGCGGCCGAATCTCAATGGCGTTTGAGTTGACAAATGCAAGAGCAGAGAGCACGATTAAGTTGGCAATGACAGGATCATAGTACTTGATCGTTGATCTGAGCACAGTGGCGAAGCATTGTAACTGTGATGACGGCTGTTGTTCTCCGTTCTGAAATCGTGATTGAAACATCTCCAAGTCCGGTCCAAACTTTGCATTCTGGTCATCAATGATGAAGCCTAGCCACGTGAACAGGCCGATGTGGATTTGAATGTCAAGGGGATGGAGCGGGTACATCTCCTGGTCAAAAGTCAGTATACTTCAAGGTACTACTTCTGCGTATTGAAAGAGTTTAGGGACTCTACCGCCGCAACTGCTAGCCCGGCTTCAAACAGCATGAGCGAGGCATCGTCGGAGTCAAGATGGACACCGTTCTGGCGACCTTGTTCAAGTAAGGCCTCTCGCAGGATCTCCTTGTTGACATCAGGAGGGGATATGTAGCTGATTGAGGTGAGAAACGCGGGAATCAGACACGAAAGCCTCTCACGAAGACTCTCCATGCTTCTATCCACGCCAACTGACGGCGAGTCAAGCATGTTGTCGAATTAACGTTGGTGGATCCAGGAGCAACTTGACAGCGAAACTGGGGCAGGAGGAGGAGCCTATTTAACGTTCCTTTGGCTCGGTCTCTGATGATTTTAGCTATGCGTTTGGCACCGTCCAGGATATGTAGGCAGGAAGACGCGGATTCTAGGTATCGTATTGCAACGGATCAATATGAACTGCCCCGTTTGCTTAGTGGATATTGCCTATCTCGGGCAAGAGGATCCAGTCAGCTTACTGTGGATCATCTTTAAAATTCCCATCCATGGGTGTCAATTCGGCGTGAGTGGCTGGCTTATGGTGTTGAAGTACAGAACGTCGCTTACAAGCCGCTAGTCAGCATCTAGATATCGAGATCTTGCGAGAGCCAAGTGTCGTAGCCAAAGACAAAGAATGATGCCCTCGATCCGATGGGATATTCAATGCAGACCAAATCAACAGTTTAACCCCTGTTCATTCATTCGATAATCATCATTTGCGCCCCTGATCCCCGAGTCAAGCAGTCTGTGGGTTCCGGTTCAGAACGGCATGGTCGATTTTGTGGTGGCTCCTCTCCACCCAAAAGAGAGTGAAATTTTCAGCAGGGGAAGATTTCAGCCCTCACCGCGTAGGTCACAACGAACCTGCAGACGATAACAGTCGACATGAGAATAGGATCTAGCCTAAACTGATCCTTGACGGCCGGATGACAAGAAATACTATGGCCAATTGGGGTGTTCAATAAAGCCATGGTCTTTGGACACCAAGGCCAACCGAAGTTCTTCCTGTCACTTATTCGGACTTCTTATCTCTCCATTAACTTTACAATATCTCACCGCTCCCTCCGACTTCAGACTCCGGGTTCAGCCATGATCTTTCCCACATTTTGTTAGCTGGATTTTCTTGAGTGACAATGTTCCCGATCCTACTTCTCGGCCTGGCATGTGTGGTGTACCTGCTCACTACGACTGTCACATCATGGACTCGCCTTTCGCATATTCCCGGCCCCTTCCTTTGTTCATGGTCGTACTGGCCCATGTTCCGGATCCGTGCTCAGTTCTCCCGCGCATACGCCAAATACGTTCAACTCTCAGCGAAATACGGCAAAGTCGTTCGCATAGGTCCAAACGACTTGATTACGTCTGATGTAGACCTCATCAGGCGTATGTCGGCAGCCAAGTCAACTTATGGACGAAGCAGCTGGTACAGAGCCACCCGGCTGGATCCGTATCACGACATGATGGGCAGCGTCCTTGACAAGTCAGCTCATCATTCCTTGAGGACGAAGTTGCAACCTGGATACCTTGGGAAGGACATTCCCGGCTTAGAGGCCAGTATCGACTCAGGAATAATGGAGCTAGTCAGGTTGATTAGATCCAAGTATACCTCAAGGCCTCATAATAAAGTATACCCAGAGATCGCAGAGCAGTTGATAGTAAACTTTGGTCGACTTGCAGACTACTACGCCATGGATGCTCGTTCGACAATGTCATTCGGACAGCCCCTTGGGCTCCTCCAAAAGGATGAGGACATCTTTGGGCTGATCAAGATGTCGAATCTGGCAATAGACTACATCCAATTCTTCACCGATATACCGACCCTTCAGTTCATCAGCAACTCGGATACCATTTTGAGGCTCTTGGGGCCCAAACCAACTGATAAGAGTGGTTTTGGTAAGATCATGGGGTGAGTGCACACACATCTCTCCACGTATTGGGACGATGGATCTAACTTGTGCAGACTTGCCAAGGAGCACGTCGACGCTCGCTTTGGACCTGATGCAAAGGACGAGCCCGACTTACTTGTAGGCAAGCCTCTGCCAGCTGACTTTTGCATCTGAAGTAACAATCTGAACAGGGTTCGTTTCTTCGTCGTGGTCTTGACCGTCGCTCAGCTCAATCCGAGGTCATGTTCCCAATGGTTGCCGGTTCCGACACGGCAGCAAAAGCCATCAAGTGGACAATGCATCACCTTTTCGCGAACCCTTCTGTCCTCGAGGCTCTCACACAAGAGATTGAGAATGGAATTGCGGAGGGCAGAATTTCGGATCCTATCAGCTATCAAGAAGCCCAAAGTCTGCCCTTTCTTCAAGTAAGTCCGGAGAATGAACTAGCCATCGGCATGGTAGACTCCTGCTGACGAAGAAACAAAGGCCGTCATCTGGGAGGGTCTTCGTGTTCAGCCCCCTTTCACAGGTTTGGTCATGAAACAAGTTGGACCAGAAGGAGATATATACGAGGGAATGTCGCTGCCTGCCGGGACGAGAGTTGGCCATGACATTTGGTCCGTGACCCACGACAAACACATTTTTGGCGAGGACGCTGATGACTTCCGACCTCAACGATGGTTGGAAGCTGATCTGAACACTGTCCAGGCTTGGAAGAAGCGAACTGAGCTTGTCTTTGGCGCGGGCCGTTGGCAGTGTACCGGCAAGTCTGTGGCGCTTATGGAGTTGAACAAAGTATTTGCTGAGGTGAGCATGCAAACTTGTCATACCCAATTCTTTCTTTGTTTCCGATTTCTAATTCAGTCTTATTGCTTAGCTGGTTCGGAATTTCAAGTTCGAGCCCACCGGCGCGCCGATGTCTGTCGTTATTCGAGATCGAAGGCAGTGATACAAATAAAGTAGGAGATGGGCTACTAAAGACACCTGCTAAGCGACTATGGAATGGCTTCAGGAATGGTAACACGGTTTATGGTAGCTTTCAACGTTCTCCTGAAGTGCTTACATTGAAGCCCCAGTGTTTCTAAAACTCGTTTCCTTGTCCGACTCTTGTGGCCTTGCCTTTGGTGGTGAAACTGGCACTGCCATCATTAAAGGCGGAAGCTCACTGACATTTATCTTGTGTGACAGCGCCCATAAGCATCAAATGTCTCCCAAAACAATCCGGATCACTCTTCTCTGGAACATCTGCTTTGAAAAGCCAAGTAGCGCCCTGAACCTTGGGAGAGTCATTCGGGTAGCCGTTGTAGTACCAGTCAAAGCTCGCGCCCTCCATCTTGTTTTTAGTACATTCCTTGACGGCCTTGAACAGCTTCTCGCCGTTGGCGCCGATCATGTCATCGCGAAAACCCGAGCCGCGCATGAACAGTCTCTTTTTCCCGTCCTTACCCATGTCCCAAAGATAGCAAGTGTTCCAGACCCAGCCTTGCTGGAGGCTCTGCAGCGTCTTTACATCGAGGGCGACGCCGGGCGCACGATAAGCAGGATCCTGCTTATCCATGGGCAGAGGCTCCCGTGTGAGACAGTTCGTCCAGACGAAGATAATGACGCCGTCGGGGACCAGTTTTCCGTTGTCGTTGATATTCCACATCTGATCGGCGCAGTAGTTGCCGATGTGCTCAGCACCTTCTTCACTACAGAGCGATCTCCGACTTTGGTACGTCCATTTACCCTCGGACATCGTGCCACTGATGATAGTTGAACGGCGTAAGCATTTGATTCATTCATATGCTTGAAGAGAACTTACCACGTGATTTTGCGAACAGGAATAAAAGTGAAGTAGCCGCATTGGTCTCGTTTCAAGTTGATACTCCAACTGTGGCCCATTGCTTTGCTCTCACCCCAGCTGTAGCTGCCAGTGATGCCGATCTTGAGAGCTTTCTCATACTGAACCTTGCCAGTACCACCCCACCTGTAGCTCCAGCTCGTGGATTCGGACTCGGTCATGCCACATTTGATCGGGTAGTGGCACTCTGAGTGGGGAAAAGGCCTCTCTTCAGACCACTCAAAGTAAGTTCCTATGGTTGAAATCTACCGTTAGTCGAATCCTCTATTTGCTTTCAAAGAGTTTGAAGGTAATGAAGGCTTACGAATTTGACAAAAGCTGGCGCAATGGCGGTCTTGGCGATGGTTATCCATGTCGATTCTGTTATAGCCTTCGCAATGGCCAGTGCCTGCCAAAAGACGGTGATGGGGCGGGCATTCTTCCGCGTGATATTCGGTGTAAAGCTTAGCCGGGTGACCGCGGTTGTCTCACTGATTGGGCGAGGTTTTGCCGCTGAATTCGGTTAGCGTTCTTGCTGCTGTAAATCAGGCTCGGCTCAGGCATGTGCACTGAGCTGCTCAGGCTCACTCTGCCCATGAATGGTGCGTATTTTAATGAAGCGCCCACTGCGTTTGTGCAAGCACTGCACATACTGCTTAAATTTCGGCAGGCTTTGCATATGCACTACCATCTTGCATTGCATCACAAACTAGGCTATTATGCAACTATCTAATATTAGGAAGGATTATCTACTGAGAATAAGATCTTAATTACTAGATATAGGCTATATAACTAGATTTATCTCTTTATAATAGAATAGATAAATCTTTAACCTATAGTAACTCTTATATATAATATACCTATAGGGCATATAGACTTAATCCTAACTATATATTACTTCTAAGTAGATTAGATACTTAATATTAAAGATAAATTCCCTTTATTATTTGCCTAGCTTATAATATAAGGAGTATTACCTAGATTCTACTCATTTAAGGCATAAGTAATAGCTTAGCTAAATATTACGTTAAGTATATTTAAATCTTAGTATAGGAGTGCTATAACTTATATATCTATAGATAAGATATATACTTATTATCTTTTCTATTAGGAGCAATAATCTATAGTAGGTATATATACTATAAGCGTCTATATCTACCCCTAAGGTAAGAAGAGGTATATCTAGGCCTCTATTCTTAGGAGCCTTAGAGTAGAAGCTACTGAGGTTATTATCTTAAGTTAGATTAATAATTACTACTCTAAATAGGACTACAGTCTAAGCTAGATACTCTTAAGTAAGGTTAATAACTACTGCTCTAGGAGGGACTATAGTCTAAGCTAGATGCTCTTAAGTAAGGTTAATAAGTTCTAATATCTTATTATATTAAGTAAGATTAATAAAATCAAAAGTAAAAGATGTTACTATTACTTTAGGCATCCTATTAGCCTAATCGCTAAGAAAACTTTTATTAATACTAGGAAAAGATTAGGAGAACGGCAAGAAGCATTAGAGGAGGCCTTATTTATATATCTATCTATTAGACTCTATTAATCCTCTAAAGAACAAATTAGTATGGCGTAAGTGGGCCTATAGAGATAAAGATATCCTAGGATATCTCAACTAATAATAATAGCTTGCTATTCTTAATGTTACGACCCGTTAGGCATAACACGTTGGAATATCCCCGCCTTAGATCTCGGCGGCTAACGCAGGACATATATAAGCAGTGACACAGGTGTCCTCGGAAGGGAAGAACTATGGTGTAACGGAGAGCGCGAGGAGATAACTAATACGGACGTAAGCTATGGTCGCTTAGCTGCATCATATGAAGCCGGATACTAGATATCTGGGTATATGGGCATGAGCGCATTAGGGATGAAAGATTGATATATAGAGGGTTCACTTAGCACCTATATAGGCTTTCAGAATGGAGGCATAAGGCCTGTTGTATTATCCCTGCTTCTATTGGAAGATCCTTGTGTCGTTACATATGGAATAGGTCACGTGACCTCGGGAACAGTACGGATATAGGACAAGATGGATATGTTGGATAAGAGCTATCCTAGTGTCAGGCTGCCCCAGCACATTCGTTACAGCAATTGTTTCACCTCAAGTAACTTGACTTATGCTTAACTAGAGGTATGAATAAGGTCAGCAAGGATATCCTTATCTAGGGGATTGTACATTCATTATATAGATATCGGGTTTCTTCCCATAGCCATTCATTCGTCATACTCATCAATATACACACAATGACCCCTGCCTGTCTAACTGCTGCTCGATACCTAGCTATCCATAGATATGTTGGATATGAGCTATCCCAGCTATCCAACATCAAAGGAACTGTTCAGGACCTATATATAGGATGGACTCAAGTCCGCTCGAGTACAGACTTCCATAGCTCTTCAGCAATCAACTTGTGATTATCACTCACAATATGTTACGGCCAGCTAACTAACAGTGGGTTTGTATTAGCAGTAAGTTAGGGATTGAGAACTATAAATAGTAATTAGTCGTTTTTATAGGTCTAGTTGAGTAATTATAGGTCTTTAAAGGGCTTAGTAATTAGTTAAGTCCTTAATAAGAGTTATAGAGTAATTATTACTTAGGTATAGCTAAAAGTCTTAAGTGAGAATCACAAGTTAATTACTAAAGAGCTATAGAAGTCTGTCCTTAAGCCAGGCTTAAGTCTATCCTATATATAAGTCCTTTTCCTAGTATATACTCTTTATACCTTAGGTTAAGCTAGATCATTCTAATTAAGAATAATCGTTTAGCCCCTAAGTCTATCTAGATTATTTTAATCTAAAATAATCCTTATCTTATTGTTATATAACTTATACTATAGTTCTTCCCTTCTAAGGATCCCTAACCGTCCTTATATCACTAGGTTATATATATCTATATTAGCCGCTAAGAGCCTAGCGGGGTTATATTAGTAGCTAAGCCTAATAGGTTATAACATTAGGTCTCCTCTCTAAAGGTTTTATCCTTAAGACCAGCATAAATAGGTTATTACTCCTAGGTTAGGGAGTTATTAATTATACTTCCTTATTTCTATAATGCTAACACTATATTAGGTTGCATTTAAAAACCTTCTAAGCCTTTACATAAGGCTCATTATACTAAAATAAAGCAAAATCGTTAAGCTCTTAGTTAATTAGTTAATCTCTATAGTTATAACGTAATGCTATGCTCTCTATATTTCTAGTTTAACTAGGTATACAAAATAGACCTTATAAACTCCAAGCGCTACAACAAATACGCAAGCTATAGTCTATCTAACTATAATAGGGGAGATATAGCAAACGCTTATAAGTTATTTATTTTAGTTTTCTATTTTTTCTATACTAATAACTATAGTGAATTATTATTTTAAGGAGCAGAAGAAGATTGAGCAGGAGGAGCAAGAGGCTAAAGAGGCTCTTAAGCTTCTCTAGATACAGCTAGCTACTATAATGGGTTATTTATCTTATTTATAGAAATATAAACGTTTCTTAAAAGAGTATAGTTTAGACTTAATTTATTATAGTATATAATCTATAGAGGAGTAGGAGGCTAAGGAGCATACGTTAGATACTAAGGAGTTACATATAGTATTAGACTTATCTTCTTAGGGTGCCCCTAACAACTTATTATTAGTAAACTTTAGTCTAGGTGAGGGTTTCTCTAACCTTAGGTTCCTACTGCCTGGTAATACTCCTATAGTATCTGCTGGGAATGCTGAAGGTTCTTAATAGGTTCCCATAAGTTATCTTTATATCTATATCCTTTCTACTTAATAAGATATTCTATATTTCTATTATTATTATAGTAGTTAATAATTTATTTAACTTTATATTCTAGTTTAAGGGGTTCTATAATAATATAGTCTTTTATATATAAACCTATTAGTGCTTTTTTAAGAAGTGAAATATAAAAGACTAGATAGCACTTTATAATATCTAGTAGTATAAATTTAAAGTTAACATTAGATACCTTCTATATAATTTTAAAAGGTCTAAGTTTCTTAAAGTCTAACTTATTACTTAATCGTTTTATCTTAATATTTCTATAGAGAAGGTATATACTATCCCCCTCCTATAGAGTTAGTCCCTTAACTCTTGAGGTATTAGCATATTTATATATCTATTTATATATAAATTTAAGTTCTTTTAGGAGTTCTTATTAGATTTCCTTAAGTTTATTAATATCTACTATAGCTTTTAGAGCTACTAGGCCTTATTATGGTTCTCTATAGATTATTAGGTTAAATCTATAGTTTAGATAGAATGGGGATTCTTTTATGCTTTCTCCTACTGCGCTATTATAGGCAAACTAGGCTATAGGTAGTAATTACACCTAGTTATCTTACTAGTAGTTAATATAGTAGTATAGATAGGTTTCTATAATCTAATTAATTTATTCTATTTAGCTATTAGTTTATAGATAAAAAGCAGTAGATATTTTATAATTAGATCTAAGCTGTGAGATTAGGGATCTCTAAAACTTAGAAGTAAATAACTTATCTCTATTGGACACAATTTCCTTTAGCGTTCCATATTAGCTAATAATTACCTCTAGAAACTTATAGGCAAGGTCTTCTATAGTGCTAGACTCTATATATAGTATAAAGTATAAGTACTTTATAAGTCTATTAATAATAACTAGGACACTATTATAGTAGACCTTAGTCATTAGTTCTTAGGACTTAGGTAACTTAGTAATGAAGTCCAATAAGATAGATTCCTATGCGGTTTGCAGCACTAGGAGCGGCTATATCTTACTATAAGGCTGGTGTTAGCTAGGTTTGCTTTTCGCGCAGACCTCATAGTCCTTAATTGCTAAAGATACTTCTTGTTATATAGCCGTTTTATTATAGTGTTATCTAATGCGTTTCTATATCTTAGTTACGCCTTAGTGGCTATATATAGGTGCAGAGTGTACCTCCCTAATAGCTTTAGGAGACATTCTTCTAGTCGTGCTAGTACTATCTCTTCTGGCCATCATTAAGAGTCTAACTGCTAGCATAAGGTCTCCTTCCTTATCCTTTTTGAGGATAACTTAGGTTTCCTTAGGTACCTAGACTTTATGGTCTAATCTCCTGCTGAGAGCGTCTACTCTTCTATTTTCTTTACCTTTCTAGTAGATAATTTTAAAGTTAAATTCTAAGAGGAATTTAGACTATTTAATCTATTATTT